AGTTATAGTTATTAGCCTTCTATATCTCTTGGAGTCTCTTGATCAGTAGAGGTGTTGTGGTCTGGTGGGTACGTCACCGGACTGTGGATCACATGGTTCGCGATTTGAGTCCTGCCGTGGCACTAATGTCCTTTGGCGAGACATGATCTACAGTGGAAAGAAATTCCTTGAGTACTTTGTCTTTAACACCTTGTTTTGGCGCCTCAGTTAGCCGGGTATAAATGTATTGGACGTAGTAGTGTACATTCATAATTAGCTGTGCTATATAGAATGGACCTGTTGTTATTATGATTGTTAGAATGATTTATATAAATCAATCAACAAATGTTCCCTTTCTCTGTATGCGGATGACACTTGCATGCATTTTGCATCAAAAGACCCAAAGATATTAGAGAAAGTAATCAATGGTGATTTGAAATCAGCTACGACATGGTTTTCAAATAATGAATTGTTACTTAACGTTGACAAATTTCAGGTCATGTTAACCGGTTCAAAGTCAAATTTGAGTCGTTTCTGTAATGTTGATATTCGTTTGAATAACAAAATATTACTTAGAGTAATGGAATGCAAATATCTTGGGATTTTGCTTGATTGCAATTTCTCATGGAACCCACAAATAGACCATGTAAAGAAAAAGGTTTTAAAGACGTATTTTGCTCTAAAGCGAATGAGACAATTCACAGATGAAAAGATAGCATTAATACTGTACAAAACCTTAATTCAGCCTCATTTCGCTAATGGCAGCATGATTTGGATGAACGGTAGAGAAACTCGGTTAAAACAACTTCAAACACTACAAAATAGGTGTTTGAGATCTGTACTTGGAGTTAATAGTAGATATCACACTGAAATTCTTTATAAAACCCTTGAAATTGACATGCTAAAAGAATACTGGGTCAAACAGGCTTTAGTTACTATATTTAAGTTGTTACATAATCTTGGTCCACCTATTTTATCGTCATTGATCCAATTTAATACTAATGTAGGCTATATGTTCCGTTATGCAAATTCACAAATCCCCCTTCCAAGACCTCACACAAATTTTCTTCAACATAGTCCGTTATATCATGCATCAAAGCTTTTTAATACCCTACCCAACGATATCAGAATTATAAATGTTTTTAAATCTTACAACATTGAGATAAGTAAAGTTCAAGATATTTGCTCACTTCTTTCATCTCGTAGATAATTTTTTTTTTCCCCCTCACTTTCTCACTATGATTCTATTTTGTACTTAAATTTCTGTATATTATGTTCACTTATTATAACTTGCATATTTGTTTGTAAATTGTATTTTCATTGTTTTATATTCTATGCTAATTATATGTAATCACGGCCTTGCTGAAAAACAGCTTTTGCTGAATGCGGGCACAATTGTATTTTTTTTTGTTTTTAACTGTGAATAAATAAAATATACCATACCATACCATACCATTATTATCATTATTACTATTTTTAAAATTATTATTATCAGAGCTACAAAAATATAACATTGGCGATCATGAAAGCTAATTTTCATATTTTAGCGTTGTATAGAATGTCCATGATAAGACGATAACCTAGTTAAGTATTTATACTGTTGTTATCTCTCCACTTCGATAGACTGTAAATGTATCATTTTTTACATTTTTCTTTTCATGTTTTTGTAAAAATTAATTCAATTCAATTCAACAATTCAGATTTATATGATATAAATATTCTTATCAGATTATGTACTTTTCAGCGCAGATGTAATTTCAGAGTGGATTTTATACAATGTGTAGCGACTAGCCAGCATAATCTTTTACGCATAGAGAGCGTGTTTGGTATGTCTCTCATTTTTTCTTCTTCTATAACTCTTTCAATTTGTATCGCATTCTGTTGTATTTCGGTGTAATGTAGATATTAAACGTGTAAGGAATAGTCAAATATATAAGTGTGATATACTTTTGTTTTGCTTTTAATGATAATCCTAGTACGTCAGAAGTTGATTTCAATAAACTATTTGAATTTTAATTGAGTGTTGACACCGTAAAAATGTATCATGAATTCCGTTCAGTTCAACATCTACGGAGTGAAGCGAAGCGACTGACCTTAAAAAAGTATAATTCTGATGGAGTTTATTCTACATAATTGGGGGCGCATGATTATATTTCTTTTCCTTTAACCAGTGTTCTCTTCGTCTCTTCGTTTTTGTCTGTGCTTCCTTCAAGAGCCGCGTAGGGGAACGTGCCCCCTGCGTCCAAAATAAGCTACTTGCTAATTATATATATTTTTTAAACAGACAATTAATCTTTAAGAATTTTTTTTTTAATCGATCAAATATTGAGAAAGTTATGAATAATCTTTAAAAAAATAATTGGATCTTATTTTCCCTTCGTATATCACATCCGTCAAACTGCTCTCCGTGCGGCCCCAGCAATTATTATATCCCTGCATTTCTAGGTACCTGGGTAGATATAGGGACAAAAATATGTCCTAGCTCTCGAATAAGAGACAAGACCCTACATCAATATACTTCAAACACGATCCCAATAAGCCAGTTCACAGATACAATCTGCGCATGGGCAGATGAAGGTCATAATGTACCAAAATGGTAAAACCCACAGAGATGAATACTGGATATGCGCTCATGAAAGTTATGTAACATTATTTATGTAACATCATTATGCACCAACGGTACATTCTATTATACGCAGGTGGAAGTATTCTTTTCAAGAGGTCAAACAAAAGGTATTCATGAAGCACATCTAGGACTTTGGCAGTTTTTTTTCTAAGATGCTCAAAGTGGAACTTCTCCATGTGTAAAAGATCTGTGGATATTTGGGGTCATTTGTACCATGTGCTATCTGTAAACTCCCTTATTATTTTCGAAAAATCTACTCAAGGGCAATCAAGTTCAATACCATATTGTATATCCTATGGAAATCATGTTCGCATTACGTAATCCGTCATTGTCATGCTCGCAAATTGCAAGAGGTGACGCACGAGGATGTTGCCATTGGTTATTTTTTTTTGGAAGGAAGGTGAGATCGTGTTTTAAAGTGCTCCTATGCTAAACTATCAAACTTCTCTATCATGTTGAGATTAATTTCTTTCTACAACAAGATCAATTAAACATAACTGCCTATAACACATCTCAATTTTTTTTCTCATGGTAACATGGAGAACCATTCTCCCGTACCCCTCCCGGTTTGATTATGTATTGTGCCATCAATCAATAAATTCCTTCAGATAATGAGAAAAATTTGGATAAGTCTACCAATACGATCAGTATTATTCTAAAAATTAACCCTCTCATGCAAGCGCCTGTTGCCCCCCCCCCCCATTCCGGGTTTGGAGGGACTGCATTCGTGTTCTAAAAATCTCCGGTAAAGGGGTACTTTTCACGCAAAAAAGTCCGGCCCGTATACACACCGAAGCTGAGATAGGGGCGTGCTTTCAAAATATCCGCCCCGTATTGACTTAACACACCGGAGATAAAGGGTGGGGGGGGGGGGTTGCTTTCAAAGGGAGGGAACATGCATACGCGTACCCTAAATAACACTAAGTGAGGGGGCCGGGCTCTTGCCAGCGTAGAAAGACCACTGCGCCCCCTCCCTAGTCAGATACACATCAACTTGCCGTGTGGCTTATTTGAAAATTTTAAGCCCCTCTGCATCCGTTGCCAATTCCAAGAGCTTAAATTGATTTCCATTTCAATTCATTTTTGATCAGTAAAATCAATAAGATGAAACAATTTTTTAAAAACCCGATCAAATAGTTCAATGAGATCAAGGATGGCAGAGCGTCTTCCAAAGTGAGGGCCGGGGGGGGGGGGACACCAAAAAAGGGCACTTTCTGGGGGAAAGGGGGGCACCTACAAAGGGAAAACTCAACGCGAAAGTACACCATTTTTAGGCATTGATTTATACCCCCAACATTGTCATGATTGTGCTACATTATCAGAGATGATTTTGATATTTGTTTCTCTCTTGACATGATACTGCTTAAAGCCCGTCTGCACAGAACCAGGAGGGATTAGACCACCCAGCATGATCACTGACAGATGGTTATCTAATCAACTCAGCTCTCAATTAATAAGAAAAAGAGGATCACGGGGGACCAACGGGTGCCGCTTAGGCATTGTTTTCTATATAGAGGGAGCAAGTAGCTACAAGTAGTGCAGTGGGGCTTTAAGCATCATACTTACCTGTTGGGTGTGGTTGTCTACATATTGATATACGAGAGAGCTTTAAGCACGATTCAATCATGAAAGGCTAAAAAAAAAACCTCTTTTGATAATAACTAGCTATTGAGGAATTAAAAAAATAAAGTTGCTCTAAGTCGCTTTAAATTATAGGGCGCATGTTATGGAGAGAAAAAAGGGGGACCGTATCAGAAGGGAAAAATACATTAGAAAGGGAAAGGATCACGTGAAAAGGCAGGGCACTCATCAGAGGTGAAAATGAGTATTTATGAGAAGGGGAGGGGGATCTTAATAAAAAGGAAAATAGGTACTTATCAAAGGTGATAAGGGGCACGTCAGAGGTAAAAAATTAGCATTTGAAAGAAGGGGAATTAGGGTCATTTGGCACAAAGGAAAAGGGGTACTAGTCAAAATACGGGCATCTCTCAAACTTAAATACGGGCCATTATCAGAGGTGAAGGGGGCACTTATCAGAGGTAAAAATGGGCACTTCATGTATCTGAAAACGGAGTTTCTAAAGATGAAAAGAGCACTTATGAGAATGGTAAAGAACACTTATTGCAAATTAAAAAGGGCACTTGAACGGAAGGAAAATTGGCACCTATCAGATTTTAATAGCGGAATTGATCAGATGTGAAAACGGGCGTTTATGAGAAAGGGAAGTGTCTTTTATTATAAGAAAAAAAAATGTGGTCACCTATCACAAAAAAGGGGTACGTGTCAAAGTAAAAATCGCACTTGTCAAAGTAAAAGGGGGCACTTTTCCTAGATGCTCTCTCGCGCGAGTACGTACCACACGCGCGCAGTACGTACGCCCGCGCGTCCGCAAGAGACTTCTGAAACTCAATTTTTCTCCGCCACCACAGTGTTTCTGTGTTACTGTTGCTGTTAAATCACAATCACAATGTTATCCCGTTTATTTCGATCTTGTGCACCTACATCTAGATGTATTCGGCAATTTTCAGGATCATGTGAGAGGTAAGTTGGGAGTATTTTTTAATGAAACAATTTGAACGTCACAAATTATATTTTAGGAATTGCGCATTCAGAACGCGTGCATACTGCCTCGTCGAGAACAGACACATGACATGTGTAGTACTTGTGCGTGCATTTTCTGGCCAGGCCAGCGCCAGCTATACTCGCCGACGGCCGAATAGTCGCATCGCCCTTTACGTGTACCTATGTACCGCAGGGAAGCTACCCGCAAGGCCACAACTATTGACAATTTCCAGGGACCATTGCAGGGGCTTGAAAGTTAAAACGTGGACATCTTATTCGTAAACGTTGAGTTAGTTAATGAAAGCAGAAAAAGTCGAGAATCAGACCATTGAGCGTTTGAAAGAAATTGTGATAAAGTGAAGAGAGCTGAGACTGCTGAGTCAACTTTTAAAGTTGTGTGAATGTGATGAGGCAGTGTTGTGGGGATTTGTGTTGTGTGCAGTCACGTCACTCTAATCACTAACAAAAAAAAATAACTTAATTATAAAAGGCAAAGTCCTCTCTTTTGCCTTTGAATTTAACATAAAATATGCATCAAAAAGCACCAAACATCATACATACATGTATCTACCTTTGAAATATTGTCCCACAGAAGCAGATAATTATAAAAGACAAATTTCAACAAATGAAATATTGCTTGAAAAGTTCTAAGTTCAAATTTCGGCGCTAGTTCACAAGGGTGATCATACTCTGACTCGGGCCTGGAGACTGGAGAGTACCCTACCATACACGTATAACAATCAACTAAATCTTCAAGAATTGTTCAAATAATAATGGTTATGATTTCAAAGTCGATATCTTTCTTACCTGTTTTGTATCAATTTTCCTATCTTTTTTGGCGTAGATCTATTTTTCCTAAAAAACAAAATAAATATACTTTCTCGAAGGTCTCACTACAAACCACTGTACAATACAAGTACATACCGCGATTAATGCATTATATGGTGCGTTGCGTGCGTGCGGTATGTACTTGTATTAATTTCTCCTTTTTTGAAAGTATGATCTTCCCTGGGCCAATCCCCTGTAGTCGGCAGAACACTTCTATGCATAGGAAGAAAAGCTGTGTTAGGAAGAGCAGTCGGATTCTTGTCCAGATGAACATGTATAATATTTTCTAACGGAGAAATGTAAGTTTAGAAGTTGTAAAATAAATCTTCGAATGTAGTCTAACTCAAGATATCAAAATGTACATTTTTAGGAAGTTCCCTATTCTATTTGGAATGTTTATTTTCATATGTACAGGTCTTTACCAGCCCAGATCATTGATGGGAAGAGGATAGCGGGAGATGTCTTGAAAGAAATCCGAGAAGAGACGGATGAATGGATTGCCCAAGGCAACAGAGCTCCACAGCTGACTGTGGTGCTCGTAGGAGAGGATCCAGCTAGTTCTGTCTATGTCAAGAACAAAGCCAAGGCTGCATCAAAAGCAGGTACCTATCATTCCAGCATTCATTTTGTAATTTCAGTGTTCAGACTAAAGATATAGGCCTATCTGTATTATTATAAAGACTGCTTAAAAACTAATGGCTTTATTTTCGGTAATCAGGTAGTCTTTATCACCATATATTGTTACTACTTCTAGACTATTTCATTTTTTAACTTGAGAATTTTAGAGACATACATGTAGTAGGCTATACATACAGTCAAACCTGTCTACAGCAACCGCCCTAGGAAAACACAAAAAGTGGTCTTTGTAGACTGATGGTCACTAAAGCAGGTTTGACTGTATTTGCATTAGGAACACTTTGATGTAGATTTTAAAATAGAAACCAATTTGAAACTTCTGTTATCAGAATATATATATAGCGGAAAAAATAACGGGTAAAGATGAAAAGAATGCACTATTGCATGTGTCAACTATCAGTGAACTGTTGACTTGTAGAAGTATCATCAAAGCTTCTTCTTCAACACGTGCAACTTGTCTGTTTACATTCATGCCAAACGTGGACTTTGGACATGCAGCTTGACTGGAAAATTCCATTCAGACTTTCCACAGTCCACACTATCAGGAAACAGGAATTCCTAAGTCTACCACGTGCATTCTCTCTTTCTCTCTCTATGTCTCTTTCTATTTGTATCTCTCTGTCTATCTCTGTCTCTCCCTGCCTCTGTCTCTCTCTGCCTCTGTCTCTCTCTGCCTCTGTCTCTCTCTGTCTCTGCCTCTCTCTCTGTCTCTCTACATCTGTCTCTCTTACCCCATTCACAGTGGTTTTGAAATTTGTAGCGGCGTTGTAGCGGAGCGGCGACACCGCCATAACACCGCTACAAATGCATTCACAGTAGAAAAGTTATCCCGCTGCAGCAGCGGGATAAATATCATGTACCCATTCACGCTGCAGCGGGTGATTTTTATTACCTCCGTAACAAACACGTGTATGCATGGCTCATGACCCGCGAGTGACCCCGATATGACCGGAAATACTTCAGCGCGGGGTTTTAGGGTAAACATGTCAAGTTGCTTTTTGTATCCTCGATCATATTACTTTTTAAAAAACTAGCATTTTTATTGCTTCCAGTCAGAATATTTTAATTTTTTGAAGTGTGAAATATTTTTATTTGGATAATTATAAATCTACATAATAATAAAATCAATTTGAATCCACTGGTTACTTTATTTCTATTTCACTTTATGTTCCCCATTGCTGGAGAAAAGAGGTCAGTGATAGGTAAGTAAACAAATCACACGTGTTTGTCGCGGTGTTATAGCGGAGAGCCTTCACACTGAGTAAACACCGCGACAGCAGCGGGACTGTCCCGCTGCTGTAGCTAGGCGAGCCTAGCGATAGTTTGTCGCGGCGTTATCGCGAGGCGGTGTTATCCCGCGATAGTTTATAACGGGTCCGAGCCTTCACACTGAAGACAACACCGCGACAGCAGCGGGACAGTCCCGCTGCTGTCGCGGTGTTTGAGGCCACTGTGAATGGGGTGTAAGTCTCTGTCTCTGTCTGTCTCTGTCTCTGTCTCTGTCCCCCTCTCTCTCTCTCTCTCTCTCTCTCTCGCTTTCTACATCTACATATATGTTCTCTTGGAACATTTATTTCAGGGGCGAAAAAAGAAGCGTTTTAGTCCTTACTATCATCCCTCGTGACAGCTCAGGGGACTTCCCTAGTGCTTTCACAAGATTTCCATTGAAGTTTCCCATATGAGTTCTAAAGAGGATAAAGGTATGGCACTGTCTGTTATTTACCCAACTCAAATCTCTGGGGGAGCAGGATAATGTGGAACATTTTCAATTGTACTTCAGGAAATGGAGACATGAATTTCGCAAAATGCTTAGATTGATAATTCACAATTTTCTGAGAATAATCAACCACTTTGCTTATTCAATGTAGGAGGATATATATACATGTAGCACATAGAAATTAAGTTTTTTTTTTTCATTATGTAACCCACTTTATATTTAAATACATGTATGATAGATTTTCATGAGCAAGAAAATGGGCAAAAAAATCTTTGATTTTATTTGAAAACAGGTTGTCTAAATTATTAAAAAAATGAGTTGTGGGTATACAGTATTTACTTAGCTAATTATTTATCTTTCAAAGATGTATGCATGTTTTGTTTTATATGCAGACATGGTAACCTACTGATATTGCTATCAACTATTAGAGTACATCTCTTCTAGGTAATCTTGAAATGAACTTTGAAATTAAGTTGCCCATTATCTTGTTCTACATGTACATTACATCAACACAGTTAAAGCAGAAAGACATTGCAGATGCCACAGCGATTCCTAGTTCTTCGTTTTGTATTGAAGACCTGTTCGACTTTCAGGTGTATGACCTGATAATAGTATAGTAGTAATGACTGCTATGAGAGACATAGTTGGTTTTATACACTCAAGGGGAGGTTACATGATCGTGCTACATGTATCGCCCCCAGGCGTGCCGAGGGGTGATAGCACGATCATGTAACCTCCCCGAGAGCCTATAAAAACGACTATGCCTCGAATATTAAAGCAGTCATTATAATTTTATATGATACCAAAAAGGGTCATAGAATACATGTGCGACTTAAACATGGTAATCAAGTTTGTTTACGCTATCGAGACCAATAGTCTTAATAGGGTGTCTGATCGCGCACCACTCCGGTTTGTGTGCTAAAATCCTTCCCATTGAGATGCCCAAACCGGTCAATAGTCTTTTGAAAAGTGCCCTAGGGCTTTTTTCAAAAGACTATTGACCGGTTTTGGCATTTCAATTTCGACCAATCAGATGGCTAGATTTCTTAAGTGAGGTATATAATATTTGATATGCCATGCAAATATGTCACAGTCTTACATGTACAATATGTAAAGTTCATTATTTATGTGAGTAAAAGTGTAACTTCCCATTATGTACATGTAGTTGTACAGAAGAAAAAAATGTCTGTATGAAAATTTAAAAAAAAATCATTTAATAAACAAAATGCGTATGGAGGGCCATCAGCTGTGTTTTTTAACTTTTCATTATGAAGGAAAAGATGATGTTTTGCATTTTAGTAATAGAGGGGTGCAATATTCTGCTGATACAGCACATACCATACATGGGACAGACCCTATACAATAGGAGTTCAGTCTCTAGCTGCAGCGGCTATGAGTCTAAAGTCCTTTTTTAATCATGGAAAATTCCAGACCTTGACATCTGTTTATAATGCATTGCTCATCTAATCTAGGCAATGGATAATGCAATATTGTACAAACTGTAGTTAGATAAGCACTGTACAAATACATGCTCTATCCTGGTAGGGAGTTTGATCTTTGAGTTTAAAAATACACCTCGAGTGGATCTTTACTTCCAGTTGATTTCCATGATATATATTAATTTTTATTTATTTAACTACCAGGAAGATAACATCAAACAATTAACATACATAGTAAATGACAGCATACAACAATGTAAATGGGAACAATCGTAATAAGAGATAATATGAACAACAACCAACCAATTTGTGATCTGTCTCTTGTCATTATCTCAGTTGACAGGAATCATGAAAATACATCCCTAAAAACCTCTCAATCTCTTAACCTTGAAAAATATGAAACTGTTTTTGTTTACTCGATATAACTCAGTACCCTACACTATTCAATTTTTCATTCACATACATTTATGATTCAGTGGCAAAGAAAATGTACATGTAAACTCTCATACAAATAGCCAGTGCTGAATGAGCAAAGGAATGCATTTAGATGGATCGTGGAAATCAGAAAAAAACAATACAAAACACTAAAAATGGGTAATGTTTGATGATTGCTGTGCCTGAATACATTTAGCAAAACAAGATGTTTTTTGGAAGCCTGCCCTCATTGACTTTTAACAAGGATAGTTGATTATTCTGAAGTAAAATAACTATTGACAATGGTCATTAATTATAATTATCATTTGTAAAATAAATATTGATTTGCTTTCTCAAATAAAGGTATCACTTCAACCACGATCACGAAACCTGCGACCATTTCTGAGAAAGAGCTTCTAGCGATCGTAGATGACCTCAACCAGGATCCCAACGTCGATGGCATCCTGGTCCAGCTCCCGGTCCCACCTCACATGGATGAGAGGACGATCTGTGATTCAGTCATACCGGAGAAAGATGTAGATGGGTTCAACATGGTCAATATTGGCAGACTGTGTTTAGACTTGCCTTCCGTCATCCCTGCTACACCGTATGGTATATGGGAACTCATCAAGCGATCAGGTGAGTTAGTAAATGATGAACATTGGTAGGGTGCGTTTAGACTTGCCCTACATGTATAGGCATTGCAACAACATTTCATCTTTGTATCTTACGAATAAAGCTCCAGTTGGAACTGCTAAACCACAGAATATAACTGAAATATTGAGTGCTTCCTGTGAGGTCATGGTTGTGGGTCATTATTGCAAACTAAAATGTACATGTCCAATCCTGGTTTTAATAGTATGGTTTGATAATCAGTGAAGGAACACTTGATTACCAGACCAACACTTCCCTATCCAAACAATAGAAACTATTAGAATTGCATAATAAGTACTGTTATCATTACATCACTGATTAGCAGGAAGGATAAACAGTTCATATCTGTTTAAGTTACAAACCAGGTTGTTTTGTTGATCCAGTTGTCGAGGAATGTGGATTATATTTCCTGGAAATAAATTTTTTTGACAATAAGCCTTAAAGCCCCTCTAAAGTGTTCGGAGCCCCATATTCGTCAAAAATTTGACGGCAAAGTTTCACTCAAATTGTATCATACCGGTACTGTGAAAGAGGTTGTCATTCAGTTCAGTTCAGTTTATTGAATTCCATCTTTAAAAACATTTTTACAAAGTAAAAACGTGCAATTTCATGTACAATATAATACATAAATTGGGATAGTATATACATTTGAAATGAATTAATACAAAACAGAATAAGGCACAGCTGTAAAAAAAACCAAGAAAAGGTTTTGTCTGGACAGCTTCCTATCAAATACACCAGTTTACAGTTGTGTGCGCCATTTTAAACAAAGCTAATGACCTAGGAGTCATGTATTTATGCGTAAATTAAGATTGCGCCCATGCAAATAATGATGACATCACTGCCTGCGCGCTGCGTTGTGCGCGCACATCATCATTTGCATGGGCGCAATTTTAATTTACGCATAAATACCAGAGGTCAGAGGTTATTGGCCCCAATTTTGGGGCCAATGACCCGAGGTCAACTGTCTGCACATGCGCACTGATACAACTGTAAACTGGTGTATTAGATATAATAAACATAGTAAGAAAACAAGTAGCAAGTAAAGTTTCGGATAGTATCATTCAGAAATTGCATAACAACCGGCACAAACCCAGTACATGAAATACAACATGGTAGGATGAAAAAGTCAGAAGATAGCAAAGGGGAAGAATGAAAGAGAGAGAGAGAGAGAAAGAGAGAGGGGTAATAAGCTAGATAAATACATTCAGTGAGAGTCATGCGCAATCAAGAAACTTTTGAGATTACATTTAAGACACACTTCTGCAAAGATTTCTTCCTAAAAAGTGTGTTTGAAGACAAATGTTGATAAAAGAATTCATAATTTAGTTTTTCTGTTTTACGCAGGAAACCTTAATTTTGTATTCTTTCATCGATATTCGACTTCAAACACATTTGTTTTGAAAATGCAGAAATGTGTCTTGAATGACATCCTCTTTCACATTATGATGAAATTTTGCCATCAAATTGATAGGGCTCTCAGCACTATAGAGGGGCTTTAAGCAGTGGACAGTACTATAAAGTTTAGGGAGTACACATATGAAATAGAATCAATTTGTAATTTTTGCAATATTATGTAAAATATTGTGAATCGTAAATTAATGGTGAATGCATCAAAACATATTCACATTGTATTCAAGTTACTCTGCCCATTTCTTCTCAAATACTCCTCCAAATCATGGGCTTTAATTTTTGCAGAATTGCTCATGTTACAGATTCTGTGTTAGAGAACGGAAACTTGTGTGGGAATAAAAGTTCATTTGGAACTTCAACAAGTGCTGTATGTCTTGCTGACTGCTGAGAAAGCATGTGTTTGCTTTAAAGTAAGCATCCAGGGGACTGATGGCTAAAAGTCCTCTCTGAGGGACTTGTTAATGAATAGATTAATGCCTTACTAAAGGGCACTAGCGCATCGACTTGGTTTCAAAACGGAACCTCCCGGTTACGAAACCACTGCTCTACCACTGAGCCTCCTCTTTGTACACTGCTCGGTACCACATTCATTTATATATCCTCAAGCTTCAGTATGTAGTTCATAGTGTTGGCTTCAGCACTGGTTTAGACTGGTTCGTATTGTATACCTGATACACGAGTATGAATTTCAATGCAGTCACCAATAGAATGTTCATGTAGTCTCATTAGCAGACTCCTTGACAGCGACACTATGTATGGACTCTAGGGGCTTACATTAAGTTAAGCTCAACACCATGTTTCTTTGAGTACAATATTGGAATTGACAAAAGAAAGCAATTAACAACACTAAAAGGTAAACTCTGCTTGAAACACACACACACAACAATTATTTTGAAATATAGCAGTATTTTCTCTGGAAATGTTATGATACTGCAGATTGAACAAAGAACATTGGAAATCTTTTAATGCATTGTGTGGCACATCGCCAATAACTGTAGGATGATACTATTCATTGAACTCTTACAATGTTTTAATTAATTCCTTTCAATGTTCAGGTATTGATTTGTTTGGCAAGAATGCTGTCGTCTGTGGAAGATCAAAGAACGTTGGAATGCCGATTGCAACATTGATGAATGCTGATGGAGCGCATGGTAAGTATGGTTTTAGAACCAAAATCAGCTGTTATGTAATAAATCTTTATATCTCTAGAAAAAGGCAATTTACACACTTATAAGTTTTACAATATTACGACAAATTTGAGATTTTTCAAAGAAAAGGTTGGGTTCTGGTAAAGATGAAAGTATTTTTTATTTTCATGTCAGTTCGGAATGAGATTTTTTTTAAAAGAAATGCTTATCATTATTCCTCATAGTCAGATTTATATGGAGAAAAGAGGCTGGAGAATTGGGACCAAACAGGATTCATGCCATATTTCAGGCCTGATTATACCCGATTTAAATCGGTTTCCCAATTTATTTATATTTTCTGATTTTTTTTCCTGATTAAAAAAAAAAGAAAAACAAAATTTGCCTGATTTGTTTGTTCTTCTTTTTTCCCCCTGATTTTCGCATATTTCTCTATTTTTCTCTATTATCTATTTTTCTTTATTTTTTCCCAATTTTCTTACTCAAAAGGGGGGAATGTTGTTAGATGCCATTTTTTTTCCCCCGAGTCGTCTTTTTAATTTTTTTTACCCACTCAAGGGGGAGGGGGGCGTGGTTGAGGGAACCCCTGATATTTGTGTGTAGTCCAATAATCAAATTGATGGTTGTACTTGTAGTGCACTTTGTTTCTGCAAGACTTGAGTCAATTTTTCTATGATGATTCTAAAACCTCATAATACATTCCGATTATGGACTACGAAATCAATCTTTCCTCATTAATTCCAAACATGAAAATTTTATGACCTGGGCCCTGTCTTATAAAGAGTTGATATTAATCGCAACTATGTACATAAGTGATAAAAGATTTGAAGACTTGCGATTGATTTGAATAAATGGTTATTATTTGTAAGACAGGAGCCAGGAGTCCAACACTCAAATTCATCTTAAAAGAAAACACTTGTACGTTAACTAAGTACTAACCTTGATTTGCCCTTGCTTTGGTTCTGATTACAGCCTCCGGTATGGGAATGGATGCTACCGTCACCCTATGCCATCGCTACACTCCACCAGAGCAGTTGAATCGCTTTGTAAAGTCCGCTGATATCATTGTGATAGCTTGTGGTGTACCGAACCTCATCGGTGGTGACATGGTGAAGGAAGGTGTGGCGGTCATCGACGTCGGGATCAACAGGGTTAAAGATGAGAAGACGGGGAAGTTCAAGCTGGTCGGGGATGTCAATTATGAAGGTAAGAGAGATAATTTAAAGCCTCACTGTACTACTCGTAGCTGCTCGCTCCCTCTATATAGAAACAATGCATAATCGGTGACCATTGGTCCCCCATGATCCTCTTTTTCTTATGTTAATTGAGAGCTGAGTTGATGAGAAAGCCACCTGTCAGTGACCACCCTGGGTGGTCTAATCTGTCATAGCCAATTACTACAAATGGGCTTTAAAAGGGAAGTGAGTGGGAATGAAAAGGAGGCAAAGGTTTTCGAAATCACGTTACTCCTGGGAATGTTATTTTCATTTCTCTTCAGGATTACTAAAAATAAAAAGAATAAAACCTGCATGATAATTAATCTTTATTCATATAGCGCTTGATAGGGAATACCGTCTCTAATCGTTTTACAGATATTATTATTAACCCCCTCATCAGATTCATAATCATTTCTAGGAAAAGAAAGTATGTCAAAAATATTTTTTAGAACTTTTGTTACTATTCACCTCATTGGTGTGCAGTTTTCATTATCTTTGGAAACATATGGTATAAATGATGAGGGGTGGGCAGGTGGGCCGCAACACCAGGGTTTCCCCCTTGTGTAGTGGGTTCTTAACATGCAAATGTGGTAACTCTCCTCTATACATGGCCTCCATTTAATGTCCCATCCGATGGACGGATGTTTGAAATCTTCGAAATTGCCCATTTATGTAATTCCTTACAATACAGTGTACCTAATATAACGTTGAGTATTTGTGTGTACTTTGTTTACTTCACAGAGGTATCTCAGAAGGCCAGTTACATCACACCAGTCCCCGGTGGTGTAGGACCCATGACAGTAGCCATGTTGATGAAGAACACCATGGAAGCAGCTAAGAGGAACATTCAACGACAAGCCCAGGCAGCTTCATCAAGCAGTTGATTTACAGACATACATCTTCAGTATTAAGACCCAATATAGACATGGTACAGTCAAACCTGTCTAGAGCGACTGCCCAAGGGAAACTGTCACACAAAAAGTGGTCTCTGTAGACAGGTTCCTTTAATATATGTTTCAATGAGAAACCATTTTCAAGGGAAACAAAAAATGTGGTCTTTGTAGACAGGTGGTCCTTGAAGACAGGTGGTCACTAAAGCAGGTTTGACTGTACCAGCTAGAAACAAGTCTGGGGAGAAGATGTTCCAACATCCGTTTATCAGAAAACCTCTATATTTCGACATTTTGTTCATGTTTGTGTGGCGTGTGTGAGCTCTAGCTAGGATGCTGCAGAATAAACAATAATTTGTCATGAGCCTGGTTGAACGGCAAGACTGGATGCGATTCAGTGTAAAATATATACATTTCTGTTCACAGAAGCTCTTTTAAGATTTTGGGGTTGTATAAGTGTGATTTTCTCACAGTGATATTGAAGTATTTTTTTTGTTTTTTAACAGAGATCTTTTCCAATGTATGAGAGCAGCTTTCAAGAGCTTAAACGCTCAATACTTCCGTGTATTTTTTTTTGTTATTTATCTTTCCTTTCTTTACAAAACCAAGAGATGAAAAAAGTACCAAAGTTTGTGTTTGTGCCCTTTTGCTCAGCTCATGACAAATTGTTACATTTAGCCTGCCATACACCAATTGTTTGAACATAGGGCGAATCCTTAGATCTTTGCCAGTTGTTAATCCTTTTTCAGAAAGCGTAGTGGAGAGGAAAGATTCTGTTAGGGCACTTTGTAATTGGACAGTAGAATCACTCTTTCATTCTCCCTCCCTTTGTCAATTGCCCTCTCAGACCCCTCTGTGAGAGAATTAGATGTGTATTCCTGAGTCATTCATTATTTTGTATGGTTACTGTAAAAATATTTATCATACAACTTGCTCTTAACATATAGTGCCGCAACTTTATACATACTGCAATAATGTATTTATGGAATTCAAAATTGATGCAAGAAGTTTGCCAGATTTACTTAGAGAAATTACTCAGAAAGACAAAAATTCAAATCTGAATTAGTATCGACTTCTCTATTAACAATATATATATATATTTATCTTATCATTATTTATATAATGTCAGATATTTTTGAAGAATATATATGTTTTGAAGGTCTAATATTTCATCAAAGGATAGCTCTTTTTTATTATGATAGTGTGTTTTGGCAAACCTTTGGCCAGTTGGCATGAAACTTTCACAAATATCTCAAGTGGTTGGGAGTTTTGACATTTTCATTTGGCGTAATATTTGAATGACGACACAATTTGCAATTCATGACATTTTCAGGAGAAGTTTCATATTTTTCAGGAACAGAATTTGATAAGTCCATGGATGGTCATTGGTGTGATATGAGCTATTTTGCTGGGTCACTATAAAGGAAAGAACAATAAATATTAACCCTACACCAATCTTTTAATAATAATAATAATAATAATAATAGGTCACATTTATAACGCGCCTAATACATTGTTTCTAGGCGCAGTGGTGCTGTTGTCCCAGCAGCCATTAAGTGAAGCAATGTCCTTACACGAAATAAAGCCAGGACGACAGCACCAAGAATACACAATATTATTCAGTACAAAATAACATTATGTTACGTTATGTTACGTTACAAAATCAAAATTACAGTTGTTACGAATAAATGAATAAATCAACTTAATCTAACTTAAATTGTGCTAACCCTGTATTGATAGTGATTGAGTGTAGATAGTGAACTAGCTGATATAGATGTAGTTTTGTTATAAATATTGAATCAATGTGGATCTATTTTTCTATCAGATATAGTATATTGATAGTTTCAATACTTAGGAATTATTTCAGCATCCATTGAGCTTTTTAGCTCAATTTGTGGCATGATAAGAAGAAAGTTCTATCCAATCATGAATTAAATTCCACTTTACATAAACGCTAATTTATGTGATTTCTAAATGACATGTGACGTCTTTTTTAGGAATTTAATTGTTGATTTAGGAATTAATTTAGGCATAGAGAAACTTTTCTCAATTATATTTTATCTGTTGAAAGCCAGAAGGGTATAGTATTATTGAGAGTGATAAACTTTTACACACCCTTAAAACTCTAACTGACAATTTCATCTTAGCTAAATAATGATGTGCTATTTCTGAGATGCCAACTTTCGGGGGCCTCCTTTTTCCTTTTTCTTTTGGGGAATATTTTCCTCATTTTATGAGTCACCTCTTTGTATTATTATCTGGCTTTAGCATGGCTGCCATTATGGCGCTCAAGCATTTCAAGGAATTAATTCATGCCAGGTGTTGTCAGGTATTGGTATTCTTCAAATCAATCTAATAAATAGACATGTCTTGCATGAAGTTTTGGATTGTTAAACAGAATCAGCATGTCCTATAGTGTATATTATCTGACTTTGGCTGAAGAGGTTTCTTTCATAATATAAACCCCTCAAAAGAGTTTGGGAAGTCAAGTTGATCAATTATAGCTCTTTTATCCCATGCCTAAAAAATCATAACAAATGGCATATCATTTTAAAAAGGAATAAACAGACTTTCTAATGATACTAAACACAGTGATGATCATACCAGGGCAAGAGAGGTATAATCAACATACTTGATATTCCAAACTTTTTAAAGGATTTACATGTATATATTTTGACATCTTGAAAATGCACTTGATAATTTCTTTGCCAAAATAACATTGCAGTGGTTTCCTTCTGTGCTTTGAAAAAAGATCTCTTGACTGCTAGGGTGTGTAATGGATTTATTTTTCACTTTCTAAAGTTTTTCTAAAATTTTTAACTTAAAAATGGAGTAATAATCCTTCTGTTAAATTCATGTTCAGTCCAGAATATTGAGATCCCGCAGTCTTAGCAGAATGCTCTAAATTTGTTTTCAGTTGTGTCAGAAAATACTTAATGTCTTGCGTTATTGCAATGGGGTATTGATGGGGCAATGATTTGTTTGAATGTCACAGGCCTTGGGGAAGATTTTTCTCATATGATTGCGACATGTATCTTGGCATTACGACCATAATGTTGATGCCATTTTATTTTCTTTATTTTGTGAAAGTTTACTAACATTTTGTGTTTTATGCAAATAAATGGTGCAAAAAAAAACACCTAACCTCAAATTGTGTGTTGATACTGTTATATTTGCTGTATCATGATGAATTTAGTTTTTTATGTTCTGGAGAGTTAGGTGAAAAGTGAAGGCGAGTTTGCGCTAAAGAGTCCCAAAGTTTTGTCAAAAATTGTCAAGATTGCTATTTCCAGAATATTTTGTGCTAAACAATGGCATGGTGATCACACCTGCCCCAAACACTGAATTAATTTTGCGGTGAACCTTGTGTGCAGGTTCTGTTGTTTAGAAACAGTAACCTGGGCAGCGTTTCGTAAGTATAAGTGCACTGACGGACAGCACATAGAAACGTATGAAGTTTAACAGGACTAGTGAATATGATGATAGTAGCACTTTGGCATTCTATTCATTGGAATGAAATGTGATCAAACAGCTACAGTGGGCCTCAACAAAAATTAACAGCCAAAATTTGGGGGGGGGGGGGGGGGTCGAGTTGAAAAAGGTTGAGAAGCGGACCTGAGGAGGATTCATCTCATTTGATAGAAGAAATTGATGAAAAAAATTTCTGTGTGGACCATTTTTCACATTGTGAGACTTAACATTGTCATTTCAGTATTGCAAGTCAACTTACTAAATTATTCAAAATTATACTTTGAAGGTACAGTCTGTTATGAACTTGTAGAGAAATTAATTTCCTGATGTGAATATTAACCCCCAACTTATTAGAGGAGGAGGAAGAGAAGAATATAAGGATACTGATTACCATCGGATCAAATTTACCCTTTGACTTTGGCTTCTTAGCTGTTTATAATTGACAAGGACTGCAAATACAGAATGTTGCTATAATAGTCTACATGTATTTTCGTAAAGTAACCAAATTTAATGCATACATCTTTGTGAAGTGCCTCGATACAAACTATTTCATTCACCTGACAGAATCCGAACTGCATACATTAGTTGTTGCCAAGTAGGACAAACATGACTTGCCCTATCTAGCAACACTTAATATATGCAGTTTGAATTCTAACTATTGTATTGAGGCACTTCACAAAGACTTGTATTACAAGCAATAATAAGAACATACAAAATCAATATGCATCTATCTATATGTGTAATTTATTCATCTCGTGTGCACACACAATATCACTATATCACTCATGAATATCATGAATAATCACCACTCTCCATTGGGACAATAATGTTTATGAGATTGAAGGAAAGAAACACTTATAATGTTTATACCAAAAGAGGGCAGCATATAGCCTCACTAGTAATCAAAATAATACTCTTGAGCATACACTCGGGCTTCACAGGTGCTGTACGAGTGTTATATCCTTTGTTTATGTGACACTTGAATGCGACTAAAACGATATTGAAACATGGTGGCAGAGGTGAAAGTTTTTATATTTTCCTACAACAGAGCTTCTTCTTTTCCTAGAAGTTGACTATACATGTAGCTGATTTCACACGGATATCACCTAATTTTTTTTGAGAGAGTCAATCTTCTTTTGCCTTTCAAGAATTGCACAAAATACTGCACCTGTATATAAACATAGTCATGACAACTGCCTTCATAACTGACTATGTGAGCCTATATCTTATTTGGTAGAAGGCTGATAACACACTTATTATTGTACATATACATCTCAGATTCAAATGGCTGAACAATATAATGTTTTTGATACATGTAGAGAAAGTGAGAGGAGAAAATACATATATTTGATAATTACAATCCCTACATCACTAAAGAATGCACTGATCATAAGAGATTACTGGTGTGCAACAATCAAAGATTATGTAGAGGGGTGAGTTGCAGGGCAAAATGGATTTATATTTGCAACTAGAAAATAAACTACATAATACATGCATTTTTTTAAAGATGTAGTGGAAATGTTAAATTCTAATAAATACAAGTTCATATTCGATAAGCCAAACTTCCAAGCTCATCACAGAAGAAATCAGTAATATTTTTTGGGGGTTAAAAATAAAATGGAACATATTCCTCGATTTAAATCACACAGACATATTGTTATAATGATAATAGCTTTAATAAGGCTAGTATCTCTTAATTTAAGTATTACACTTTAGTTATGTGGTTATATTACAATGCAATACATATGGATACATCATTAACCAAGTACATTGCCACAATAAGATGATTAAAATCACACAGCTACGTAACGGGCAAGTTTGCATTTCGAAGTTTCTCTGTCGATTTGATAAACTAGCATAAAAGGTCACTTTGTCATTTAATAAAGTGATAGTAAAGTTTACAAGAAAGATTATTTAAATTCCCCTTTAAAATATATATATCTTTTACAATTTTAATTCATCAGACTAGAAGGTTATATATGTATGTCAGATGAGTGTTTTCTAATTACATCATTATAAATGTATTACCTTGTTATAATAATAATAATAATACATCTTGTTTACACTGGGTGGCCTCATCATTATTAATAATGTTCTCCCTGAGGGCCTTGCAGTCATATCATTAACCCGCTTACGCGGAAAAGGTGTTCAAACATCCAAGGAATTTCTTAATAATAATAATAATAATATTGGCATTTATATAGCGCTCTTACAGACATACATGTGTATCACAGCGCTTTACAACATTACATTACTTAATTGACATTGATAGCAAACAATAAAATTACGTACACAAAAATATATAAATTCAACTATTAAAGAGAAAGGTTTTCAAGGAACGTTGAAAGATAGCGAGAGAAGGAGAAGATCGTACAGCCTACCAGGTACCCATTTACCTCACCAGGGTGGAGAGTTGCAAATGTAGATTAATATCTTTCTAATATCTTGTTAATTACCAATACATAACCTAGCTTCCTCACCCATTGCACAGCATTAACACTACTCAGATCATAAATCATCATCATCATTGCTTTTCATTAGTTCATTATCATCTAGATACTAGATGATAAAATCTTTGCTTTCAATATCAAAAGCAATATACCAATCAATTTGATTGATAAATGCTTGAACCTTAGGCTTTCAGCTTAGCTAACATCATCATTATCGATGCTAGTCCTCTTGCCTTCACAAAACTGCTAGTACCCCTTAAGGATCGTTCAGATGCGGTAAACCGTCGCAAAAAAGCTGCCACGTTTTCTGAACGTGTATATGAATGGCAACTGCACGCAACAAAGGTCCTTTGTGTATTCAGAGAGCTCTGCGCTATAAAGAGACAAAAGATTGGTAATGTACCAAATAATTTTACCCCAAGGAAACCAGTTTTTCCTTTTAGAAATTTGGAAAAGATTATTACTGATGAAGTTAAATCGCTCCTAACATCATACATCAAGACCAAATGAGATGAAAACTTGCCTTACAAAATATTTCACGTTGACAAGCTGGTAGATTTGATGGCACTATAAGGGCCATCTACTTAACAACAGCTACTATCTGACAACCATGCATCTTTGGTTCTTCTGGAACCTGTATATCTAATATAAGCAATTGGATATAGATTTAATTTTCGCACAGAGTAATAAAATGTTGATATTCATTCATTGAATACCAGCCTGAGATAATTAGGGGAGTGGAGGGAGTCTACTGAAAATATGTGTTACATCAAAATCCAATAGTATAAAACAGGATAATTCCGTATCTATCAAGATCCGCATCAGGCACCATTCAACTCAATATATATGAAGTAGTCTAGCTATGGCAGATCATTCTTGAGTAACAATTACAAATTCATTTAGCCATTATCTACTTGTATGCAGAACAATAACTGAAACTTGATTCACACTACAAAATATAATATAATATAACTTTCACACAAAAGGCTTTGCCTTTAATTCATACCTGTATATCCTGGAAAGTCCCTGCATCTACATGTAGCCCCATTTACACTGGTCAAAACATAGGAACTTTACAATGGAAGTTGTGTAGCAACTATGCCCACGCTCGCATGAAATAACACGCTGATTTCAAGATTTCAAGAGGGCCTCCCCCCCCCCCCCCCAAAAAAAAAAAAAAAAACATTTAAAAAATCTTTCTATTGAGGTAGAACTTCTAGCAATATGGCATAAGCATAGTCAATACTTTACATGAAACAGATTACAATAAAAGTGGGTAAAGACTAAATACAAATCATTGCTGGTAATAATGCAAATCAAATATTACACAAGTAGAAGCACTACATAAAATTACACTAACAATTTGTCCAATAAACTGATGTGTAGAACCTTTCATTATTGATTTGCTTATCAATTTTTGAACTCTTACACAACATTAAAACACACAACCAGCGCTACTATTTGCGCCTTATCACAACAGGGCTTTACTTTGATAAATTACTTTGATAAAATTTTGATTAAAACATTTGAATGCGATATGCATAGAAGTATCAATAGCCACACCATCAATAATAAAATAAATGGATCTATCTTGAATTACGAGTCACTCACCAACCCATCCTCAAAAAATATATATAATATATTCTTCTCCTCATGGACTGGTGAAAGTGAAATAAAATTCAATGTCTGCGATACTACAATATACACAATATATATGATCTGCTTCCTATCCTCCAAGGCAATACTAGATTATTATGATAAGATAGAATGGTATTCATTTTATATGTACTGAGCTTAAATTCAGGAGGAACAAGAATAAGGAGAAAAATAAGAAGAAGAAGAAAAAGAAGATGGAGAAGAAGAAGAAAAATGAGGAGAAGGAAAAGGAGGAGAAGAAGAAGAAGAACTTTTAGACATCACTTTATTAATGAAACTTACACAGCAAATGTGATATAATAATTGTTTCTTATGAAGCGATATCACAGCAAATTGATCAGTGTTGTTAACATAAATACAGAATGTTCATAATTTTTGTTTTAGGAACATCAATATAGCATGAGAAAAAGGTAATACCGGTAGACATGGACATAGTATGAATGAATATACAAAGAATAGGCCTGGTAGTGTCTGAGCTGTCTATGTAACATTTCAATCCATCTCATTTTGATCGATCTCCTCTTCTTCTTCTTCTTTCTCTACCGTGAGTTTCATCTTCTTCTTTCGATCCATCATTGAAGTATTCTCTGTCTCATCATCGCTGAGTACTAGTGGAGATTCCACGCCAGATGATGATGTCTCCGGAGTCCCTACCGATGCCTTCCGCTTTACCCCTCCTCCTCCTCTTCCTTCGTTCTTTGACCCATTCTCTTCATCTTCTTCAATGTCAAGTCCCTTCATCCTGGCCTGCCAGATGGGTTGGTTGAGAAAATGATTGGAAGGAATCTTGAGTGGACCTTTCTTCTTTAGCTCAGAGAAGATGACGGTGAGTGCCTTGATTAGATCATTAACGTTGCCTTCATCAAAGACCATAGGGGGCTTGAACTTCAAGATGTTCTCAAATGGACCTTCGGAGCTGAAGAGGATGTGCATTTCACGTAACCTAGCAACCACAAGGAAAAGAACACATACGGAGAGAAAGAAAACAAAATCCATAAGATGTCTGTATGGATGGTGTGATGTATACTGCACTGGATATATGTAATAAAGCAAAAAAGAAATGTTTATATCATGATATCTTGTTGTCTCTATACTTTGCAATACATAGTGCCTTCTGCTTAATAACAATAATAATAATAATAGGCGTTTACATAGCGCTGTCTATCTCTGCAATTCTATTCTGAGGCGCACAAATTGATTATTATCCTGGCTTTAGCCTAGCTGCCATTACAGCACTCTAGCATTTCAAGGAATTAATTTCTGCCAGGTACCCATTTACCTCACATAGGTCGAGGGTGGCAAATGTCAATTGATGCCTTGCCAAAGGACATTAGTGCCGTGTCGGGAATTGAACCACGACCTTCGAATTTCAAGTCAAGTGCTTAAACCACTCGACCAAGACACTTCTACATGATGTTCCCATAATTCAACAAGTTTTATGTAGTAGTGCCAGTCCAGTCCAGGCCAGTGCCCTAAAAATTAGGAAGATTTTGTGTAATATCCTGTCAAAAAGGCAATGTGGCACAAGCTCTGCCAGAGCAACTACTATGGCCTTGTTCAGATAAGATGTGGCAAACCCGGCCAGCAGCCTTTAAACAAAAAAATGATGATGCAGAGTGTAATACGCTTCACATTTTCAATCTTATAAAACAGTGCTAACTGAATACGCATAGGACATTGACTGCACCCAGCTGATATTCATTTACATTTTAAAAAAAATTAAGATTTGCAGCATTTTTTTTGGTGGAAGTTTGCATCATATCTGACCAGGCCTTAAAGGTTATACAAAGTTTTGGTATGGGGTTGTGAATTTGGTTCAAATGAACATATTGGAAGCATATGCGATCCTACAATATTCACAGATCGTTGTCGCGGTCGAAATCGACTTTAAAGTTATGAAATTATAAATAATAAACACTTTATGTTGTATAGCTCCCTCTCATGGTCAAGATATTAATTCAGCTGTAAAACAATGTTTCTTGACTAAAATCGGCCGATTAGCTATTCCCATTCGGAAATTATATACAACAACTACATATTCTAACAAAATTATGGTCACAGATACCATTGTACGGCCGTAGGAGCTGTTTGAAATTTATTAAAATTTACCGGGAGCACCGGTAAATCTTTGTATTCAATTTTTCTCGAGAGCAGAAGTGTTTTAGGGGCTAAAATTTCTAGTGCTTTTAATACATCCACATGGGCATCCAAATATATAAAAATTGTAAAGAATCACTATCCACCCATTTTTCAAAATTTCCCAAAACTTTGTAATACCTTTAAACAAGATAATTAGTGTGATCCAGTCAAAGAGTTTAAAGAGTTTAAAGAGCGATATTGTCGCAGTTTTATACCTTTTGATCGTATACTCCGCTTCGGCTGTAGCTGGCATCTTGGTTGATCTATCCTGAACAAGCTCAATACCAAGGAACATCCCCCAACCCCTGAATAGAAGAGAATTGGAATTTGAGAAAGAAAAGGTGAGAATTGCATAACCAAATACATGCTTCACTTCAAGTGATTTCAACATTTTGTTTTAATAAATATAAAATAATAAATGGACTTTGCAGTGATAAGGATGATGATACCAATGAATATCCCCAATAACCAGATATAAAGTAAAATTAAAATATAAATTATTCATACCCTTACCAATTTTTGGAATCATTGAAAAATTGATTTGTCCAGATTTATGTTTCTTGAGAATGTAACATATTAAAGCCTACATCTAAACTATTCAACAATGTCCTAATTCAACCAATCCACCTTTCATTCTTGAGTTATGATAAACACACAAAAAACATCAAATTTACAAGGGGTATGACAAATTTAGTTTTTAACTGTACATATATATATGTTATCAATACATAAATCAGATTGCAGATATTTTTTAAATTTTGTATGCAAGTAGTAGTCAATATTATGAACCGGCAGTTAGTACATAATCATCACAGGTGCTCAAGGCAATGCAGACTTTTGGCCTGGGTAAGCTGAACATTATAAATGTCATAATGTCATCATTATTTGAAGTATTATGATCAACTAGGTAAGTTCAATTTTTAACCCATGGTCTATGGGAACCAGGGGTTTCCTGTGCTAATTAGCCAATGGATATTACAGAATTCAGAAGTCAACAGCTTAGAAGCCACATAACAATTGTAACATACAAAACAAATTACAACATTGTATATAATTCTACTTTCGAAAAGATATGACTTGACATGACATGTAAGGTAAACTTTATCTGCATTGAGAAAAACCATATTGAATACCGGTACATTTTACATTTTAGACTTGATAATTATATCCATATCATTGTATGATTATAATAATAGTCCTATGTGTATGCTTTCATGTAATTACATGTACAAACGTATAACCTGTTGAATTACTAGACCAAACTTACAAGCAACCTGCTTATTAAGGGTATCCCTCCATTTTTATGTTTATATTATTATTTTAATACAATGAGTCAATACTATGTTATATTTGTTCTTTTTTAAAGATGGAAAATAAATTGAATTGAACCTACCTCACATCACCAATGAGGGGGTACTTCTTAGCGAGATCTCTCACTTTGTTCATAAGCAGATTACCGGTCCTGGTAGCATGCTCCTGAAGCTTGTCATCGCGGATCACATCAAGGACAGCCATACCTATAGCACAGGATACTGGGTTACCACCATACTGTGAAGGAGAAATGAGTTTGAGTTTGAGTATGAAGTTTTATTATCCAAACAAAAAGTACATCAATATTGTGTGAATGTTTAACATTGAAAGGATAAATGGGACCATAACATAGCATTTAATGCTAATCGTGTCTGGTACCACTAACACACAAAAGTATCACAGCAATGAATGAGAATGTAATGAATAAATATGAATAACTATTTAATACATTAAGCTACAAGCTATTCTAAATCTAGGTTAAAATATGTTCTGTGATTAGATACAAAGCTTTGGTATTTTACACTAAATAAAAAGATAAAGAATTACATAACATAATATTTACTAAAAGCCAAGAACCTTGGTTCAAAGTTAAAAACAATTATTCTATTAACATTTGTGATATCAGAATTCTACAAAAGCAAGAGAGAGAGAGAGATTCATAATCAAGGTTTACTTTCAGAAGAAAGGCTTTTTTATCCTAGAACAAATTGAGGAATCAGTGTTGTTTTGACACACAGATTTTTGACCAAGTTCTTGCAGAAACTGATTTTATTTCCTGTTGATGACACATATCTTGGTCTTGTATAGACAATCTATACACAAAAGCAAAGGTGTACCCAGTTTTCTTGCGACCCATTTGAACAATTTCCTTAAAATAATAAATGTTTTGTACCTACACACATACCCCAGAATGTCTACTCTATCATCGCTTTAAGACTTGTCTTTACATATTTGTACAAATTAACAATGGAATGCCCAATTTTTTATTTTTACAGGGTAGTATTGTCAGATACAAAACTGATTCCACACCTACTTGTAGTTTTCCACAAAAACTTCGCAGGATATATCGTTTCTAACCGTGTTTTCATACCTTTTAAACCCAAAGTATAGTGCATCTTTCGACACCAAATTCATAAAATCTGGACTACGGGTTACCCTTTTGGGTTAATGATATCACAACCCGAAACTACACAAATGTATTGTTATCCCAGATTTTGTATTCAAAGTGAGCTTACTGTATTGAAGTACTGGTGTTTCCCTCTCCCTAGACTATCAGCTATCTCCTTTGTAGTGATGACCGCTGCTATAGGGTGACCGTTCCCCATCGGTTTGCCCATTGTCACAATGTCTGGAACAATGTCTGCAAACAAAAACATTCATTGGATGGGCATCACATAAGCCGCTTACAAATGACCCCAAATATCCTGATATCTTTTACACATGGAGACGTCCCATTTTCACTGCCAAAGGATGGAGGAGCTTCATGAAAGTGAATCATTATTCATTTATGCACTGACAGTAAATTCTATGATACACAAGTGGAAATATTCTTTTCATGAGGGCAAACAAAAAGCACAGTATTCAGATCCATCTATACACAGAGTTTGGCCAACATGGTTTCACTGGGTCACAACATGGCATATGTTCTTTTACTTTGTGCTTGCCCAACAAAGCAGTAGTCTGCATATTGTGTGTCAAACTCGAACTGGGTTGGCCAAACCCTGTGTATAGATGGCTCTGAATACTGTGCTTTTTGTTTGCCCTCATGAAAAGAATATTTCCACTTGTGTATCATAGAATTTACTGTCAGTGCACATACTTTTATCGGTACTCCAAGCTGAATAACATTAAAGAAAGGAAAACTATTAAACATTTGTTTTAGCATAAATTATTGCTGATGCAAGACTCCACACTGATATAATTTGAATGCCATTATTCAGCATTTGTTTTATGTATTTCTGTGTGCCTCTCATTCTCAATTTCTATTGTCTTTCTAGTAGTAAACAACGGCCACTTCTCCCATCATTTTATCTTTATTTTGATTCATTAACAGTCACTTTCTCTATATGGATAAAAATGTTTAAATTTGTTGTTGATCCATTCCACTGTTGGGTAATCAATCAATAATTGATTATCCTGGACTGTAAGCAACCCTTGGTTAGAGCCTTGGGAGAAAAAAAAACACAAATACCTTATCATCAGGACTGTTTTTGTAAGTCAGTCACTCAATAGTATGTGATATGAAGACTAACACTGCTATAGCTTGAATTTAATCTGTGGAATAATTTATGATCGAATTGCATAATACAAACTGGTTTATAATTGCAGATTAGTCCTTACCATCTCCTTGTGTCTGGAAAGCCCAGAAGTGTGTTCCCACTCTCCCAAATCCAACCTGAACCTCATCACAGATAGTCAATCCACCGGCCTCTTTTACATGACTGCAACAAGATGATGAAAAAGAATTGTAGGTGGTCACAAAGAAGGTTTGATTTAAAGCCCCAATGTACTTCTTGTAGCTAATTGCTACCACTATATAGAAAAACTTCCCCAATCGGTGCCTGTTGGTCCCCGTGATCCTCTTTTTCTTATGTTAATCGAGAGCTGAGTTAATGAGATAGCCTTCTGTCAGTGACCAACCTGGGTGGTCTAATCCCTTCTTGCCAAACTAGTACAGACGGGCTTTAAACCATAGTCTAAACCTTGGTTTACACCATGGCTTTAACCTCCATCCTAAACTGAAACCTGGGTTCTCAAACTTTTTCCTTGATGGTCCAGATGTGATTTCAATGAAAGCTATTATACATGTATATGTCCAAAAAATGGGATGTCATTCGTGCCAGAATTCTCTAGTAATTAGTATACGTCAAATGAAGTAGAACAACTAACATTACTATAAAGCCGGACAATACTAAAACATTACACAATTTTGTTTCAATCTCAGGATCTACTCCTCAAATTTACACTTTTAACACTTTCAAGTTGTATGCTGAATAAGATTAGGCTTGTTTATTAGGTCTATATCTGATCTAAGGGGAATCCTTGCAGTTAAAACTCTTTTTTTAAAGCAGAGCCTCTCGAGCAGTCCGAATTGACATGCCCTGACGGCCCATTTGATATGCCCTGCAGCCTATACTTTGAGATGAAAGACGAGTTACCTGAAAGCTTCTCTCATGTACCCAGGAGGATAGATAATCTGTCCACCACAGCTCTGCATCGACTCCAAGATAAACCCGCCAATCTAAGACAAAGGAGATATCACATTTGAATTTCATCATTTTAGCATTGTCAACAAAGGAATGAGTAGCTATACAGTCAAACCTGCTTTAGTGACCACCTGTCTACAAAGACCACATTTTTTGTTACCCTTGAAAATGGATTCTCATTGAAAAATGTACTAAAGGAACCTGTACATAAAGACCACCTGTCTGTAAAGACCCCTTTTCTTGTCTCCCTTAGGCAGTTGCTATAGACAAGTTTGACTGTATATACAGACTACAGAGAATATGAACACAGTTTCAGATCTTTCACCAGATTGCCGAAGACTCATTTGTCATCACACCCTACACAAACTACATTGAACATCACCCACTCTTATACACTGTAGTTTCATTTCTCTCATAACAAATATTGCCACTCCAATAAAGAATGACCATAAATAACTCTGCATTATGGTATACAGATGAATCAGAAAATATTATATCTTGAAGCTAACAAAAATACAGACAAGTAAACATCAACAAAAGTTTTTGGTTTCAGTTACTTTCTATAAAGCTCATTGAGTTGTCTTTATACCTGCTTGATATGCCACAACAATTTTTTCGAGGCTTAGCAATTTTATGCCCTGTCCACTGACCGTAACACCACGGTCAAAGTTGACCTGTCAAATGCTAATCACATGCACAGTGTATGAATAGGAAGCAATTTAAGGTAATACAGGAAATCTCTTTACAATTGAACCGAAGGTTAGTGGTAACTGTAAAAACAAAGTATCTCTGTAACCCCCCCCCCCCCCACCCCCTCTAATAACACTACAGTGTAATGATTATTGGTTAAGTGATTGACAGAGTTACCTATTTTTTAATACGTCACAGCATGATTTTACAAAGCTATTTTTTGTTGTGATTATCATGATTTTTGTATAATAGTGTCCCTAACAGCATATTGAATATAAGCTGGCAATTTAGTGCATGTAAACTGTATGTACTTTACTAATTTTTAGGTTAACTTGGTTGATTATTGTGAAAAAAGAAAACACCCCCCAATAACCATAAGTTGAAAACTGGCTGAACATACAATACACAATGAAAGATGGAATGGTATGCCATTTTTTTAACACATTCCTGCTACATGTTAAAGTACTTCTACTTGATACAATCTTATTCAGTGCCTGCGTTTAAAAGGCATCTCATCTTCAATTTTCTCTTTTGAACTAGGTGTAGTATATAGCTACCTGGTGAGTAGATTGAGTAAACTTATCTTGAAAGCTTAAGTTTTTTCAGATTGCTGCACTGATCGAGCTGCATACCTGGCACCCAAACCAAGGTATGTTGGAGCACCAAACCATTACTGCATGGCAGATATTAGGCAGATATACATGTAATGTAAACACTATACCAGAAGTCACTCTTATGACTAATATCAGAAGAGACAACTCACCTTCCGACCATTAGCCTCTGCCCTTTTGATGACCTTCTTGACCTCATTTGCATATTTCACTCCAGCGACAGCGACATCTCGATACTTGCCCCTGTATGTATCAGGAACTGGAGCCTTCAAGGTAAACACAAGCCAGGACATTCAAAGTGATTTGCTTTTTTTGTATCTGATTATGAAGAGTTTAAGTCCAATAGGAGCTAAATCCACTTTTGATGAAAATTTAGTTATTGATATCAGAACATTGTTCACTTAACTACCCATATTTCAACAAAAGTAATTACGTACCTAAATTTTGGGAGCAATTATGAGAAAATGCACCTTCTAATATCACTTTTCCATAGACAACTGTACAAAATCTGGTAAAATTCTTTTTTCTCCGTTACAAAAATGGATTTAGCTCCTTTTTGGAATTAAACTCTTCATATATTAATTGTCTAATGTTACACTTGCAATATATTTTGAAGTAATCCCATTATCAACCTTGTGATATTAATAGGGGACATAACAAGAATAAGAGCAACAATCAGAGAATGAGTTTCTGAACATTCAAACTGTACCCCAAAATAAGTAACATTGCAATTTATGTTATAACTATTGCAATCAGATTTATACCCATACACTGTATATCATTTGCCATATATTTAATGCAATACACAAGCAAGTAAATTATCAACACAAAAGATTTTATATGAATTACCATTTATCTTTTCTAGACATTTAATCCAATTTGAAGAAATGTAAAAATACATACTTGTACTACTTTTTATATTGTTTCCATGTATCTTTCAAATAATTTATTCCCATATTTGTAATAATTATTATGACTATGTATTGTAAAAACAAAATATTCATGTACAATATGAAGTTTTCTAATAAATACAAAGTATAGATCAAGTAGAAGTAACATGCATATATTCACAGAATCTTTCTAATAATCACAACTTTTTACTATGAATTCCAAATTTAATGACTTTTATCTGTAATGGTGAACAATTTCTTGGAAGTAAGTAGAATAAGATTGAGTAAAATACACATGCATACAAATAGAGGAGTCAAAAGAAAGATAAAATTGTAAAGAGGTGATAGAAAAAATGAAGTAGAAAATAGAAAGGAAAGGATAAATAAGAAATCGATCAGGAAATGAAATATATTAAAACCAGGAACAAAAGATGAAAAGCAATATTTGATTCAAGCCGGGTTTTAAAAGACATTTCATGATTTTAACGTTGATAAGCTCACTAAAAATTAAACAATGTCTTTCATCGTTCACTTGTCAATCAATCTTTGTATAAAAACAGGAAGTAGAGTGTACAATTTGTTTCCTGAAGACTTTGAACATTGAAACGAAAGGTTCATCCCGGCCCCCCCCCCCCACTCCGAGAACGGTTGGACCCCATGCGTGTTACCCAAATGTCCTTTTCGTAACAAAAGAAAAAGGTCGACCCGTATTGACTTTACACACCAGACTTTTGCTGAAAAGGAGGGGGGGGGGTGGTGCTGAAAAAGGCTTGTATAACAAAAGAAAAAGGTCGACCCGTATTGACTTTACACACCGGACTTTTGCTGAAAAGGGGGGGTCGCTTGGAACACGCATATGCGTACCCTAAATAACACTAAGTGGGGGGGCCAGGAGGTTCATAAAGACTGAAAACTACTGCTACAGTAGATACGTTAAATAATCTATAGAAAGCCATTGTAATCTCTAGTGTATTTAAACAATGAAAATTTGGAAAATCGAACCTTATTTCAGAAAACATTTTATGCTTTTAAAATTCATAAGTTCACTAAAAAGTACACAATGTCTGTCATTATTCATTTCATCAAACAATTGTGCTATGTAAACAGGACGTAGAATGTACATTTTGTTTCCTGAAGACCTTGAACATAGAAAGGAAAGGTTCATAAAGACTGAAAGTACAGTACCAATATTAACAGTCATGTTTAATACAGAAAAGCCATGATTGTAATCTCTGGTGTATCGAAACACTGAATATATATGTGGAAAAATCAAATCTTGTTGCTGTCTATAACAATGCTTGTTATCAGCTTCTTAATGGTTTTATGACTGAATTCTTCAACAGGATCATACTAATGATAATACAGTAAATACACTTTAATAATAATGCTTATTCTGGGGTCTTAATCTGTAAAAATTAAAAAAAAATGATTACCCGGTACCCATCTATGACATATGACAATGTTTCTTTTTGATAAACATCTTATTTGAAATTGCTTTTGTTTAAAAATATATTCCTCTATGGGAATAATCATACTGTGTTAGTAAGAAAGTTTGATTATTGTGTATGGACAAAAACCTTATGAACCTTAATAAGATTTACCCACTTTTATATTTAATTTATTTTCACTGTCGAAAATGAAGATAGTACTCACAACATGAATCCATTCTTTCTTTCCATCCATAGTCGGTTTAGCAAACTTGTATGGACTGATATCTATAACGCTGGATGTGTGCCCGTGATAAGCACTGTAAAATATAAAGTGACATTATGTTATGACATGAATATTTATCAGTTTACAAGCAAACTTTTCATTTATTTTATATGTATACATTCTGGATACCATCAACGGTAGGGACTATGTTTACGTATTTTGAAGACAACAGCATATTTTTGATACACTAGCAATAGTAAAAGTTGGCTTGTCACCCCCAATGCTAGAGAATTATTATACTTTTTACATGTACATGTACAAGATTTAGCAATTTACAGAATTAGAGGACAAAAGCAGATGGTTGCAAAATTTACATGTATAACAAAAAGATGTAAATGTACATGCCAACCACAAGTTTACAGTTCCATTTTTAAACCTTTATATAAAAACACGTTTGGTAAATTTGTTTAGATTGTATGAAAATATAGGTGAAAATAAGAGCGATTTCTGAGTATTTTGAGCATGCAAATATGAGGAGAAAAAACTATTAAGTTCAGTACTTCCCATTATCACAATATGCAGTACAATGAAAAATTGGTATTTATTTTGATTGCCTACATTCAGGATGTTCTGATCTGATGAATTCTGCTCATTTTTGGAAATTTCTTTCAGGATTAGGCCTACCATTTATCAAAATATACAATAGAAGAGTATAACAAGAATCAAACTATGGTTTCAAAATACAGATTCTTGTGTAACCGACTTACATGTACAGATAGTTCTTAGATGATATTATTTTTTATCTGATATGATAGAAACATATCAAACAAAAAGTTTGAGTTTAAAGATAAAGACCAGTTATGGTCATGCGATTGCATTGTGAAAAAAAATTTGTGGAATCAATCAGAAAAGGTTGATCATCTAGCATATATATAAGTATTGGTGTGTACTGCAAGGTTCTGGAATCATCAAAATGATAAGAAATTTGGCCCAGTCTTCGTAAAGTTACAAGCATTGTACACAGAAAGATGTATATGGGACTACGCACACGTCTGCGACACGTCACACACCAATAGATAAACTAATTTACCAAATATATCAATTAATAGGCGGTTTCCCGGCAAAATTTTTATCATCATGTATTAGTCAAAACATACTCTCTCACATGATTGGTAATAAGAGCTTCCATTTCATTTTTTGAATTTGGGGCGTTTCCAAAACTGGTCTTTACCTTTAAGAACAAGAAACATTTGAGAACTTACTGGTCAAGAATAACCATGTCTGATGATCCTGTATGACGATGAACCAAACGAAGAGCTAAATCATTGGCTTCAGAACTATATCATGAAAAGAGAGAGAACAAATGAACGAGGAATTCATCTCTACAGCAAGAAATTCAAAACCCCTTTCTATCATTATTTCAAATTTTCATTGTTCTTTATATTCCCCATCACCTTTCCAAGGACAGCTACAAAAGATATATAAGAGAAATGATGAGAACATAATTAAAGAATGAGAATATAATTAAAGAATGAGAATATATTTAAAGAATGAGAATATAATTAAAGAATGAGAATATAATTAAAGAATGAGAATCAAAATATTTTCATTAAAATAACACAATGAGCATTTAGCGAAGAGCACAATACAGTGCTTTAATGAGGTCTATACAGTTTGTTTAGGGTTGGATTGCCCTTTAAGAGTATCTATAAACGGTCCATAATTAGTAGCAACAGTGTGTTTCTGATGGTCCTTGACATTTCTCGTTTGAATAAGAAATATCATCATTTGGAGACTGACATTTAGAAAGGGATATGAAATAAAAAGAGTTGTTAATAATAGCTACAATGTCAACAATAACAAGTATATACAGACAAAGAAGGGCAAGATAAATAGCAATAGAGAGAAAAAGAGGGAAAGAGAGAAAGAGAAAGAGAAAGAGAAAGAGAGAAAGAGAAAGAGAAAGAAAAAGAGAGAGAGAGAGAATTAAGGGGATAGAATAGCATTATGTACATGTACAAGAAGAGGTGAATAGAGAATATTACATCATTGTTTTTCCATAGTTTACCCAGAGTTAACGAAGAAGCATGTATTGAGTTTGTCTGGTAATGTTTGAGTTAGACGTTGTGCATAGAGTACCATTTGATCATAGAGGAAGCGTGAGTTTGTGTTTAATACTGCCATCTGATCTGCCCCAGCCTTCACGACTCTCGGATTGCAATGTCCAACTGTTAAAACAAAATAACAGTCAAACCAATTACATCTAAAACCTGCTAAAGGAGAAAGGCTAAGTGGCCTCTAATACAGGTGGTCTTTATATACAGATTGTCTTTAAAAAAAAAATTGTTGTTTTGTTCAAAGATGATGTTTATGTACAGTACAAGCTCCTTTACAACATGATTCAAGGAGAAACTCCAATCAAGGGACACATGATATGTGATCTTTATAGACAGGTGGTCTTTCTATACAGGTGATTGCTAAAGGAGGGTTTACTACATGCAGGGTAGCTCTATTTAAACCTCTGACTAAATCATGTACACTGTAGATCACCCAGTGTCAAGTGGTTCAAGACTCACCCAGTGTCAAGTGGTTCAAGACTCACCCACCCTCTTCCTTGACAGATTATTGTTGTAATCTATCCTGTCTTATCAACTCCTCGGAATCTTGACCACGTCCTGTCTTGAGGTCTTCTTGTTTCCTTTTATTATATGCAAATAATTTCCGCTTTGAAATAGCTTCCTATTCCTCTTCTTAAAATGGTCTCTGAGATGTCAGTGTTCATCATATAAACCTGATTGATTTTATTAGCTTCATATCAAGGGCTTTGTATAATGATAGCAATAATCACAATAAATAAAATGAACTTCATCTTTTGGTTAGGCTTATACACCCAGGTGTAATGTTTAGTTGAGTTTAACTTTTTTTTTATAAGTATAATGGGTTTCTAAAGATTAATTCAATAATATTTATTTCATAGAATTGGCAAAATTAACAAAGATGTGCAGCTTATCATCAAGACTTAACAAACCCTAATGAAACATATGCTATACATGTAACTGTGGCTTTACTAAAACCTGTGCAATATAGCTTATTGTACATTTATCAAAAGGCAAAAGATGATACATTGTATGTACTTTGTGGAATTTAAGTTTGCCAAGAAGGAAGAGTATTGGTATACAGTTTTGATCCATTTTATCAAACCTCTTCTGATTAAAACTATTTGTATTCATGTACACATTTTGACATTTATAGCACTCTGATAACAAGATCATATAATTCTCCCAACAATAGATAGATGACCCCAAACAAACTTCTTTCACAATAAAGGTTAAAACTGCAATATAATTAACCTTGCCCTCAATTCTTTGCTAGGGTCTTCAGTACTCGTCTGGAACCCTTTGTTTGCTCTAGCAATGACAATAGGGTCATTAAATAAATATACTGCCTGCAAGGTAACATACGTCAATGCTTGTTGTACATTCATACATTACAACACATACATGTACAGTAATAGATGAAGTTTTTTTTTCTTTTCTTTTCTTTTTCAAATGTATCTTGTTCCAGGGAATATTTCTGATTATATTACAATAAAAGCAATCTGAAAATTCTGGTATAGCCTTGATTACTTTGAAAGCAAATATTTATTTTCATTTTGTTAATGCCCTTTACCTTTTTAACAGCCAACTTTTTAAAAAGCTTCTCATAGATCCTGAATTATAACAATGAAATAAGAACAAATATGCAATCCAATGTAAATTCACATTGTCACGGCTGAATTAATATCCCTGACTTCACAAAATAAACAGTAGAAGTTTACACTTCTGCTTTCAAAAGGTTTGAGGTTTGTGAAAGAGAAAAAAAAGTGTGAGAATTAGCAACCTCCTACATAATTTCTCATCATGCTACATGTACAAAATGTATGTATAGTAACCACAGAACACTTAGACGTTTATCAATGTGATTGTTAAGAAGAAAAGTTTTATCTTACCATGACAAACATTGTTGATGCAATCAAGAAATTTGTTGTTTTGATCATCATACATGTACTGTCCTGATGCCTTCACAATCTTCAGGGGATCTTCTTTGAACCATAGCTTGCATGGTGATCTACCGAGATAAAATATAATGAAAATACAATATTTACATTGTTTGATTTCAGCTTTCTTGTTCATTCTTGTAGTGTACTCTGATTAGTGTAACACGAAACAGCTCTGCTATGTCTTTTTCCTTGCTTTCTTTGATTACCAGACATTTCTTTAATTGTTATGTATAAACTGATTATAAGGCACCATGGATAAAAAATAATAAATTCTTAGTTGAGAGCACTGTCTAGTGTCTATATCAATTTTTTTAAATGTACAAGATATTGGCATGTCTCATGTCTCGTCTGTAAGCTATAAATCCGGACTATATTGAACATTTAAAACTAAGCATTTAAATAATTCCATCCATCTGGATAGAATTGCTGTTTTAAGCATTGTTACATGTATACCCACTCCAAGAAAATCATGTAAAAAGGAAAGAATTCTGTAGTAAGAAAGTATCTTGCGAAACACCAATCCACAGGTGGACTGATTTTTTTCTTCTTTCATAATTCTTTAACTTTTCAGTTAATGGCGTTCTTATAAAGGATTTCTTTGCTGAAAAGTTATGTAAATTGTATTTTTCTCAACAGTAAAATGAATCACTCTAATTCTAGAACCAAGTGGAGTATTTTTTTTGTTAATGCTATTACAAAGCACCAAGGACAATCAACTTCTAGGCTAAAGAGCTTGAAGTACCCACATAAAAACTGCTTGCAGAGATTAATTTTTGTACAACTTCACAAGTGGAGCGGCTTTGAAATGTCAAGATCTAGAGAGGGTGCTGAAAAGCAATCAAAATCATGCAAATTTGAACTACTTGAAAGCTCCACAAAAAAATTCCTTCTATACTGTATTTTCTCACTCTTGAGATGACTTTCATGAATTCTTACATCTTACTGCCATCACAAGTGGCTTAAAACCAGATGATCAGGAATGCAAAGTATGGTAATGTCTTTATAGCAGCAGGGTCAGGTCTGAGCAGGGTAACCCACAAGGGGTTCAAACATGTAGCAGCGACAGGTGGCTTATGTAAGTTGCTTTTAAAATGGTTCTGATATGAAGATATTAATCAAAAGTATTAGTATGCTTTCATGTCATTAAAATGCATCTACTTCTGACTCATTTTTTTGCAAAAGAAAATGTCGATATATAGAATTTAAAATATTCATTAAATTCAGATAACTGAAATTAAAAACTCAAAGCTTTTATGACTTTATTCTAAAATAAGCAGAGAGATCACATTTCATTAATTGTTTTAATATTAATATTGAACTTACCCGATATGTTTTTGGTAGAGTTTGATTGCTTCCTTCTTGTTTAGACCTTCCATTGTTTTGTTGAGTTTGAGTATGACTCCTTACTGAGAGGGTTTTAATGATGATGGTCTCTGGGTCATTCCAAACCTTGATACAAGATTGTGAAATGAATCAGGATATGATGGACTGAAGCTACACTGTATGTACCTGTAAAAAATAAAAGTAACAAGAATTTTTTAAATACAATTACTGCACTCTACATTATCATGCAATATCCATAGCTTCATGGCATGAAACTGTATTCAATGAAGTCAAAATAAATACATAGCATCCTGAGTTTCATACTTTCTAGTTTCTACATATAAATCACAAGTTGACAATAAGAAAAGAGGGATATTTAACATCTGTATGTACATGTATGTGTATTTTAAAGACTACGCAAAAATATTCTCACCTGGCATTAAAGGAACACATGAATCTCAGATTCTACCTGCTGAGTTAGCAAGAATTCAATGACAGCTCTCTACTAATTCAAACTTATTCTGCAGAAAAAAATGATTAAAAAAGAAGGGAGAAACCACAGCCTAGGGAATATCTACATGTCATGTACCAATAGTATTTGATCCCTGAAATTTATTTGTATACAAAATAATAACAAAGTATTTCTGTTACACTTTATTAGAATATTGGTATTCACAGTTTCACACATTAGCAACTGAAATATTCAGTTAAGGAACTGCTTATTGAGTCCCCCATCTACCCATTCCAAATTAAACCCTAAAAATGTCTGTGATCATTTGTCAATTACATGAAGTGACATTGCCTAGAGCTTTGAAGTTACTTATTAAAAGAATTTAAATGTTATCTCCCTTTTAAGTTATTTTTGTTTGTGTCAATAGTACAAGGATTAAGGTTTCAGCGAGTTTATCTGTTCAAAGCTAGTACTTTAATATGCTTTACACACTCGTTTTGTTCAAAATGGGTGCTTGGCACATTTTCCAATACGTCATGCTGGACTATTTTTTCGAGATGGCCGCCTGCTTTTATATTTTTTTCTGAAAAAGATAATTTTAGAAGTACCGGTATGTTTTTCGTGTTTTGTCTTTTTTTTTTAAAGAAGAAAAAAAGGTGGCGACCTCAAAAAAGGAAGCAGACTGGCAAGCTAAACATGATTTTTTTTTTTAAATATAATTTTGCTGAACCAGTTGGTGTTAATGGGTTCACATAATAGGGTCAGATGTAATATTGACATTCTATGTGTAAATAATACAAAGATAGCAGCATAGAAGCCAAGAACTTAAAATACACCCTCAGCTACAAACTTTACTAGATAAGAAACAAACTATTTGTTATTACATGCACAAGTATATTTTGCAATCTTGCAAAATGTAATGAAAAGTTTGCATGAATATTAAATTAATCATGCTGATAATAACCTTAGATCCAAAATGTATTTTGATGTTAATCAGTACACACCTCTCAAAGTACACACACTTCAAACTTCGCCATTCCTTTGACTGTGAACAAAGCCTCAGCAACCAGAATTGTGTCATGGTTTAATAAACTTTGAGAATCATTTTCAGCATCAATACATTAAGCATCATTACCTACTCAGTCAATTTAAATAAAATGAAAATCGTACATGCACACTGTTTCATTTACTACCCAACAATGAAAGGGAAATCCAACCTTGAAAGCAAACTTCTCTATAGGAAAGCAGAAAAATCAGAGATGTAGGCTGGTGAAAGTTTGAACAAATTGGACCCCTAAAAATTAGAAAGTGATGACTTCTTTAAAAGTTTTTTCGTTTGCTGGGGGGGGGGGGGGGGGGTAAGAGCACTTTTTTTTTTGGGGGGGGGTCCAATTTGTGAGGATATATTTAGTGGCGACTCATCTTAACGATGAATAAGCGGGGGACGCTTTAGTTTTTTTTTTAAATAAAGTCCAATTAACGTTATCATTTTATTATTTTACCAGTTTTTTTGCTGATATGTTCCTTAATATTTCTATTTTATGAGGTACCAAGCCATGTGTGTGTCAGTTATGTGTGAAGTGTGTCACCTGTTAAAAGCATGACATGTCAGTGTGTTATGTAATATTACGTATTGGCATTGCCATTGAACTTAAGTACATGTACATGTAGGCCCTCTATCACTTAAAGTACAAAGCCACTCGAGTGGATCAGCCAACGGGAGCTCGTATTCTAAATGTACAGCACTCAATGCATAAAGTTCTATGTATTGGACTAAACTTTCAAAGCATCGTATTTTACTAAGAATAATATAACTTAAAAGTGTATATTTATAAACTATCAAATGAAAATATCAAGGGCAGTGTTGCATGAAACTGTCATAAGTACAAATTTACCGACATATTCCATTGAAATGCGTGTTAAACTTAATACACGCATTTCAATAGGATTTCGGTGAACTTGTACTTATGACGGTTTCACGAGACGCTGCCCAGGGCTATACCATCTCAAAAACAAAACTGATTCACCGGTCATGAAATGGAATCCTCACAATTGTATATAAAATTGGTATAATCTACACAAATTTTGAAGTATTTTGCATCTATAGTTCTTATGCCCTAGTACTATTTTCAATCTTTTTTTTATTCTAAACTCATTTAAATACTTGCAGTTTTCCTAAAATTACATTCATTTTACATTGTAAATTAAATCTGGTGGACTTGTGACATGGGCCGCGGTGGGCGGCCACCCTCTAAATTGTCTAATTAAATTATAGGCTTCTGAAACTAAAAAAAAGTTCTAAATCTAAGACTAAGTAAGGCTATGTCTCGACCATGTTGACTGTAGTCTAAAGTTGACATCAGAGACAAGTTGTAGGATAAGGATAAAGTTGAGTCTTGTTGGAATGTTGGTTTCGCGCCCCAGCCCCCCAGCCAGCACAATCACATAGCCAGCTGACCAGTTGAGCGAGCAACGGTTCATCGAAACGGCCTGGCTCCCGGCGGTTCGCCTGCGCGGAAACTAGTACACAGACAGAGCTAAAGCCGAGACACTCATGACTGAGCTGAGCTGAGGAGACGTCGAGACCAAGTGTACACCGGTTTGTTTCAGACCAAAATACAAAATTACACCCCATTTCAAATCACACATATAAAAACATAGTATGTTACGCTTTCTCACCACTAAAGAATTATTTGAAAATATTACCTCTAAGAAGAAGAGACGTATAAAAGAGGTCTCTATCCGGCTTCGCTTCAGCGCGGTCTTCAAACCAGTTTGTGTTATGTACACATGCTACGTATATTACGACACAAATGATATTTACAAGATGTATGATCAGCTGGTACGTCGTCACGTGACTGCGCTGCTCTAGCATTATCAATATGCATTCATGCATGCCAGCTCCAAGGGTGAAAGTGCCGTGGAGATAATAAAACACACTAAAGTATAGGATTGCCCAACATTTATTTTAATTCCTCTACTGCTTTAATAACATCGATCTTCCTAGAGACAGAGAGGTGGACAGAACGGGGGACAGAGAGACAGGGGGGGGGGGGGGGAGGGGGGGGGGGGGTCGGAAGTGGGGGAGGCAAATTCCAAGAAGTGCTCTGGTGAAAGAGTCCAAGTCGTCAGCGCACTGTGCAAGCACGTACACCCAGGCAAGGGATGATGATAGAAACCCTAGAAAGGGGAAAACAAATATAATGGAGAGGATATGGAGAAGGAAACAGGAAATACATGAAGGAAAGAGAAGAGGATAAGTCAAAGGAAGAACATAGAAATACATAATTGAAGAGAGGATCATCGATCTAGACTAAGGAAAAACATGCAGGGAAATACTCTATCAGATCATTAAAACAAACAAATAGACAAAGGAGAAAAAGGATAGATTGAAGAAAAAAAAGAAAGAAATACATAACAAAAGAGAAGAGGATAGATTGATAGGAGAACACAGAAAATCAGAAATACATAATGAAAGAGAAGAGAGGATAGATTTAACCCGAAACAAATACACATGTACAGCTCCAGCTGAATCAAACAAAACTGCTAAGGGTAATGCTGGGGGAGGGTGGTGTAGCCCCCAAACGTAAAAGTGTGTGTGTGGGGGGGGGGGGGGCAAAACGCATTTTCGCCCCCTCCAAAATAAGGCCCCCACCCCACCCCCACGAAAAAAAATCAGCAGTATATGAAGGAGTAAAAATGGTTTGTATTAACTATTTTTGAAAAAGAAAGTAATAAAACCTAAATTGAATCACAAACAAAATTATATTCCATTCAAAGAAAAGGAGAGTGAACAGGAATCAAATTTCCTAAATATTTCGCAGGCCCCCATATTTATCAATGGAGGATTTGACTTTAGCAATACGCGCATATCGTGGACAATATTGTGAGAGGGATCATGAGAAGACATGGGCCCTGAACACTTGCGAACTGATGGGGGGGGGGGGGGGCTTATTATGTAGTTGATACGTAATGCATGATTAAAATAAATAGAGAGAGAGAGAGAGAGAGAGAGAGAGAGAGAGAACCATCATCATTATATGCATTCATTATATGGTTCAGGTTTTGTGTAATGTACATTTGAAACCATTTCTTATTTCTTATTTCGTACGTCTCAACCCTAAAAAAAATAGCGAAACTATTTTTGAGGAAAAGCATTATACTGGTCCATACTAATACTGATACGGGCTAGAGACAATGTGGTATCGGCACGGTATTCCAAAATGACATTCTGATAATCAACATTTTGTTCTGGTATCATTATGAATATACGCATAATACAACTCTTCTTTATGATTTCTTAACGTGACATAGCTTCTTCTCCAATCGATAGTTCGTGCTGTTCATGGTTCTGCAAAATGGGAGTGAGCACATTTTTTTTTTTTTGGTCCTCGAAAATTTAAAAATTTGCACCCCCCCCCCCTTGAGCGCCAGGGGGGGGGGGAACCCCTTAAAAAGGTAAAAATCACGTGTTTTTGCATGATTTTTTTCTCAAGGGGGGGGGGGGGGCGGGCCCCCAGCCCCCCCCCCCCCCCCCCCCCTGTATCCGCCACTGGTCTCAACTCAGTAAGCATGGCTGAGATTTGTAAAAAGTTATTTTTACAAAGAATATTCTGGTGAGTAGCAGTGCTTATATTATAACAAATATTCGCATCAATTTGAATCACAATCATTATTTGTCGCTTAATCCATTTCAATGACCTTGTTTTCTTTCTCGTTTGCAAGGTGAAAAGAAGCTATGTCACCTTAGGCCTACGTGGATCCGTGTAATGCAGTGTCACAAATAAGGTAGCCAGATACGCTTTTCTGACCATAAATAAATGCCTAATACCCATGAGCTTCAGGGGGCTCCGCCCCTTGACCCGCGCCGGGGCAAATGCCCCCTGAAAGATGAGCCCCCGGAATTTTCTGTTCGCATGCAGAGAGGTGTTGATTTTCTCTTGGCCTATTGTGAATATGGATTCATTGGGGTCCAAGCTATTAGAAATTGGTGGGGTTCAAAGTTTCCCGAAGACACCAAATTTCCCTATTGCGCTTTATATAAGCCACTTTGGCGCCCAATATGGACCCTCCAGGAATTGAAGGAGGGGTCTGCAAATTTGTCTTTCCTTCTTTCTTTTTAAGTAAGTCAACTTCATCGTCCATCCGACCATCCCACCCGCGGCGCCCCTCCCAAAATAGCATTTCGTTATATATTGCCGCGCGGGCGGATTGCCATCATAATCACAGATCTTTGTATTTCTTTCCATGCGCTCTTTTGCGTGGAACGCCCTCTGCGATATGATGTTACACATTGTTGGCAGAGGTAACTAAGCAACTTGCGGATCATCAGCTGTGTTGTGTACAAAACATGCACGATCTCCGAGACACAAAGTCATGAAGTACAATAGATCAAGGTTTGATGTGCGGGAAACTCGGGGGTAGTGATTAATCTGTGGATGTGGACGTACGTACGACGACGCGTAGACTGAGCTGACGAAGAGAAGTTCATCATAGATAATTTAGTTCCTGGAGGCTTCTCTTTTCGCTGTGGAAAAACGATTAATATTATTCTGGACTGTAATATTATAAACGATATTTTCATCAGCAGTGTGAATGTGGTAAGTTTTCGTGCTGTTCGTGTCCCAACAAACGTGACGTTTTTCCCAATGTAGATCTATGTTGTTGCATGTTGTGTTGTGACTGCAAGTGTGCACTGCGTGTAGGCCTATATAGAGTCTCTAGCTCTAGGCCTTTTGTATTTCTTGGATCTTGGATTATTTTCCTCCTAAATACTCCAAAGAAGAGTTTTGACTGGAGGTGGGGGAGGGTGGACGATTACATTTTGGAAAAAAGTTCTTTAGTAACTGCATTTTTAAATGAGAGCGGGGAGGTTTGGTCGATGGTTGCTTAGTCTAGGGTGTCTGATCGCGCACCCGATGTTGTGTGCTAAAATTCTTCCCATAGAGATTACACGCATCCCTATGCAGCCTACGTGCATTGCGCGACCATGCAAAAAAAGTCAATTTTTTTTTTTCAAATCGAGATTCAAACCTTTATCAGTTGTGATCCTGAAGGTGATAATCAATGAATGAGGTGTCATATGAAAGAGCAGGTGAATTCCAATATTTCCAAAGGGGCGTAGCCCCCGAAATTCTAAAAATATCTTGGTCAAAACAGCAATTTAAACATTGTGTCCTGGCTAACTCTGAGGTTTGTCACTTTTGAGATATGACGCCCCGATCGATAAGTAGTCCCAGTCCTAAGGAACAATTCTATGTGATTATATTTTCGCTAGCCCCCAGGGATCACAACTGATAACAGTTTAAAAATACCCTTCTCGCTATTTGGTGGATCAGCTAATTAGGAGGCGTGCGCTCCGCTCAGTCCAAACCATGGTTACATCGCGTAACATCTCCGCGCACGAACGAAACCCCAAATTCACTTACACATTATAGTGACTGAAATTATGGTTGGCAATTCCCTCGATAAACCCGGAAGTGAATACACGTTATAGTCAATGGCAATATCGCGGAGACAACGTGCGTTGTCTCCGCGATATTGCCATTGACTATAACGTGCATTCACTTCCGGGTTTATTGTGCGACGAACGCCAACCATACTAGTCAATCGCACATGTCGCGGAGACAGCGTAGCTCAAGCTGCAAGTCGCGGATTGGCTTAGCAGCATGCGTACGATATGCATACGCTTGCATATCGCGCGATACAGCTGTTTGGCTAAATTTAGCAAAACAACATCACTCTGCGTGGACGTCTTTTTCGTCGATTTTGACCAAAATGATATGAATATACCAGCGTGTTGGAGGGGCTGTAACTTTTGATAGAAACATCGGTGAGACTTGAAATTTGAAATGTATAATTCTGATAACATTTTTTATTCAAATATCAAACAAAAATGGTGAAAAACGATCCCAAATTGAAAATTGAAAAATCGTTCAGACACCTTGTTCCATCCTTGGGAAATATGAGTTGGCATAGACCGAAAGCTTCAGTCTCTATACTGTCGGTTGTTCCACTGAGACTACGTCTGGCTCCACTAGACCTCCGGTTATAGAGACTGAACGATCGCCTATGCCAGCCTATGTTGAAGATATCACGGCTAGATTTTAGCCGTTAGGCCCCTCCCACAAACATGAAAAAACTGTGATAACGCCATTACGAACGTGTAGATGGCGCACAGTTTTTCCTTCATAATCATTTTGCCTTCGGCGTAGACTAGAAGGGATGAGATTGACGGCAGCGAGAGTTTAACACGGCTTGCAAGATTTTCAACATGGATGTCGATTTTGACCCATAATTTCCTTAAGAGGGACCATTAAACGGATTATTTCAATCAAGTTAGTAAGTGGAACCGATGTATTATAGCCTAGGCCTAATGTAAAATTGGATATGCACGAGGTAAAATGACATTTGGGGGGATTTTGGGGGCATAACAATACGGCCGTGGCAAGTTTGTTCATGTTTGTGGGAGGGGCCTAACGGCTAAAATCTAGCCGTGATATCTTCAACATAGGCTGGCATAGGCGATCGTTCTGTCTCTATAACCGGAGGTCTAGTGGAGCCAGACGTAGTCTCAGTGGAACAACCGACGGTATAGAGACTGAAGCTTTCGGTCTAGAGTTGGCATAGAGGTCCGAGTTGGTGTGGCGAATTTCAAATTGGTTGGAGTGTCCTCGTCTAAGTCTGTCTGGATTTAGGGTTGGTGTGAGATTGATAGTCGATGTCGAGTTGTCCCTTGATCATTTTGTAAAGAATGTAATGTAAAGAAAGTGCAGTGTAATTGTAGGTCTAAGTTACTGTAACTTGTAATGTAAGGTAACTTCATCAAAAAGCACTAGATTTATACTATCAATCATGAACTTTTGTCTTTTATATTATTGGCCAATATAAGATTTTGTTAAAGGTTTTATGAAAAATTGCTTGCAAACTTCTTCAAATTGCTGGTTTAAATCAGCTGTCCGGAAACAAGTGTGAGAGTGTGCTGTGTGTGAGTGTGTGATTGTGTGAAGTCTGTGTATACAAGTAGTTTGAATTTAATTATTTAATTTGTTAGTCTTTGTAAACAAAAGTGTGTAGCTTGTTCTCCAATTTTAAAACGACTCTTAATCTTATTGAAGTAGGGGTGAAGTCTGAACAAACAAAATAAAAGGGGAAAAATGGCTTGGATGGGGAAAATATTTGAAAATGTTGTTGATTGATCTAATGACTTACAACATGATGTATGGACAGTGATTCTAATGAATTTTATATTTTCTTCTTCCTCAAGATTCTTCTGCTCATTGGATTCTTACACATCAAGTCAACCTTCTCATCAACATAAGCAAGGATACAAACAGTCATCATGTCAGGAAAGACAGACATGGAGAGGATTGGTCTCTTCCAAGAGATGGGTTATGTCTCTATTGGAGATAGATACGTCCCACCAGGGTCCAGTAAGTACAAAATACTACCTAATCTAACTCAACTTATAGACCCAGCAAATGAGGCCACCCTATAAACTTGTTGCAGCAGTGGCATACAAATGGATATAATGTAGGAAGATAGGACGGTTACATACCTGCTACGGTATATGTTCTGTTCAAAATAAAGCTCTACACAAGATATGAATCCAATATATTCTGTGCAAACCACTCCTAAAGAATATCTTAAGCAGTAATTGATATATTGATCTATGACTATACATCAAATTATCAATTTATTCATGAATCTAAAAGCCTATCTAAACCCTTATAATGTATGATTACAGACTTTGTATGATGTTTGTATTTTTGATTGAAATGGGATAGTCCTTGTAAAGCTCATTGGCAGGAAAGTGTTTACCCTCGGTCAGAATTGGGTGAAATATGGATTTGCAGTATTCCAGGATCAAGGGCGATTAGGGAGAATCCCTTCCCTAGCTATTTGTATCTCTCCCAGAGAGGAATATAGTATCAGGCAGTGGCGAAGGCCCTGAGTCCATACATGATTTACATGTAGGATCTAGTTTAATGTACTTACTCTGTACTGAATGCAAAAGCAATGCCTAACTAGTCTCTACTATAAAGAGCACAAATAATCCTTTGAAGCATTGTATCAAATAGAATAAATGTCTTCTACAATGCCAAAATGTATTTTCTTTTCTCCCGTTTTTTACATGTATTGTTGAAGCCTTTACTTTCATTTCTTGTTTTCCTCTTTTTTTAAACAGAAGCATTCAATGAAGCTGCAGGTAAAAGCAAACAGATGTTACCAGGTGGCAGCAAGGTACGATCTGCTCTTCAGGCTGGTTATTTTGATGATAAGTATACCCGAGTGTTTGAATCAGAAGGGTACAGCGATGCGGTCAAAAGGAGACGGCAAGACAGGTTGAAGGAGAGTAAAAAGAACATTGGCAAAGCATTCCTTCCAAGCAGTGGAGAAAAACTAATGTAAGTTGCATTAAACACAAGTTATTACAGGTTATCCATTCTGTGCAGTTGGTAGCAAGTCTTGTCCAAGAATTTGAACGGGGAACTAAATGTTTTGACGAAGAATGGCTAATTTATCTAATTGGAATAGAAGAGATTAATTGTAGGGATTATACCCGTTGAAGATTTTTTTTTTTACAACATAAGAATTGAAACTCAGAATCTGGCATTTGAAATGTATTTGGAGTGAATGTTTGTAAACCTTATGGTACAGAAAGGAATGAAATGAAATACTTTAAGTAATGATGGACCAGCTTAAATGAAACAGTTGACAAATCTAGAAAATCATGTGCCCCCAATTATGTAGCAAAATGCATATTTTACTTTATATTAATGTGTTAATCATCTTTTGTTCATTTTTTTATAAATTCACATGTATATATTAATTTCATTCATGTTCTATTCATGTTATTTTATGTTCTATTCATGTTTTCTTCATGATTTTTCCTCTGTATTTATATCCGTGTTTAGGAGTGGTCTTGGCAATCATTATGGAACTCTATCAGGACCAGTGCCAGCTCTCAGTCCTGTCAAGAAAGCAGGCAAAGCACATAAGAGCGATGGAAAGAATGTGATTACTAACCCAAGCAAGAAGGGCACAGGCTATGGGTGAGTACACTACGGCCTTGAGGAAGAAATGTGATTGCATAGATGTTCAGATCATCAAAACAGTCAGTTCAACTGGGGGGTGTTTCACAAAAGCTGTCATCAGTGACAAATGACAGTTTTTGTTTTAATAGCTACTGAAATCCTTGCTTTTGATTGGTTATCAGCAGATTTGTCACTGATTTTAGTAATTTGTCATTGGAAAAAGGCTTTGTGAAACAGGTCCCTGATGTACAAATAATCAGTACTGATATGATCGTACACGTACAATAAATGAAGATGTTTTGAGCTAGGTGTGACTCTGGTTTATGGTACTGTAAATGTAATTCAGAAAATATTTCATCATTTATTAAAATTGGCATCCCTCTAACGACGGGTTACTGACTTTTGCATCATGATTGACACTCTCGCCCTCCGCTTCTTCTTGTCTTGAGCATCCTTTTTTTTTAGACTAACCTTGTAGAGGTGACCAGTATACTGTTGTAAAAATCAACCAAAGTAATTTTTTTTTTATTGAACTTCCAGGTACCCCGGATTGACACTTGGAAAGGGCATCACATACTCCCCAAATGCATATGACAAAGGAAAGGAATTAAGAAAGGTAAGTCCACACATTCAGATTCAGTATTATGTGATTCATCTCTTTATAGTCTCATTTAATTGTACTTTGCCAACTGCAGTCTTTCCCTCTTGTTATTTTACATGCTCTCTTCCAGATCAATCATCATCACATTGCTTCCTTTCTGTCGTTAATCATTCGTTTCAGCCTTTATTGATAGATTTTGATTTTGACACTGTTAAGATATGTTTGTACTTGTATTAAATGCTTATAGAAGCCGTAAATGTTATACTAGGTCTTTGAATCATACTGCACCATCCTACAGTACCTTATTTTCATGCTTTTAAGAGCAGACTTGCAGGAGATTTGTGCGAGGTTTTGAGGTAATACTCTAACCACCAATATCTGGGAGCTTTTATATTCATAAATTTTGCATATGGCTGCAGGGTAGAAATTTTTACATAACACAAAAATGAGCTGGAAATGCTTAAGTGCAAACATTTATTGCAAGTAGATTAATTTAATCGTCACGAAAACTGCGGCTCTAAAAATGTCTGTTTCTATTTCGAATAGAGCCAAGATATTCAACGATTTAGATGTATTTTACGAGTGTCAATCTCTCATGCATGTAGGACTGACTCATGAACTTGATGTTTTTTTGTTTTTTTATCTGAACAGAAAAGCTTAGAACAACATAAGAGTTCCATGAAGGGTGGAGCGTTTCGTCTTAACATGCATCCTAAGGCACTGTTTGATGCTAACCCCTACGCTCACGACAGACCGCTGCCTCCAGTCAAAGCTAAGCTCGCTACGAAAAAGATCTCAACCCCATTCAAACCTAGCCATCCTGCTAAGATCATCGGTGGGGCAAAGGCTGGAACCTTTGACCCTTACCCCTCACATTCCAATGACCCCTACCGTCTTAAGGTCAAGAAGGGGCCGCCTCCTACGAACAGCTCTGGCAAGATATTTACACCATCACCGGGCCCCAAGTCAGCTCCTACAACATCTATCATCAATCAAAACATTATCAGGTAAGTCTATCCTACAATCCACCTGTCATTTGTCTTTTTTTAAGTCAATGTATTTATTCGTCCAATGTTCGTTCAACATGGATTTTTGTTTCGCTCACATGTAAAATAAAGTCTCAGGCATAATTTACAATGTTCAGAAATAGGATTCAAAACATTGACACATTCTGGTGATGACAAAATAATAATTGTACATAATATTGATTTTTGTGGTTTGAGTACTCATCTCCAGTGTATTCATAATTTTCTAATACCTCTCACCTTGCCGTTCATTTTGCAGAACCATGAACAGCACGAACTACAGATCGATTGGAACGACATTAGCGTGATCATCATCAAGATTTTGCAATCACACAGGAAACCGAGTGTGAAATATGAACAATGGTGTATTCAGACTCTGTGATGAATGAAGAACACTGAAGCCCCCAGAAGAACGTAGCTTTTTACCTCTGTGAACATTCAATCTTTTAAAGCACTGGAATAAAAACAGTTTTCAGCAGAAGATATCCAGCGGACTATAGTTTTGCTATAATGACTTGGATCATTTATCCTGTGATGAAGATTCCATTCAACTTGTAAGGTTTTTTGATATACCGGTACATGTACTTTCAACCTATCATGAACTAAAGTAATTTATGACTTAAAAGAATCATGTTGAAGATGAAATTAATGCAGCAAGCAATATTTTACGAATCCACCTTCTGTTGTTATTTTGAGCTACATGTCAGTCCGTGTAAGAGGTATTACTGTCTGTATGGAATCTTAGCCTTTGTGTCTTCAAGATTTTGTAAATAACTCAAGTTCAGAAATAGTATAATGTAAAATATTATAGCCTTGTAAATATTTATATATATGAAGAATAGATTGAAAAGGAAATAAATTGAAGCACCTTTCACAAATATACCCATACAAATTGAACTAATACCATGCGTTTCTACATTTATGCAGGAGGAATGCTAAATGACAATGAAAAGATCTCTCACTTAAATGAGATATAAATGGTTGCTAGGAGACAGGCCCAGGTCATTAATTTTGTGTTGAGGTTATTTAAAGCAATTCTTTCAGACAAAACGTGGTGTCCGACAGTTAGGCCTACAAAATCCAGAAGTGTAATCATGTCTAGACTGAGAATTAAAGAAACATTTTCAGAGTATAGTAAAACGCCCCAAATCTATGAAGCATGTTATTTTTGTTTCCTATACATTTGCAATGTAGTCTAAATGATTGACATGGGTTTTTTTTTAAGCCAAGGAATGCCTTCATGTATTTCTGTTTTTGCTTGTGCATGAACATGATAACTCAGCAATATAATGTTCCCCAAGATAACGTTAAAATGTTCAAGACACTTTCATGATAGCTAAATACAGTGTCAGCAGAGTGAAGATGATTTAAACTTATTCATTAATACAACAGAGGTTCTTAGTCTGGGGACGGGGGGAATCATGGACAATTACTTTGGAGGTGCATGACATCTTTTCATTCATTATGCATTTGTGTTTAGGAGGGGAGACAATACTGACCAAGACAACGAGATGGGCGATGTATGTATAAAAAGGATTAGAATCTCCTTTCAGAGGCTAGAAGTTTGTCGAACAGGAGTACACAAAACACTGAAATGTACACGTTTATCAGTTTTAAAAGAAATTTATTATATGTCTGATCTTGCTTTTCAATTCGAAAAAAGATAAATGCCATCGTAATATGCAAGATATTGACGGTGTCATTTATTCAATCCGTCCAAAGTACAGGAGCATGTATCTCTTTGAAATATGAATGGTTGCTACTATTGTATTCTAAAATTGCTTCTTATTGAATCATCTTTCAAAAAGTGCTCTAAATGGAAGTCTTTGTAATAAATGACAACTTTATATACAAATAATTTGTGTACATACATATATCCTTATTTCACCACATAAATTTACAAGAAACTACTGAAATTAATAATTTACCGTATTTCAAATTCAACATTTTTAAGTTTCCATATCATCTTTTGCTTCTTTGTAACTTTCAATAATAATAATAAATAGTAAAGTGGATGGAAGAGAGAGAGATAGAGAGGGAGAGAGAGATGGAGAGGGAGGGAGAGAGAGGGAGGGAGGGAAAGAGAGAGGGAGGGAAAGAGAGAAGGAGGGAAAGAGAGAGGGAGGGAGGGAGGGAAAGAGAGGGAGGGAGGGAGGGAAAGAGAGGGAGGGAGGGAGGGAAAGAGAGGGAGAGAGAGAGGGAGAGAAAGAAAGAGGGAGGGAGGGAAAGAGAGGAAGAGAGAGGGAGAGAGAAAGAGTGAGCTTGGCCATCAAAGTATTCACAAAAAGATATGCATGAAAACAGTTCAATCATTGAATCTGGTAAATGCCTTCGTATAATCTGGTCAGTTGGTAATTACACATTTTTCCAATAAAAAAATTGTACTAAAAATTGGTCGAGTTCACCAAGCAAAATAATGCTTATACATAGAAAAGGGAATATAGCAATAGATTCACATACATACTAGGGTAATAGTACTGGAAATCAATAAAACTATTACAGTATTAAGAATTGTGAGATAATTTTTCTCATGGAATACAACACAATAGTAATTACATTACCTCCAAATAACCAAAAAATAAAAACAGCATAATCCTACATTTTTCATTTAATCACTTCCAAGTGAGTTGATATTTTGTCATTAACTTTTAAATTCCATAAAATCTCAAAATTATTTCAGGACTATTTGCCCACATTAAGTAATTGTCCTCAGTAAATTCTACTATTCTAACACTTTTTTCTAAAGAGTTGTGACTTTTTAAGTTTATGTAACGTGCGAGAGTGCATTTTTTTCAAATGTGTATCAATCAGATCTCACGATTTACACGTACTTGTATACCTCGGGACTGACCTTTGACCTTTAACATCACCTGGAAGACTCGGGCAGACCACTATGAGACCTGGGGGGGGGGGGGGGAGTTTCACAAAGATCCTAAGTCAAACTTAACTCTAAGTTGGACTTTAACATTTTGGAGAGCCAATTTCAGCCTTAAAATAAAACATATATTCAAAAGCAAAAATTCAATTAGGGTATTTTAGACTTTTCATAAATTCCACATCAAGAACATGAATCTCCGTGATAATAAAAAATATGAATGATTTGAATCAATATTTCAAGCCTTTTAAGTCCAACTTAGGATCTTTGTGAAACACCCCCAGGGAGGATTAAAACTACACCCGCTCTGTATATGCATATGTGATTGGGTTTTTACAGACATTTATACTAAGGGCCACGTCTTATAAAGAATTGCGATTAATCCAAATCAATCTCAAGTCCTCTAATCAATCGCACGTTTGCAGTCTCCTATCTTTAATACGTACATAGCTGTGATTGATATCAATGGCAAGTAAGTTGCAATTAATCGCAACTGTTTATAAGACGGGGCCTGATTTTTTATGTCTATGACCCAAACTGTGACGTCAACATCTGAAAGACGCGACTCTGTTTGAAAATCGGGGTCTGTCTAATTCAAATTGTAGACAAAGACAGAGAGCCGACCACATAATGTACCACTGCACCGACTCACATCTCCCCACCTTCTCCCCATTTCAAGAAAAGCACACCATATTCTCTTCAATAGATAATATTGCACATATTTAGCTCATATAGGATGGGAGTACCCCCATTCACATTGAGCTTGCATATTCATCACCTGCTCAGTTCAAATGTGAACAGTATTCTTACATAAACCCAACTTATTAATAATAACTTGTAAACTCAATGTGAATTATACCACAACAGTAATCATATTTTTAAAAATTAGTAAAATATCCTCATTTTAACTAAAGATTACATCAAATAATATCATATCTATCAGAAACACATATGAAGTTAATCACTATGGCAAACACAAATGCAAATAAATACTTGTGACCCTATTATAATATCATACTGTTTAGCCATGTAGATTACATGGATAACTTTTTCACTTCAAAGCACTTTAAAAGCACTTACATTTCAAAAATCTAATTACCCCTGTGTGAACATTTCCAGAAGTGTTGCATGCACAATCTGCAGCATCAAGTCAAATAATTGAGATTAGTGTTATAAATAATACCATTTATAACTAACAGCAACTAAATGTCCAAATGGGCTGACCAATTTAAACATTTCTATCATCCACATAATACATTTACATGTTGTTTAAGTCTCATAAACCTTCGTTCCTCAAAGTTTAGTTCACCAACACATGACCAAATCATTTTAGTTGTTATAAAACCTGTTCCACGCTAAATGTATTCCCCATCTACATGTAAATTTTTACTCTTTCCTCTCTCTGGTAAGAAGTGTCTCTTCTATGTTTTGTCCATCTATTGTTTCGTTGTATTGCAATGAATAAAATCATCTGATTCATTCCAATCATGTATCAAAATCTAGTTCTTCTAGAAACTTGTCAATATCGATGTCTAACGTCTTCTTCGCTTTCACTCCCTTGGTTCCTCCATTTGATAGCGTTTTCCCTTCTGTCACACTGGTCTCAATCTCCTTTTCTGCTTCATGTTTATAAGGTAGCTGCCCATTGGCTAAGGAAGAGCCATTTGTCCTTGAACTTGATGGAAGACCTGTTCTGGTTGGTTCATGTCGAGATGGAATGGTGGTTGAGTTTGATGAGCCTATTGATTGTGATGTGGGTAGCTTAGCTGGAGATGATTGTGGTGTGATGGTGATAGGCTCGGAGGGAGAATCAGCGGATACAAAGTCAGCTTCCCACTCAACATCCGAGTCATCATCATCGTCATGGTGATTGGGTGACTTAGATCCTGGTTTGATGTAATGTGACATCTTTCCTGAGGCTGTTAACAAAAAAAAAGAAATCCTTATAATTCACATCAGGACAACGTATGTAAAATATGCAAAATGATTTAATAAATTGCAATTTGATGGTACACTGTTGAGTACAACTCATGAAGTTATTCAGACATATATACATGTATGGGGCATACATGTGTCACAAAATAATAAGGTAAATGGACATATTTATACACGGACAAAATAAACAGGTGTAAATTGAATACACGCATGTGCTTTCAGTATGTACTTATGAATTTTGTTGTAAAAATACAGAATTGATCTTTACATGAATTAATAGGTAATTGATTTCATGATGAATACTAATCACTAATCAACTAACCTAGTAAGAATCATCATTTGATTTTTATGTATAATATGAGTTAGTATGAGAAATAAGTATACCTTCTGTTCCCTCCTCCTCCTCCTTCACATCATTCTGCCCCACTCCCTGGGTAACCCTTCGACTAGCCTGTACCACATCAGGTTTGTTTGCAACCTGCTCTGGTCCATCCACCAGCCCCTGGTTCTTATCATCCGATGATCCTAATTTACCTCCTTGTGTTTTTAGGCTATTAAACTGGACAGACGGCGTGTCGTGCTGGGCGACGCTTGTCTTAGGGCTTGCCAAACTAGGACTAGAACTTGTCACCACTGTGCTTTGTAAATTGGTTTTTGCACTACCAGAAGATGTTGGGTTTACAGATTGATAGGAAGTAGGGGTAGAGGCTTGGACCATGGGGCTAGTCTTGGGGCTAGTTGGCTGTTTGGTAACAGCTTGATTAGTGGTGGTAGGAGTGGTGTTGGTGTTCAACATAGAAGCCACTGCATGCAAAAATAAATCACAGGCAAACGACTTTACACATATATCACAAAATAATACAACAAGCAAATTAAACAAGCGTATTAATAAAGTAGACATAAAATAAGTGCACACAACAGGGTGGTCTACAGAAAAATATTGAAACGTGTAGTCTGGAACACGGAAGAAGAAGGAACTGATTGTATGAGAAGCACAAAGCTCCTTGGGCCAGGCTTAAATGCTTGCTTAAGGGCTCTAAGGTCGTAGATGCACTCTAGTGCTATCTAATCTATATTTATGACTATATTTTCATGATTTTAATCAAGAATGACTATTATCCTTTAGCTGATTTTCAAACCTCTATTATAAAAATTCAAACTTGTTGCAGTTAATGGACCACCCTGATGTTATACAACAGTTTACATGAATCTTTAAATGTATTGTAAGTTACGAGATCAAATGTGGAGCTCAACCCTTCTTTGTCTCTTGCACTGAATGGAAAACCCAGGGTTAAAGTGACAAAAACAGGTACCAAGACTATTAGGTAAATCTCAGTTCTACTGTAGGATCGAATCTCCCTATACAACCACACATCCCATCTCAGTATCAAAGGTAAAACCTCCCAGCTTTAGCTTCTAATCTCCGATTGATATCACTAAGAGTGAGATTCAATGTCATTCTGGTGAGACAAGATAGCAGCAGTGTTTCAAGATGCTTACTTGTATTTCATGATAAATATTTTTTTAAATGTTGGAAAGCATGAATGAAAGTGATATATACTGTAAACAAAAAGCAACACTTGTTTGCTATCATGATGCATATAATTTTTTTCCTTTAACTTCTGTTTTCTTTTTGATCACCTCCAGCAATCACAATTTAAACCAGGAATGTATTTTTTTCGTGTTTCTTGATTGATGTTGCTGCTATTTGTCGTTCATTTTGCATGCTAAATACATTTGAGCCATATATACATGTAGTTGTACATGTTAACATGTAGCTATACAGTCTATCGGTATTGTAGAATGTATAGGGTTTTACACCTGAGCCATCTGGCCTTGGCTACTTTGAATAGTATTCACTTTTTTCATCTACTGGTACCAGCATACCAGTACCATGCATGACACTCCGAAACTGAACCTCTAATAAATATCTTCTTTCTACCATGGAATTATCTACACGTCAATCCCCCCCCCCCCCCCCCCCCCCCCTGGTACCAGAGCATGAAATATTTTTCACCTCTTCCCAGAACTCAACCTTCTCTTTAAAGGGATCGTTTAACAATGTTAAATCTGAGATGCACAGCCCTTCGTGTTATCAGTGTCTGTGATATAAATATGGTGTTGAAGCCCTAACAAAATTGCACTTCAAAATGATCAAGAAGTGCCTCAAAAAAGTAAAAACATTTGAGTGACCGGTTTTACCCAATAGACTGTAGTGTTATGAAAACTGTTTGGCAAACGCAAAATTTGATTTCGATTTTCAATCATAAATATCTTGATAATCAGACAGGCGTTCGGCTTGTAAAAGTCATGGGGTTCCTGACTGACCTAAAGGTTTATAATTATCATTGCAGCATGAGCTAAATCAAGGATTTTTAAAAGAATTAAAAGACAAAGTTACCGGATCCCTTTAATGACTGTACATAAATGGATTTAGCTATACAGTAAAATTGTAGATTGTGAAGGGTTTCACACCTGAGCCAGCTGGCATTTGAATAGTACCAGCATTCACTTTTTTCATCTATTATCAGTACCGTATATGACACTCTGAACCTGAACCTCTAATATCCTCTTTCTAACATGGAATTATCTACCTACACATGAATTTTCCCCCCGTATCAGAGCATGAAATGTTGCTGAATGAACGTATCTACAGAAATTATGATTAAATAACAGCAACAGGACCTACTAACTGTGCTGACAACAAATTGGAAAAGCAAAATATACAAGTAATACTAAATCTAGGGAATTCATCCATAAACGTGCTGAAAAAGTGAAAGAACACTGCACACATGTGGTGTTAACATTCAAAATGTCAGTAGATGAGGTACAAATATTTGAAATTAATTATTTGGCTACTGGTAATTAATATGTAGGAACCAGAGAGTCCTAAGAATCTTCTTTCTGTTTAACTAGTATATCTAGAGAGTGGAGTCAGTGGACTAAAAATAAAAGCATTAACATGCAATCATAGATCTAATGACAGTGTTGTAGAAATTAGACCCTTATGTGCACCTCAATTAAATGAGTGATATTTCCCTGCTAAATATAAGAATTAGCAATAATCCCAACTGATCTCCCTTCTTTTTCTGCCAAGTTCAATGCCTCGATCAATGCTAACTCTCCACCTCCCAATCCTACATGTATGGTACATCTATGTATATTATTATTCCTTATCAAAATAAAGGGAAATACAGATTTGAGCTCAGTGGTCAAGATTACAGACAGAAAATTAGTATCAGTCACAAAGTGTAATGAAATAATTAGAAATTGAATCTTAACTCACATAGAGCTCTATACAAACACTTGTTTGTAGGAAAGCTAAGTTGTATTTAAAAATGTTTTATGTTTGTCAGCTTTTCTATGTTTCAAGCCTCGGACAAAGCTAGAAAAGTAGCGATAATAAAAATAATATAATACTTGACTATAATAGCTTATTTATCAACATTTGCAGCCCAGAGGCTGAACTTTCCATTGAAATAACATTCAAAGGTATAATTTCATCCAATTTTGTTCTGGGAGATAAGTCTAGAGAGAAGTTATAATTATGTAATAGCGAGATATACAGTGCGTCCCAGAAAAAAAACACCAAAGAGAATTATTAATGTTTTATCATAATTTAATCACAATTATAATTAATAAATGACACATATTTATTAAGTTTAGAACCTCCTCTTTCATTTGATGCAACTCATATAATGCATATTTCATGTATGAGTGATTAAACAATTTGAATAGGAAAAAAGGGTACAAAAAAGTCATTTGGCGAAAGGTATCTGAATTTCAAAGAGAAAATCAAATTTCTAGAAAGTTCCTTTTCTGCCCTTCCATATGACATCTCAATCAGGAACATTGAGCCAGGAATAAAATAGTTCTATTTGTTTAAAGCAATGCTTACATTTCCATAATTTTATTAAACAAATTTGTTTTCACTGGCTGCCAACTATAGCAACAAACAGAGTTGCCAAAAGGCTGATCGTCAACGAAACGGAGTGCTAAAATGATAAAAGCTAATAAGGGAGTTTACAGATACAATCTACGCATGGGCAGATAAAGGTCATTTACGCGCTCATGAAAGTTATGAAACATTATTCATTTATGCACCAACGGTACAATCTATGATATGCAGGTGGAAGTATTCTTTTCAAGAGGGCAAACAAAAGGTATTCATGAAGCACATCTAGGACTTTGCAGGTTATTATTCTAAGATGCTCAAAGTGGAACTTCTCCATGTGTAAATGATCTGTGGATATTTGGGGTCATTTGTACCATGTGCTATCTGTAAACTCTCTTATTGCTAGTAAGGTATCATTTCCTATTTGACCATGCAATTAACGACGGAGCAAAAAGTATTTCTGGTAACAGAATGGGGACGATCTGGGAGCCTTTCAGCAAGTTGCTGAGGCTTTCCGGCTTCGCTTCCCTGATTGCGAGGTTCCAGCTAAATCAACTATTTGGCGGAACATTAGAAAATACCAAGAGGAGGGTACTAGCCTGGCCGGGGAGAAGGAGCACATTAAGGTCCCCTGACAACATCAACAACGTACAACGCATGCTGGAAGAGAACCCAAGGGTATCCATCAGAATGAACGGCATGTGGATATCAAAGTCATCATTCTAATGCATCGGATTCAGGCTAACCCCCACACAAAAGGTGTCTGTCTGGATGGGAAAGTGTGGGAATGGCGCGATGATTGGCCCATTTTTCTTTGACGGCAATCTAAACCAAGACGGCTACCTGCGAATCCTCAACAAAGAGATCGTTCCACAGTTGAAAGCGCTCCACTCGCGCCAGGTTGATGGCAGCTTCAGGGAGATTTGATAAATATAGGATGGAGCCCAAGCCCATCGCAGAATCATTGTCAGGGATAGGCTTGCAGAGCTCTTCAATGAAAGGGTAGTCACCACTCATCATCCTGTCAAGTGGCCTGCCAGATCACCCGATCTCACGTCATGCGACTTCTTTCTGTGGGGCTACCTGAAAAGCAAGGTGTTCACAAGCCCACTGCGTGACCTGGGAGATCTGCGAAGGAGAATTGTTGCACCGACATACAAGGCTCCTAAGGAGAGGGCTAAATATCCCTTGGCAAGAACAGAAGATCAAGACCCAGATATATGACAACATACAACTTTTGCTCACTATTGCTTAATGCAGAGCAAGACTCCCTAGACATTGCTAGAGAGCTTAAGACCAGGTTTGTGTCAGATCATTCAGATGTCATCTGCTGGAGGCAGCCGTGCCTCAAAACAGGCTGATGCCCCGAAACTTCATGGATATAATTGCAAATAATCTCAATCTTGAGATTGAAGACATTCCTGAGATCCTGATTGAAAGGAGCTAGGTGGAATGACTGGCGTCCAAGAGTGAACTTCATCTCAGCTGCGGCCATCACATGAAGATCATAAGGTGAATCTTACTCTCCATGCCATTATACATAAAGCACATGCATGTACAAAGTATGGCACAAACTGCACTGATGTGAAACAACTTGCACATATTAACTTGCCAACAAAACTTACACTGTAAGCCATGCCTTCACAAATTCACAGATCCAAATCAACTCAAAATCAATATAAAATGTTTATCTGTATAAACACTTAACTAGGAAAACAAAAAATATTCAGTGAAGAAAAACAAATCAAAGAATAATACTATTTGCAAGTCTTTCTTTAGTGTCTAAGGAGCATATTCTAGGGAACACTTAAAAAAGCAGCAATTACATATCCACATGGGAAACACTATACTTGTAGCAATGTGTTTACCTGCATCTAAACCTTTGCATAGAAATTTGTGTCAGTCTTCTGCAAAGGGAGAGAGGTGTACGATTTCAAAGCTAGATTATATTACAGGAAGTACCATGATTACTTGGATTATAAGAGATAAATTTACTAGGAGCACGGTATAATGCATCAAGTACATTGTACACACGGTAATTCTGAATAAACAGATTCATTTAATTACCCAGGGTAGTGTTTCCAGTGGTTTGATAGAGACCCTGCAAACATGACTATGATTTCAGTTGCACAGAACAACATCTGTTCCTTACATGCACATTTTGAAATGTTTAATCATTTCTTCTTCTTTTTCTATGCATTATTCAGAAATTTGATTTTGGGTTCAGGAGACTAGTGCTTCTACTTTTCCTCTGGGAGTCAATATCATCCTCTTTCTTCTGTGTACACTAGATAGGGGCATAACTAATTTGAAGGTTTGACATGGGCCTGACAAGTACAATAAGAAAACAAATGATATTGTGTGGATTGTTGTCCATTTGTTTTGGAAAAAGCAAGAACTAACATATCATTCACAAATCTGGTTAAGTAGTATGAAGGCATCTCTAATGACACCTTTTCACTTTCAAATAACTACTCTATTCCAAGCAACTGCGGAAGGTGTAGCAGAGAAAATCTGAATGATTCAATCTTCCTTTCTATCTTATGTCTACACCGTATTGTATCTTAGAAATGTATAGTAATAATAATACCCCCCCCCCCCCCAATAATAATACCAAGAAATTGAAGTAGAGATGCAATGGAATACAATTAAACAAATTGGGAGGAGTTATTAAAGATATTATAAGTATGCACGTAAAAATTTATGCTATCCAATTTTGAAGAATGTTATGAGGGTACGGTTTCAATCATTTTAGCATATAATCACTGATTGTTTTAGGTCCTTGTAGTGACATGCAAGTCATTCAACATGAAAGAATGCACAAATCAGTCTACACCAGTACCGGACAGTGGGTTGGAATGCGACCAAATGACAAACAAACCAACCAAAATTAAAAACTAAATACCAGGAAATTATTTCATAACAAACTGAATGATATAATGGTAGATACTAATATGCATAGGGCAAGTTCACCACACTTATCTTCAAAATGAGTTCGACAAAAATAGTACCCAATACACTAAATCAGTGAAAAAGAAAACATTTGTATGGTATTTCTCTAATTTCAGCTAGAAATAAATTCTAGTCGGATTATCATAACCTTAACACCCTGTGAGTGGCACTCAAGTGTATTTAACAGCTCAAATACATTGCATAATAATTATGAGTTCTGAATAAGAGTATTCATGAAGTGAACCATAAGCAGATATCTAAGGGGAATATGAAATTGTACACCAAAACATTTACAATAAGAAATGAAATCTTCACACACAAAAAAATGAGAAAATCAAACTGTCACCTATAAATGTTATTATTCTATTGAGGGGTTATACATGATTTGGACACAAATGAAACAGTTTTCATGCAGTTAAGATCTATACGTACCACTAGCTCTGACAGTTTCTGACTTGGCTTTCACTGTGTCTAAGAACGCTTCAAAATCATCCTCGGTTGCTCTGTGCAGGAAATATAAATCATGAAAATGCTTCTTTTTTTTCTTTTTTTTTTAAGGAATAGGACTCTAAAGATGCTATATTATTAGTTTGTTCATTCATGTGCATGCATTTTTGATTTTATGTAAGTAAACAAAAGGTAATAGGTAAATTAAAACAATGAATTATAGAGTATACATATATTTATGTCACTGATTAAAACTGCTAGATTGAGATCAGTTTAGAGTGAGATCAAAGTAACAAAACATTAATAATGATTATCCCAATCTCTCATTGTGTGCCTGCCTCCCAGCCCCCAGCCTACCCCCCCCCCAAACTCCCCCTCCGCCCTCTCTCTCTCTTTATCTCTCTCCCTCTCTAATCCCTATCATGTCAACTTACACTTCCCAGTCCCCTGCGTCGTCTCCTAGCCATGCCTTGGTTGATCCATTGCTCTGCTGTGTTTTCAACCTTTTCTTCTCCATCTCCAGTAACCTTGCCCTCTTAGTAGCCCGGGAGGACTCCTGTTTCGCTGCATTGTAAGCTTCTTCTTCTAAACGGGCATTCTCTTCCTCTAACTCTAACTACAAGTTTGATAAAAGAAGAAGAAGAAGAAGAAGAAGAAGAAGAAGAAGAAGAAGGGAAAGCAGAAGAAGAAGAACAACAACAAGAAGAAGAAGAAGAAGAACAAGAAGAAGAAGAAGAAGAAGAAAAGAAGAAGAAAAGAAGAAGAAGAAAAGGAAAAGATAATAGAGGGAGAAGAAGAAGAGTTCCCAAAGTGATTAGTCTACTATGATAAATGATTAGCAAACAACTACTTCTATTAATGGGCTGTTTTGTTTTTACTTCGCTTTACTGATTTAAAACTGGTGGGCGTTTGTAAAGAAGCTAGCTTTTGAACTAAAGGTCATTTTGAGTCTGAAATTAATATAAGTTTTTCCCTTGTTCACCACATCGAAGGTTAACGATTAATGGTCACCACTCAATCCCCAAGAAAAGTAAGAAGGTTGATAAAATGATGCTTATAAAAAAACTATGCCCTTGAATGTATTTAATGCATGAAGAAAATACACACAAAAGGTATGGGGTCATGTGAAAAAGGACAAATTTCCTTTCCCAGGCACAGGAGATAATGGACAAACTCGCGAAAGATATTTCCTAAAACACTGAATGTAACTCGGACAAAAGTTTGATTATTTCTTGGTAATACCGAGAAAATTAATCCTTGTTGCAATGATTCAAAGAATAATTTTGTCATCATTATTCCCCTACAAAAATGCATATCATGTTGTTTATGTATTGAACTCTTCATTCTGGGCCACTGCTGCCCTGATAAAGGTGATGCTGCTCAATGTTTTCTGAACATTTTTAGAGTTCATTTTGATTCATCACTTTTCATTTTGAAGTAGAGAGACCTTCACATCTGGGGAGTGTTTCACAAAGACTAAGATGGACTTGACTATGGCAGCCTGGCAGGCCATTCATGCCACTGTTTTCTCTCACTATTTACTGGCATTGGCCGCTCAAGGGACGTACAAATCATGGTCACAAATCTTCATAATGTCCATTTTTTATTAGTTCATTATTGAAGGAAAAAATATTATCTAAAGATCATAATGGTTAGAGCAACCAGTGGCATGAATGGCCTGCCATACTAGTCCAACTAAAAGTCGATATGAGTCTTTGTGAAACACTCCCCTGGGGTGCTATCAAAAATATGTTAACCATTAATGTGTATTATTAATGGACAAACCCTCCCGATTTGTTTGGAAAAGAATTATAGTCTACCTCTTTGTCAAGTCTAGCATCAATTTTCTGCTGCTCTTGTACAAGGTCAGTGTAGCGTCTGTTTTGAAGAAGGGTCCTCTCGTCATCCGTGAGAACAGCATGATTTTGCTGTACCTCATCCTATGGCAAAGAACCATCAAAATCAATCAATCTTCATATAAAGGGAATTATGGTTCAAATTAAAAACAATGAATATGTTGCTTGATATCCATTCAATAGGTAAATTCATTACTATCTTCATGATGAAATCAGTAATGAGATTTCATAAAATTTTGTGAATTGATCTTTAACTCATTCACTTCAATATAATTGGAAAATGAATAAGGTTCTTTTCTTATTTCTATACAAATAATAATTGACAACCCTTTACATTTTACATTAATTCTCAAAGCGAAAATAGGTACACCTTTCTTTAGTTTCTTTTCTTTTTCATCTTTTTTTTTTTGCAGAAGAAATTCAGGATATTATGAATTCAGGCATATAAGAATAAAGTAGATCACATCCATCTTCATGTGTCATCAAAGTGCTTGCTTTTTACAGGAATTTAATGCAATGATACTTGGCATTACATATCTTATCAATACCAAAGTAGAACAAAACCCAGATATTAATGAACTAGCAAGATGATTAGCAAAATTCTACAAAAGCTCTGAACATACATGTACTGCAACACATCATATTCTGAATTTGTGTTTTGAAGGACTAAAATACTTACATCATCAATGAGGTTTTCAAACTCAATATCAATTGAAGAATTGTTAAATCTCCCTGAAAAATAATCTGTCCTCCTGTAATAATAATAAAAAAAAATAGAACACAAAAATTGTAAAATTACATGTCACTTGTATTTGTAGGACATATTGCATCATTGACATTGTCTTTGTAAAAACTATTTGATGACAAAAAGAAAAGAAAAAGAAAGAGAAAAAAAAAAAATTGGAATATGTCAGCAAACCAGTCTTGAGATAAGTTGATTTATGGGAGATACATGTATTGTAAATGCTGCTCAAGTAATACTGAAATAGATTTTATAAAATTCAAAACAAGAAGTATGGCGGTGTGACCAAAGTTCGCTTTCTCAAAAAATCGGTAAGATTTCGAAAATCTGATATCACCAATGGAAAGAGGGTCATAAAATTACCCAGAAACGAAATTTTCTTTAGAATTGGGTGCGAAATTGTGAAAATATTGACAAAAGATTGGCAAATTTTGCAGTTATTTGCGTCCGTTCCGAAAAATTATCAACTTACCGATAAGGGTCTGGAAATCTTCATTTTGAGATCAGAAATCCTCAAAATTGTAAGTAAAGAGTGGTACTAACGGATTGTACGATATCTTGTCTTGCAAATTGAGATATATTACCTTATTTTTGATGGATCGCATTTTTTGATAAATCAACTGTAAACCACCGTGCGTGAAGTTAGGTCTCATTGTTTTTATGACTTTTTTAGATGCAGCGCGCACGCACGATCGGACATCGATTTTTTTTAGATCGCGATATCTCCGAAATCCTTCGACGGTAAATTTTTCTAGTTGAACCAATCTGTAGTAAAAAACTTTGCCGTCCATTTGGTAATAATTGAAATAAATAAAGTTGTGTAGAATGTGAGAAATCATAGATCGAATATCACATTTTGTAATATGTTCTAAAATGTCCACGAACTTTGGTCACCCCTTCATAAATCTTTACGTGACATACATGTACCATCGTCTGCAATACGCAAGGTCTGATATAGACTACCTGTAACTTAAGAAATATTTCGACTGCATGTCTGCACAGCTGATTAAAGAAAAATGAGCTAAACTGAAAAGTCACTCAGCTCAGGTTTAATTCTGATTCTCGGAGCGACTGAGCTGAAGAAGACATAAATAATCTAAGTGGGCCTGCATGTGTAAGTTTAGTTGAGTCCAATGTTTATATTTTTTAACGTTGATCGTTATATTAATAACGCGCGTATTCTCAATTCTCATGAACAAACAACAACAAAATGAAAAAAAAGGAAATTCAGATCATTCTTAATTCTTATCACAAACAAAAATCAAATAAAATTCTACTCTGACAACTGACAAGTCTGACTCCATCGACTGACGACGTCCATGTTGTCGCTGACTGACTGATGTTTGTGCACTCACTTTGTTTTCACACTACCAAAGCATGACTTCAGGCAATTCCCCATTTTACTTCAGTCTTTTCTGGCGCTGGCGTTGGCCTGGTAGCTGATTAATGAATAAGCTTTCGGGGCTGACTCGGCCTCGCCCTCGGGCCCGGTGATGTGGTGATGTGTCCGCTGCTCCCTTGGTCCGGTCTTGAGCTGGATGCGTGTAGTGTACACAGCTCAAGCACAACAGTACGGCGATGAATTCAATTCATCTGAAAATTCTGGTCCATGTTCTCGGGTCAAATGACCACATTTCGCAATAGAAGTGAACCGCATATATCATAATTAGAAGCTTAAATACAGTACACCCGCTACAAATCCTCTTGAATATGAGCTGTGGAACACAAACATTAAAAAAAGATTTTTTGGTGATTTGTCTCACATGACTATGACAAATTGGTGACGCCTCCAATAATGATGTGTACAAATAATCCCGGAAGATTGTATGGTAGCGCAGCTGTAACAAAACAAAAAGGATCCCCAACAAACTGAAAAAACTTAGACTTTCGGTTTCATTAGAGTCCATATATATGCAGCCTATTTTGGCTGTCATATTAGTTCCCTGTAGCTTAGTTCTCTAGCTATTTAAACAAAAACAAATATATTGAATTGTCTGCATTATTAGGGAGGTGGAAGTGAGATCCCCTAATTCTTTTAATGGAAAGAAATCATCCTCCTATTCTTTCTTCTGTATCTTTCTACTTCAAGATTTAGAAATTCTTCTCCTTTCTTTTTCTCCATATATACCGATAGTCCTCTATATTGATGCAAGTTATTTTCAGTTTCCTCTGTAATATATACCCGCTCAAACTCATTTATTTAATATACTCAAGCAAAACAAATCTTTTTGAAAGTTGGGTTTCTTATTTAATGTCAGGATGTGATATGGCCTAGCATGAACTGAATTCCTGCCAAGATCCCAGTATTCTCATATTGTTAAGAATATGGGCAATTCAAGATCATCGTGATCCTATATATTTCTCCTCATTGTCGCAACAATGATGATGATCATCATCATCATTACCACCATCATCATCACACCATTCTCATCATCACCATCATTATCGATCATCCTCATCATCATGCAACGTACAACACCACCATCATCATAATAATCACCATTAAATCAACAGCATCAACAATCCCTATAAAATCACCAATATTATAACCATGCATCATCATCATCATAAAGCTCGTTATAAGCATCATCATCATCACCTTCGTCATAATAATCATCATCTTCAACATGCAACATTATCAACATCACCATCATTATCATCAACACCTTTACTTGTATTGTCCATGGCCAATGAAAGTCCACATTTAAAATGTTATAACAATTAACATAATTTTCACTATAACAAAATTTTCAGAATACTTGTTCTTTTGGTGACTATAGGACTGAATTAAAGTTTAAATTACCTATAAGCACAAGAAGAGGGAGTCTTTCAAAAGTTTATTTTCGTATTCTTCCTGCAGAATGAGAATTCATAGTTTTTATCACAAAGAATATATTTTTCCAGAAGTCGACCTCTTTCAAAATTACATATTTTCTTGGTCTTATTGGTGACCTGGGGAGTGTTTCACAAAGATCCTAAGTTTAACTTATCTCTAAATTGGACTTAACAATTATGGGAAGCAATTAGCATCCTTGAAGGCATTAAATTTTGATTCAAATCATTCATATTTTCTATTATCATGGGGGATTTCATGTTCTTGATTTGGAATGTATGAAAAGTCTAAAATACATGAGTTTTTGCTTTTGGATATATTTTATTATAAGGCTACAAATGGCTTTCCATAATACTGAAGTCCAACTTAGAGTTAAGTTCAACTTAGGAATCATTGTAAAACACCCCCTGGACAGAATCAAATTCAAAAGACCTATTACGTAGAAGAATGAAATCTTTAAAAATCAACCAATTAGTCCTTTTTGTTCCCGAATGAAATCTTTAAAAATCAACCACTTAGTCCTTTTTGTTCCTGTCATTCATACCTTATCAACTCTTAGTAGGGAGGCCAATGCCCGGGCGTAAGGCTTCTACACCTACGATTTGTGCGCTCGTCGCCCACTTCAAAAAATTAGCAAAGGAAAAAAAATGATGTAAAAATAAAAATTGAAGAAAATATGAAAAGAAAATACAATTATACATTTCACAACATACCTATAATCACGGATCTGTAACAGTCTTTCACCATTTGTTGACAATCTTGCAGATTTTGACGTTTTTTAATCCAATTGTTTCAGTGATCGATGTGAATTCATTTTATTAAGTCGATCAAGTAGATTGATTATATTTATGTTTAGCGCCATCTGGAGGCTACTAAATTCGTGTAAAGAAATGACACCCTTTTTGGTTTCCAGTGGATGAAATCTATTGATATTGGAGGCATCCTTGTGTAAGATGGAAGTTAGATGCACTTAAGAAGGCAGAATGAAGGTATGTAATGATGATATGTGATGAATGTTGTATATAAATGCAGTAATGATGCGATATTCTATGATTAAGTACCTTTCATTCGCACCTAACTCGTTGTGTACATTACATGGATGTAACTTACATTGCACGGTAGCCGAGACGGTCGGCTCACATACCGAATGTTATTGTTATGTAATGTACACTACGGCATGCGTATGAAAGGTACACGTATGCAAGAATGTAAACAAAGATTTGCCTTGTTTGAGTCAATGTACTAAGATGAGTACTTAGGGTGCATAATATGAGAAAGTTGTTATATGATTTATACAAGTTTATATTGATAATTAATAGATGGCTTAGTTATAAAGATACATGCTGTAATTATGAACAGAAGTGATACAAAGGATGTATGTCAGAAAGCCTGACTTAGTTCAATTAAGCATACATGTACTGGTAGAATTGTATTTAGTTTATATGCAGTACAAGTTAATGTGTGAGATAAGGAAAAGGTTCAAACAAGGGGTTAATTAGCTGTAAGGTGCATATTATTGATACGAGTCACCAGGTTTTCTCTAAGCATAATATGTATATTTATGAACAGTTGATTTATGATCCGTTCGATCTATTTTCATTTGTGCAGTTTTTACGGAGCATTTGGAGCAACAAGAGAATTGGAATAATAAAGAAAGACCAATAAACAAAGTCAAAGATGCTTCCGCTACAGTAAAAACTTCTTTTACGTCTAGACGTCTCCACGACAACTGAAAGAGAGCTATTTCATCATGGCTGACACTGAAGGTGAAAGTAGACCCCATCGTGAACCCAAGCCCACAGAGAAAGGACTACAATGGCAAGTGGAAATTAAATCCAAAGAGTTTGACAGCTGCATTAAGTCCTGGAATAGAACCGCAAACAAGTTGCGAGTTTTACTTGGTGATGAAAGCGAAGCGTCGACAGTACAGGAGACTAGAGATGCTCTACAAGGTACTGTAGACAAACTGATAAACACCCAAGAAGAGTTGGCTGCACTTAGAGTAACTGCGAAAGTTGAAGACAACAGTGATGACAAGCTAGATGAGGTAGAAACAGCACACAACAACATCATGAAACAGACTCTTGATGTATTGATAGCCCTTAGACCCTCATCTCGAACTTCATCTAAGAAGTCGAAGAAGTCTCTTCCTGTTGAACCGCAGGAGCTACAGGATTGCCAGGATTGGGTGAACGACATCCAGGTGAACGACATCCAGGAAGAAGTTGAAGCAGTAAGTCAAGTTAGTCAACCTAAGTTAGACAGTGTGCAGAACGTTCAAGCTGAGACGATGAGATTTCTGGTTGAACAGATGAGGATGACGAGGCTTCCTTTACCAGAACCAGCAATCTTTGCAGGAGATCCATTGACTTACCCAGCATGGAAGCATGCATTTGATGTTCTCATTGAACAAAGCGGTATACAGCCTATGGATCGTTTCTTCTACTTGCAGAAGTACCTCAAAGGCCAGCCCTTGGAACTTGTGAGAGGATATGCGCTCATTGGAGATGAGAGAGCTTATCTAGAAGCACTGGTAGCTCTTAAGCAGAGGTATGGAGATTCTTTCATTATAGCAAATGCTTTCAGAGACAAGCTAGACAGATGGCCTAAGATTTCTTCGAAAGATGCACTTGGTCTAAGAAAGCTAGCTGATTTTCTTCACCAATGTGTCACTGCAATGGATAGGATTGGAAATCTACACCACCTAAACGATGAGAGGGAGAATCAGAAGCTCTTAGCGAAATTGCCAGACTGGCTTGTGGTGAGATGGTCACGTAAGGTCATTGGATGGACAGAGATGAAAGGACAGTTTCCTCCCTTTCAAGAATTTGTGAGGTTTATAGATGAAGAGGCTAAGATAGCATGTTATCCAATCACATCTCTACACCACATGAAGGATAGGAGATCTGATCAAGGCAAGCCTGTACCAGATGTTAGAACTCTCAACACCAATGTCAGATCTTCCAATTCAGACAACAAGAGACAGAGGGAGAGGAGAAATATTCAACGCTCCTGCTACCTGTGTAAGAAGGATCACCTCCTAGAAGAATGCAGTGAATTTGCATCAAAGGACATGACAGATCGTAAAAGGTACATAAGAGAGAAAGGTCTATGCTATGGATGCTTGAAGGCAGGCCACATGTCCAAGCATTGTAGATGGAGAAGTACCTGTAGTATTTGTCAAGGGCGACATCCATCTTGTCTACATGAAGATAGGAAGAAACCAGAACCAAAGACGGAGACAAATGTAGAAGACAGACCTATGGAAACTCAGACGTCATGGTCTCATGCTTCATTTAGTCAGCAACCTACCGGTACTAGTAGATTGACCACCATGAAGAGCACTATGATAGTTCCTGTTTGGTTATCTCATCCAACCATATCAGACGAGCGAATGGTGTATGCATTATTAGACACCCAATCTGATACCACTTTCATGTTAGAGAAAACCAAGGATGTGATGAATCTGCATGGAGTTCCTGTCAGTCTTCTTCTTTCAACGATGTCTGCTATGGATGAAAGAGTACCAAGTGAACGCATAGAGGGTCTGACCATCCGATCATTTGATGGAGAACAACGGTTCGCTCTCCCGACAACCTACACCAGACGGTTTATACCAGCAAACCATGATCACATACCCACTCCAGAGATGGCAATGAGAATCCCTCACTTATCCAAGATTTCACATCATCTCATGCCCCAGCAAAGTTGTGAAGTTGGTTTATTGATTGGATATGACTGTGCAAGGGCACTCATACCAAGAGATGTCATCCCTCCTGCTGATGATAATGGTCCGTATGGTCTTAGGACGGACCTTGGATGGAGCATCGTGGGTACTGTGAAGGAAGATGAACACAAGTATGCTTATGAGGATGATCCCGTCGGTGTAAGTCATCGATTGACAGCCTGTGAGATTCCTGCTGAGCTAAGGACAGTAAACAAGGATGTGTTGTTCGCTCATAACACATCAGTAAAGGAGGAGATCACCCCTGCAAGAGTGACGAGATTGATGGAAGCTGATTTCCTTGATAGAAAGGATGAAGGAGCACCATTTTCGCAAAATGATGTGAGATTTATGAATATTATGAGAAAAGAAATTCATAAGTCAGCGGAAGGACACTATGAAATGCCTTTGCCCTTCAAAGGAAAGAGACCAGCGTTGCCTAGCAACAACTTCCATGCAAAACGAAGACTTGATCACCTAGGGAGAAAACTCAAACAGAACGAAGAATACCATAGAAATTACACAAAGGTAATGAACACCCTCCTTGAGAAGGGATATGCTGAGTCAGCGCCAGACCATACCCCCAATGGTCAAACGTGGTACATTCCCCATCATGGAGTTCTTCAGCCAAACAAACTGAGGGTGGTTTTTGACTGCAGTGCGAAGTGCAGAGGGGAGTCCCTGAATGATCATCTGCTAACAGGACCAGACTTGACTAACAAGTTGGTCGGAGTTCTCTGTCGTTTCAGGCTGGAGCGGGTTGCATTCATGTGTGACATTAAAGAAATGTTCCACCAGTTTAAAGTCAATCTGGACGACAGGGATTATTTGAGATTTCTCTGGTGGACAGACGGTAACTTCAACCAACAGCCCAGTGAATTCCGGATGAAAGTACATCTGTTCGGGGCAGCCTCCTCACCGGGATGTGCTAACTTCGGTCTCCGACAAGTAGCTTCTGACTTTGCTGCAGACTTTGGTGAGGATGTAAGAGACTTCATTCACCAAGAATTTTATGTGGATGACGGACTGAAGTCATTGCCTACAGTACAACAGGCTGTGGATCTGATATCCAGAACCAAGCAGTTATGTGAGAAGGGAGGTCTTCATCTGCATAAATTTGTCTCCAATTCAAGAGAGGTACTGAAGACTGTTCCAGAGGAAGACAGGGCGAAGAATGTCAGAGAGATTAACCTTCTCCATGATGATTTACCTCTAGAACGAGCTCTTGGCGTACAATGGTGTGTCGAATCCGATGCATTCAACTTCAGAATCACACTTCAGGACAAGCCCCTAACCAGGCGAGGCATACTTTCCACAGTCATGTCTATTTATGACCCCTTAGGACTGTTGGCACCAGTTGTGCTCACAGGGAAGCAGATTCTCCAGACATTGTGTAAGCTGACAGCAGACTGGGACGATCCGCTTCCAGATGTTCTGCGAGAAAGATGGGAGAAATGGAGAATAGACATACTGGAACTTCAATCACTCTCTATCCCTAGATGTTACAAGCCTGCTGAATTCAAGGCCGTGAAGTCGGTACAGTTTCATCACTTCGCAGATGCAAGTACAACAGGGTATGGTCAATGTACTTACATGAGATTAACTGACGCCGCTGATAGAGTGCATTGCACACTAGTGATTGGAAAGAGCAGAGTGGCACCCTTGAAGTCTGTAACAGTACCTCGCCTGGAATTGACTGCCGCTGCTGTTGCTGTGAAGGTCAAGAAGTTCCTGAAAGCAGAGCTTAAACTTAATGACGCAGAACATGTGTTCTGGACAGACAGCAAAGTTGTGCTTGGCTACATAAAGAACACTGACAGGCGCTTTCATGTATTTGTAGCCAATAGGATTCAACAGATCCGTGACCATTCCAGTCCATCAGATTGGAAGTACATTGAATCAAAGAACAATCCTGCTGACGAAGCATCCAGAGGTCTAACGGTGCATCAGCTGAAGGATTCAAAGTGGTTACATGGACCAGAAATGCTGTGGGAAAAGAATTTTTCCATAGATGAGGATGGAGAGACATTCGACTTACTTCCTGATGATCCAGAGATGAAGAAATCCCAGGTACATGTCTCCCAATCCAGTGCAGATGTGTTTGACCTGAGTAGACTGCAACGTTTCTCTAGCTGGATTGCTGCAAGGAAAGCAGTCGCAAATTGTCTGCTCTTCATTTCACGTTTGAAACAAAGCTGTAAAGACAGGCGTGATGGGAAAGCAAGTGACTACCCAACAACCAGAAGGGGTGTTACTGTGCAGGATCTTCATCTAGCAGAGATTGAAATTCTAAAGCACGTTCAGAAGGAAGCCTTTGAAGATGAAATTCAGATCCTGAAATCTATCCAGAAAAACCAGAGTCTAACTGAAAGAAAGAAGAGGCGTCAAATCAAGAAAGCTAGTCATCTACATGGTCTTGATGCCTTCTTAGATGACAATGACATCCTGAGAGTAGGAGGACGGATTCGAAGAGGTGACGACTCTTATGAAAGGAAACACCCAGCAATTCTTCCGCAAAGTCTCCATATCACGGAACTGATAATTCGTCATTGTCATGAACTAACAGCACATCAGGGGAGAGGCATGACACTCAATCAAGTCAGAGAGAATGGATTCTGGGTTCTTGGAGGCAGTAATCGAGTATCCAAACTCATAAGGAAATGTGTCATGTGCCACAAACTACGTAGCCCAACTCAAATCCAAAAAATGTCGGATCTACCTTCTGACAGAGTTACCGAGACGTCACCCTTCACATATTGTGGGATGGACTGCTTTGGACCTTGGACGATCAAGGAAGGTAGAAAGGAAATGAAGAGATATGGTCTGCTCTTCACCTGTATGGCCTCGAGAGCAGTACACATTGAAACACTCAACAGCTTGACTACGGATTCATTCATTCAAGCACTTCGTCGTTTCACAGCTCTTCGAGGACCAGTGCAGCAACTGAGAAGTGATAGAGGGACAAACTTTGTCGGAGCTGAGGCAGAACTAAAAAGGGCCTGGTCTGAAATGGATCATCAGAAGGTAAAGGACTGTCTTCTAAATGAAGGATGTGATTATGTTCACTTCGCCTTCAACGTTCCCTCAGCTAGCCACATGGGAGGAGTTTGGGAGCGTCAGATACGTTCCATTCGCAGTGTGCTGGAAACTCTACTGTACCAATCCGGCAGACAGCTCGATGATGAATCACTACGAACATTAATGTGTGAAGCTGCAGCCGTAATCAACAGCAGACCATTGACGGTAAATCACATCAATGACCCAACGTATCCAGCACCTCTGACTCCTAACCATCTCATCACAATGAAGTCTAGAGTTTTCCTTCCTCCACCGGGAAACTTCCAGAGTGCAGATATGTATTCCAGAAAACGATGGCGTAGAGTGCAGCATCTCATAAATGAGTTCTGGAATCGCTGGAAGAAGGAATTTCTTCAGAACCTGCAAGTCCGACAGAAGTGGACTCACCCACAACGTGAAGCTGAAGTCGGCGACATTGTCATTGTGAAGGACGTGAATGCACCCAGAAACCAGTGGCCACTAGCACGTGTTATCAGAGTCTTTCCATCTGAAGATGGACACATTCGCAAAGTGAAACTCGTTGTGGGGGACTCCAGAGTATGTAATAGCGGTAAGCGTAAGAACCCTCTTCAAGAATTGGAGCGTCCTATCCACAAACTGGTGCTTCTGTTACCGCGTGAAGACCAAGAGGAATTCCCGGCCAAGGAACCCGACATTTGATAATTTCGCGGGGAATCCATTTAGTTAGGGTTAAACTTGTTATTTAAGTAAGACCTTAAGATTTCTGGTCAAGACTGGAATTATTGAAACAACAGGTCTGTGGATAAGACTAATTAATTTACATTATCCCCAGAAACGTTTATTTGAAACGGTCTAGAACGAAGGCTGTTTGCTTCTTCAGGGTCTGCACGTGAGACTATACAAATTCATTTATTACAGACTCTGCTGCCTGAATTGAGACTAATTGAACTGTGAAAATTGCAATTGGACAAATTTTCCATAAAGACATAAAACTTTCATTGTAAACTGCAATGCATTTAAATGTATGCATGTGTTGTTATGTATTTGTCTAATAACCATTTATTTCTTCACAGGTCAGTTCTAGTAATCTCTGAATCGATTTATCATGCTAATCCACTGAAATGTCCATGTTTATGTGATTAAGTGGCTATTACATTCCAAAAAGGGAATTTATTTATTTATTTTTTTTGGCTAAAAATTGCTAAATTCCAGATATTTGTTGGTAGTATAGTGGTTATATTGCATTTATAGCATTTTTCACCATGAAGTGATATTTATTTAAATGTGAACATTTCTACTTTGAAAACATAAGCCAAGTTTTTTGTGTTTTCTCATAGCTACTAAGATTACCGGTAAATGTGAAACTAGTAAAATAACATTTCTAGATAAAGCATGAAAACAGTGTTTATCAGTAATTGCATTTGGACTCATATTGAGACGAAAATCTGTTTAAAGAATTTAGAGGTATTTTGTTAAATCCAGTAAGGTAAATAGCACAGTATAGGTTTGGTTCAAGCCAGATACATTTGTTATATAGCTGTTGAAGAAACCTTGTGTATGGACTTATTTAATACAAGTCGAGTCAGTAATGCTGATAGAACGGGTATTTCCCACGTAAATGTGTTTTAAAGCTGATACTATTTGGGGAATTTTTATTTGATGGTTTGAGATAGTGCATCATGTGCCCTATGTGAGTTTTGAAATTTAATCTCAAGACAGAGATATAAACAAATAATTTCATAAAGAGTGCTGAACTACATTCAGTAAATAGGTTAAAAGGGATAGGTAATTCCTTGATAATGTCAATCGATTGTTTAGTAAATTTTTAGAATAATTTAAAGGAGCCATGTTTCAGTGATCGATGTGAATTCATTTTATTAAGTCGATCAAGTAGATTGATTATATTTATGTTTAGCGCCATCTGGAGGCTACTAAATTCGTGTAAAGAAATGACACCCTTTTTGGTTTCCAGTGGATGAAATCTATTGATATTGGAGGCATCCTTGTGTAAGATGGAAGTTAGATGCACTTAAGAAGGCAGAATGAAGGTATGTAATGATGATATGTGATGAATGTTGTATATAAATGCAGTAATGATGCGATATTCTATGATTAAGTACCTTTCATTCGCACCTAACTCGTTGTGTACATTACATGGATGTAACTTACATTGCACGGTAGCCGAGACGGTCGGCTCACATACCGAATGTTATTGTTATGTAATGTACACTACGGCATGCGTATGAAAGGTACACGTATGTAAGAATGTAAACAAAGATTTGCCTTGTTTGAGTCAATGTACTAAGATGAGTACTTAGGGTGCATAATATGAGAAAGTTGTTATATGATTTATACAAGTTTATATTGATAATTAATAGATGGCTTAGTTATAAAGATACATGCTGTAATTATGAACAGAAGTGATACAAAGGATGTATGTCAGAAAGCCTGACTTAGTTCAATTAAGCATACATGTACTGGTAGAATTGTATTTAGTTTATATGCAGTACAAGTTAATGTGTGAGATAAGGAAAAGGTTCAAACAAGGGGTTAATTAGCTGTAAGGTGCATATTATTGATACGAGTCACCAGGTTTTCTCTAAGCATAATATGTATATTTATGAACAGTTGATTTATGATCCGTTCGATCTATTTTCATTTGTGCAGTTTTTACGGAGCATTTGGAGCAACAAGAGAATTGGAATAATAAAGAAAGACCAATAAACAAAGTCAAAGATGCTTCCGCTACACCAATAATTGTGGTTGCAGACGACCTTGACGCACTCGCACCACCGACTAAGAAAATCCTAGAGGGCGTAGAGGTTTGCTCACTAAAAACCTTCTCATTGGCAGAAGGTAGACCCTAAAAATATGGGATCCGTTTTGAGTAAAGAACTTTTGATAGAGATCAACATTTCAGATGTTCACAATTGCCACTTCTAACAACTAGAAAATATAAAGAAAAAAGATTATATCTTTTTAAATACAGATTTTTACAAACTGAACATTCGAAAGTAGATAGAGTACGATGATTCTGTCAATCTTGCGTTGGTTTGAGCCCTATAGCTACATCCATCTCAAAATGAGAAGGAAAACAGTGAACAGTGACGTCATTGTTCGCGCCAAAAATAAAGGGTATTGCGACATAATCTGAGCTCCGGTCAAATCGTGCGCAAAGCGTAGTCTTATTTATAGACCCTAGTACCTTATTCTCACAGCACTAGATACGAGTGTCGTGCAGTAATGTATGAGAAGTGTTAAAAAAGATATTTCAGTAAAAAAAAAAGTCTACATGAGCAGTCTATACTCCAATTGAGAATTGAAATGAAAGCCATGATTTGAAGGTGTGTGTTGTGTATGATACATGGTTAGTGAGTGTGTATGTTACGTATAGCGAAAGGGAGAGAGAGAGAGAGAGAGTGAGAGAAATATTAGTACACGTACGTTGCATGCATGCATGGATGTGCGCTATGATTGTGTTCGCTGCAAGATGGATTTTAATTGGACCTCGTAACTTCTCGATCGTTGATAATAAGGAATACTCATGAGGAAATCAAATTATTGGAATACACATCTAAGGTAAATATCAATGAATTATATATATTTCTTTCCTTTTTTGAACCATCGTCTTCGGCTCGTAGTAGTAGAAGATGTAATCGTTCGCACATTGATGGCTGGACTTCAGCCTGCATCGGGGCTTGCCTGTGTCGGTGGAGGGATCAACTAAGAAGAAGAAGGTGTGTACATGTGCGACCGATTCAAGGCTAGCCGCTGTTGAGTGATTGCACTTTCGCGCGAAGTTTTAAACTTCATCATGAACTTTGTCCCTCGGGCCTGTCTAATTATGAACGTAACTTTGCGACATGAAATATAATTGTTTCAAGGCTCTTACGTACGGAAAGGCGTAGAAGGAAATGGCTACAAACCAGCTGGATATCTCCTATTTGATGGAACCTATGGAGTCGGCAGATGGGTGGATTTTCTTAGTGAAAGTAAATGCTTTCTTTTAATCTTAGTTTTAGTATAAACAAATTAGATCTAGTAATTAAAAAGTTAGATTTGGGCATTGGCCTCCCTACTCTTAGGCCTATATGGTGTATATACCAAACCATAACGTTTTCTGTATCATACTTGCCGTTCCACACTTGCACAGAAATGTTATTCATCAGAAATGAAAAAATTCTACATCTGTAAAGAAGGATTAATGTTTATCACAAATAGATCTATTTAATATTAGTGCTGTAGCCGAACCGCCGAACCGAACGGAAGTTCGCCGAACATGGCACTTCCGAACCGAACCGAACCGAACCGAACGCAAAGGCCTGGTTCGGATGTTCGGCAAAAAAAATGTAAACGTTTTTGCAAGCTAATAAACTTTTCATTTTGTACCTAATTTTCATGTTATGATTGCTCATATTATATTTACTTTTTTTCCCATTTTCCGCCCTTGTGATTTATGCCTATCCAGTGGTGGGCGCAACTTCACTGGCGCCATTTAAATCCCAAATCCTGACCACGCTACGTCGCGATCGCAAGCCATAAACAAGAATACATGTGCGTGATCAAAACAAGTTTAGCTCAATTTGCTCAAACCCGTTGAACAAAACATTAATATTTTAATTGTAACCATATCGGACAAATTTTACAATATAAATAATGAAATAAATATTTATTATCGTATGGTATTTATTTATTCAGGAAAAATAGGGATTTTATATTTTTCCTATTGAAAATAAAAACTTATAAAAAACAGTTCTTGGCGAGCCTGAAAATTTCTATTCAAGATGGCACCTTGTATGACTCTAACATTAGACAACAACCGTCTCGGAAAATCTTTTAAAAATATCATTGATTGACAAATTGAAAACATGATTCTTTTAAAATTGAAAATAAAACACGATTCAAGACGGAAATACGAATGTAAGTAGTATTTTTCTTCACAAATAATTACGTTTAGAGCAGTTTTTTAATGTGAAATTTGTGCTGGTCGGAAGCAGTGTGCAGAAGTCCTCTGTGCCGGTCGGGCCCGGCAGGGCGGGCGGCCTGCCCAGTCCCGACCGCCGTGGCTATAACGCTGCTTGCTATTAAATTACCGAACCCCGAACCGAACCAAGTTCGGGTGAAAAATTGCCGAACTCTGCCGAACCGAACCGAACACGAACATAGCGTCTGACTTACAGCACTATTTAATATCATCTCATAATTGTGAAATTGGTATCCTGTATGGTACATAAGTATTTTCACACACATCACATTTCAAACGTAATAGAAATCGTTAGAAATTTTAAATCAGGAAGGTAATGGCACAGAATTTTTCATAGGTGACCATAATTATCAACACCATCTGCATATCATCAAGCTCTCAATAATTCATTGCATAAAATAACTTGATATTAGGGTAGACTTTCGCTTTAAGCCATGTGACATATTGAGGTTGTGTGATGTGACCCTATGTTCACCATGGTTTACTGCGGTCTGTGAGGACAAGCCTTAATGAGGCACTTAAAGGGATTGGGTATCTCTGTCTCAGGTTCTGAAACAAAATCCTGGATTTAGCTCATGCTGCAATCATAATTATAAACCTTAAGGTCAGTCAGGAACCCCATTACTTTTACAACTTCAACTGTTAGGGCTTCAATATTACACCATATCACAGACACTGATAACACGTAGGGCCATGCATCTCAGATTAAATATTGTTAAACGATGCCTTTAACAAAGACATATGCATTAAATTTAATTACATTTCAAAAGTGGCCTATCAAGGACTTTCAGATGCCGACTCAATCTACACATAAACTCCATGATACAAGGCAATAAAGACCTAGAACAAACAGAGAAGTCAATACTGATGGAACACTAGCAGAGCAAATCTTTGAATCTTCACAAAACAAAGAATGTGCATGGTATATAGAACACTGTTTTGACTGATCTTTGTGCGTATACTGTCTTTTCCGCATTGTTAGCTGCACATGGCATCAATTCCTTTGAACCAAATGGATCAATTAGCACAGTGGAATGATGCACAGCCAACATTAGTCTACAGCCTCAGTTGGATCAGACAGTGTTGGGACTGACATAAAATCCTTCCTCCAAACAACAGGGATCGACATCAACCGGTTTCAACCCAAAGATAACTGACTTAGATATCATTGAATGAAATCTAATATTATTAACACGTCATTTGCTATCATTAAACCAATGGAAGAAGAATTTTTTTTACATATACACTAATAGAATTTAGATAAATCAATAAATCCACTTCTATTGAAATCAATTCACGATCAGTCATTTTACAATCATATACACCTAGTCTTGCTGGCAAGGTGTATTTCTATCTCTTCCAAAATCAGCAAGGAATAATTTTCAAACCTCTACATACTTGAAGAGACCATATCAATTATTCTGCAATGGTAGGGAAACATACAATGATTAGATGATTAGAAATTGGCCTTCCTCAAAGCAAAATTATGAATACAATGCATTGTGGATGTTTTATGCAGAAGTTTTCAGGAAAAAAGGTATGTAGGGTTAGAAACATAACTTTGAGAGCTGAAAAATAGGATCAATCCTCCGAGATAAGAATGGTTGGCAGCTCTGATAAAATTTGGAGAAGGTGCTACAGTTCACAAGTTTTAGTGATGTTTTATCTTTAGCTATTGAGACGGAGGGTTGATTTACACAATTTATATAAACTGCATTTAGGTATAACTATTGCTATAACTGTGAAGTTTTCTTGTGGAATTCCAGGAGCCTGGCAAGCGCACTCTCAGCAGACGCGATGCAGCCATCAAAGTTGGAATGACTGAATCCATCCCCAGCGGCTAACAGCAGGTAGCTTGGATGCTCAGCTATGGTCACGTGACCTGGAGCCCCTGCCAGAGGTTTACTGACCTGGAATGATAGAAACAAACAGAATGATGACATGTTAACAATTAAGCTCAAGTTTTCAAGTTTTTCATTGTTCCACATTTTACACAAAATATAGACATACATATAAAATAAAAACTATAGGATACATGTAGTATAAATGAGCATGTCTCAATGGTTCTCAATTCATATAATAGATTAAGTAAAATGTGAGGAACCTATTAAAAAGCAGTGCTTGTATACAAAGGAATCTCAGGTAGAATCATAATGGTGTTTTCACTGTTAAGGTTAATTGGTCAATACAACAAGCTGGCGATGAATATCAATGTGAGAGGGTGCAGGACTGTTCTGCAACCCTGTGAAGAATGTTAATGGATTTCAATGTGAAAGCATTTCTAAACTGTATCTGATTTAATAAGTTTATCTAGCATTGTGGCAAACATTCTGCTTTGGTTTGGTTCATTAATAGGAGTTACTTCCTAGCATGAACTTTACTAGATTCAAATCATTGAAGAAATGATGTATTACCTGAGAGTATCTCCAGCCTACACACTTAATACTGCTTGGCTCTGGTAGGTTAGGTATGACATCATTGAGATGGTTCATGATGATTGGTTGAACATCAGACTTGGCCATATCTATGTGTTTAATACCAAACGGTACACTCGTGTGGACGACAACAGACGGCCCGTGCGTCTTCCCATCTGGGTAAGAAGAAATGCAATGTAAATGTAAATGGAGGTGTCATGGTTGAGTGGTTTATTCACTCGACTCCCGCTCCAAAGGGTGAGGGTTCAAATCCCAGCCCAGCACTAATATCCTAATATGGACGACAACAGACGGCCCATGCGTCTTCCCATCTAGGTAAGAAGAAATGCAATGTAAATGGAGGTGTCGGGTTGAGTGGTTTATTCACTCGACTCCCGATCCAAAGTGCGAGGGTTCGAATCCCAGCCCAGCACTAATATCTTTTGGTTTGAATATTCAGCCACTCTCCACTGAGGTGTTAGTTGTTACTGGATACCTGGCAATGGGTGGGATAATAATAAAGGCAGGGCCCTCAGAAAAAAGGCTGTTTAGGCTTTGCAAAGTAAACAATTATTACCCCCATATCAGTCAAGTTTTAAAGATCTAATAATTGCCTTTTCACTTGGAAGATGAGCCAAAATAACAGTACAGTCAAACCTGTCTATAGCAACCACCCAAGGGAAACACAAAAAGTGGCCTTTGAAGACAGGTGGTCTTTGTAGGCAGGTGGTCACCAAAGCAGGTTTGACTGTACATAATTGCTGAAAAACATATTCAAACTTACAGATGTTTCTCCCCATTACCACTGGTAATCAACAAGTTAATTCACCCACGATATGACATACAATAAATCATATCACATAAATCAAATCAAGTGAATTAATCAAATTCAAATCCTAATAGTGTCTTTTTTACAAAAGCATCATTATAACAAAGGGTTCTCTTGTGTACCCTACATTACTTCCTAGAATTAGATGTTAAAAGAATAAAGAGAAAAATCAAGCGACCAAAATTCTTACCCACTCCTCTTTTCTCGTTATCGACAGAGACCCATCGGATGCAGGGGTTACCGTCTACATACTTTCCTACATAAGGAACATCTATAGTAACACCAGGAGGGTAGAACAGACCAAGGGCAAAGCGAGATGAATACTGAACCGCTTTAAGATCCTCAAACAGTCCACTGTCCTTTTCTGAAAAACAAACAAGGAAAGGGTTTATTTACAAACACAATAGGACCCCATCCCCTAACATAGTCCATACTTATTGTAGGTTAAATAATCAAACTTGATACAATGCCTTTGTCTTGCATTATCAGGTTTATATCAGCCAATAGAATTTATATTCTATTTGAACAAACTTCAAATTGTTTTTTAAAATGAATCATTATTTTTTTTCTCTCCGTTATTCATTACTAAGATTTATATGTAGTGTTAAATTATTTCACAAAATAAATCAGTGATCATTTAAAGAAAAAAATAATATGGGCACTACTGTACCATTTCTTTATATACTACATGCATGTGGTCAATTATAAACAGTAAATATGTTACAGAAAAAATCACATAGAAAATAGTGCAAATATAATATTTCTAAGACACATTAGTCTTGTACCTAGACACTGCTGAGTGAATCCCTGTTGTTTTAGAATCTGTGGGACTGGCATGGTCAAGACTACAGCATCATATCCACTATCTGTTTGAGAAGCAGTTGCCGCAGAGACGGAGAGTTTGGGTTTGCCTACCGATTCCTCCTCAACGTCCACTCTGGATAGATGATGGTCAACTTGCAAGGAAGCTCCTATCAAACAAACAAAACACTTAACGTTAACTGTAAGGTATACAAACTGTTTCAGAGGTCAATTGGCAATGTGCAACAAAAACAAAAACCTAAACCATCTAAACTTTGAATTTTAATACCCGTAGATTATCTGTTGAGTTATTTCTGATATAACTTGTATATTCAATGTTGTTGTGCCTTGATCGAAAGTTTCGGAGATGTGCCTGTTATAAATTCATTATTATTATATTTTTAAAAAAAAAATCAAAAAAAAAAAATCAAAATCAAAATCAAAGAGAGAGAGAGAGAGAGAGATAGCAAAATAGACTTATCTTTATCTTGACTTTCAATGATTAAGTCAAACAAGTCAAAGTCAAACAGCTTATTTTTGCTATAACTTAGCCAATATCACATCAATAACTGTTTCACTACCAGATGACCAATGCTGCCTGGAAGACCTAGTGGCAGCAAATGAGAAGACTCTTCAGTGTGCAAAAGCCTGGCAGAACATTTGAGCACAGATGATGGACACGAAAGAAGACCACTTAAACACATTTCCATTTTGGCTTGGAACTACTCTGTACTTGAGTGAAACACTGCAGAAAACTACTCAAGGAGAACATATCAAAACTGAGAAATTATGATTGAAAGTCATGATTACGCAGCTGTTGTTCTATGGACAGAGATCTGATAGTCTATCACGATTTATGGCAACAGTGTGATTCAGCCTCTTTATCTTATTTTATCATAATGTGATATTTACCTGATTTTTTGATAAAGTGTTTAACAATGGAGCTTATCCCTTTAGGTGTGACATAGTTCTTGGTCTCCGGGTTGAAGTATTTCCCTTTGATTCCTTCAATCTTGCCAGAGAGAGAATGGATTAATCCAGCCTCCAGTAAGTCCTTGTAATACCTATACAGATGATAAGAAAACATGTGTAGTCATAAACCTATAGATTTTATACACAAGAAAAATTAGCATAGCCCCAGAAGGAGGTGGAATGTGCCCCCTCATAAAATTGGGAAATAAATTTAAGAGAATAATAATAAAAATGATAACAACAATTACAACATCTAGTGGAATAATTATAAGGGAATCAGGGAAACAAAAGTAATTCTGATGTGTATAGAAACATATTCTGGTATTACAGATGAACCCTTACCTTGAGTGTCTAGAAACATATTCTGGTGTTACAAATGAACCCTTACCTTGAGTGTTTAGAAACATATTCTGGTGTTACAGATGAACTCTTACCTTGAGTGTTTAGAAGCATATTCTGGTGTTACAGATGAACCCTTACCTAGAGTGTTTAGAAGCATATTCTGGTGTTACAAATGAACCCTTACCTTGAGTGTTTAGAAACATATTCTGGTGTTACAGATGAACCCTTACCTAGAGTGTTTAGAAGCATATTCTGGTGTTACAAATGAACCCTTACCTTGAGTGTTTAGAAGCATATTCTGGTGTTACAGATGAACCCTTACCTAGAGTGTTTAGAAGCATATTCTGGTGTTACAGATGAACCCTTACCTAGAGTGTTTAGAAGCATATTCTGGTGTTACAGATGAACCCTTACCTAGAGTGTTTAGAAGCATATTCTGGTGTTACAGATGAATCCTTACCTAGAGTGTTTAGAAGCATATTCTGGTGTAACAGTCAGATATTGAGCTCCAAGATCAGCAATGCAGCTGGAATCATCAGGTGACCTACTTGTACTCATTCTGCCTCCTAATAATAGAAACCCAAACAAAAGGAATGCTCAATAAAACAAATGGTTAGACAGCCTATTCAGAACAAGTTCAGAATAGACTAGAGTCTACATTATATCATGAAATTTAAAGTAGACCCCATTATTGTGCCCTTCATTATCCCTACAAAGATCCTCTTTCATAAAAACTTCTCTGAGATAATTGAAAGACACTCTGATGATTTCTTTGCAACAAGTATGTTATTCAACCAAATAACTGTTTGTGACACGACAGATAAGTTTCTCTCGAACCATCCTTTCCTAAGTCATTTGCCTCCTCATAAAAATACTGAAAACACAAACTTACTGCAACAAATACAACCATCTGAATTTGAGGACAAGTTCATCCCTGACATTTCCTTTTTCTGGTACATTCAGAAGTATGTGCATGCCATGAAGATCTAGTTCCTACTGGAATGTAAAGACAATTACCACGACTACAGTTTCCTTACCTGTGCCTCTAGATTTATCCCACATGACGATGGTAACTTTTTGCTGGAGTTCTTGTCGGAGTGCATTAGCCAGCAACGCCCCAGTAGGGCCAGCTCCCACGATCAATACTCTGAACATCTTTAAGTCGACCTTGATCTGTAAAGATTAGATTTTGATGTTATGTTGAAGATAAAGACCAGTTATAGTTATGCGATTGCATTGGGAAAGAAACGTTGTGGAATCGATCAGAAAAGGTCGATCATCTAGCATAGTATTGGTGTGTACTGCAAGGTTCTGGAATCATCAAAATCAGGGAATAATTTTCCTGGTATCGCATCGCAATTTGCTATGCATTTTTGCATGACTGCTATACAAAATATTGTTTGTGTAGCAGTTTTCTTCCATAGAAATGTACAGAATTTCATTTGAAATATTTATCCATCAGCTGAAATTGCTAATCAAAATATTTGAGGAAAATTATTCCCTGAAAATGATAAGAAATTTGGCCCAGTCTTCGTAAAGTTACTAGCACTGTACACAGAAAGATGTACCGGTATATGGGACTACGCACACGTGCACGACACGTGCGTTTATCTCTCACAGTCCAATAGATAAACTAATTTACCAAATATATCAATTAGTAGGCAGTTTCCCGGCAAAATTGTTATCATCATGTATTAGTCAAAACATATTCTTTCACATGATTGGTAATAAAGAGCTCCCATTCATTTTTTGAACTTGGGGCGTTTCCAATAGGCCTAGACCTTTCTAGATCTACTGGTCTTTACCTTCAAGTCAACTGAATCACAGTTTACAATTTACGGCCCAGTGAGAAATGCACTGCCTCTAGCAGCACTACTCCACATTACATTACTTACTAAGTAATAATACTAAGTGCTAACACCATGCATGAGAACTAGTTAACTTAAAGTAGAACAGAAGTTTATATAGATCTAGCGCGCTTCATTGCATTGCAAAGTTTGCATCACACTCATAGTCATTGCATTGCCATTGGCGATTGGTCTCCTTTCACCTACTCATATCACAGACGAGCGTGATTGTGCTGACAAACGAGTGGTTTCTAAACCACACCACTTTGCTGGAGTGGTTAAATCTAGTGGTTGCGTCGAAATGTTGCAATATAGACTCGACTCTAGCCGAATTTACCTCATATAATCACTTTACATAATTTTCAGTATGTGGGACAACGTTGTTATTTTCGAGTGGTGTTCTTCACGGAGCAGCTTATGAGCTCGAGTAAGTTATCATTATTATCAAGAATCATAAACATTCAATTTTCATAATAACACATGCATATTATATTCATCATACATACGTGAGTTATAAAAATAATCAAGTTGAAACATGATGTGTACCTTAAACTAAAGTGAAAATCTCGCCATCGGCATTCGTTTTGTCTGAATAGAAACGTCCCAGTCCACAACTAGCCACGCGCTCGATCACCGCCGCCGCCCCGACCGGCGCGGCTGGCGTAGTACGGTACTGGCTGCCTTCTTGTGCATAGCCTGTAACTTTGTAAGGCTCGGCTCATATATGTAATATATTGACTAGCCACATTTTCAAGCGAGTACAGTCAGACATATATATTGATGTCAATATCAAACAATATTTCATTTGACTTTGTGGAGAAGAATGAGAAGGAGATTGAGAAGTAGAAGAGAAAGAAAAAGGAGAGCAAGGACTCAAACTCTCAAGTCTTAAAGTCAAACTCAAAGGAGAGCAAGAGAAGGAGAGGAAGAAGAGGATTGATCGATATATATATTCAAGAAGAGATCGAAAGAAGGAGAACAAGAAGATGAAAGAAGTAACATTCATTGTCATGTGCAGGTTATTTCTTTATTCTTTTTCTATTTGTATAATCTTCTTGATCTGTATAGGTAGCCAAAGAACGTCAAGATGTCTTCCATTGGGGAGTTTGTGAGGAAGCATCTGGATTTGCTGGATGTAGAAAGACAGGCAGAGATCGAGCAGACAAGGTATGATGGGGGGGGGGGGTGGAGCTAGAGGGGGTGTGTGCGCAGGCGCTTAGCAAAAATAAAACTGTTACTTTTGCCTTTAAAATGTAACAAAAAAGTACATTACAAACAAAATACAGAGGAGGAGAAGGAGGAGGAGGAAGAAGAGGAAGAAGAAAGAACTTAAAAGAAAGAAGAAGAAGAAAAAGAAGGAGAATTAGAAGAAGATTGTGGAGAAGAAGAAGGAAAAGAAAAAGAACAAAAAAAGGATGTTGCTATTTCATTTGTTACTTCAGATTTCAATGATTATTCTAATGTTATTTGTTTCTATACAGGTGTTGCATGAACTTGAGATGAATCATATATAGTTAAGGAGTTTAAACAAAGAAAGCAATCTCTCATATATGTTAGAATCTTTCAAGATTGGGCTTAATCAGTATGTTGATTCGATCATCAATAACTGTTATCCATGAATCCTATGGCCCGAATTCACAAAGGAGGTTTAGATTTAACCCATGGTTTAAACCCTAATTTACATAACCCATGGTTTAAAATAAACACAAAGTAAGCGTGACACAATTCAGAGGTCCAATATTAGGCGTGCGCAAGGCAAGGTAAGCTTATTTTGCGATAATTTTTAAACCATGGGTTATGTAAATAAGGGTTTAAACCATGGGTTAAATCTAAACCTCCTTTGTGAATTCGTGCTTATGAGATTTGTACATGTATACAGAATGAATACCTTACAAAGAAACAATTTCTTCTATTTAGTGATCTACTTGGTAAGCTGTCTGTACGCGAGCTGGAGAGACGAGGTGTCTGCCTTCTTAAGCTTAGATGTGCCAGCCAAGCTACAGGACTCTATGGGAGGACAGTACTGACCTTCGAACCCTTGAGGTCACAGGGTCAAGAGGGCAAGCTTCCAGCTCATAACTTTGGACCAGGTAAGGAAGAAGTGTAACGAGACATTTGATCCGGAACAATCGCCCCAGACTTTAGTATTGGGTTTGGTTTTGGAATGCAATTAAGTTTTAGGTTAGGATTACGGTAGCTTGAATTGATTACTGTTTTGAGTTCAGGGTTGAACTGAAGCATTCAGAAAGTGTAAAAAATTACCTCAGAGCAATTGTGGCTGGAGCATATGTCATGCAACTGGGAGAAGACTTGAGTTTCATTCAAGTAGAGATGGCTCACATGATTTGTGGAATTATGTTTTCAGTATGACAGCTTTGCAGCCAATCCCAAAAAGGAGCATGCCCTTTGCAAGAATATGACTTTTATAAAATCATACTTCAAAATAACTTGAACTGACCAGTCATAAATGTCGGGCTTGATATTTCGGTATTTCGGTACTTACCAGTGAGTTTAGAAAACGTTACAAAACAAAAATAATGAATTTACTATTACAATTGATACTTTAAGAAATAAGAATACTTAACAATGTCTTAAAATATACAAACTGATAATGTAAAATATAATTCTTGTACGTATTCAGATTATTTGAATTGATATTTCATTCATGATTTGTTCAACAAATGACTTGTAACAGAATTCTGAAACCTACTTCTAGACCTTGTTAATCTAACATTGATAGACAATTTCCTCCAAAATTCACTGCCCACAAAAGAAAATGAGAATTGACCTTGTGTCGCTCTAAATTTTAGAAGACATAATTGTCCACCTGCTTTTTGTCTTTGCCATAATTGAACATATATCAGACGTGCTTTTGTTGTACCAACAACTTTTCCCCCATAAATGCTAATTAGAATAGGACACCAGATAGGTGGTTAATGTACTTCTGTATTTATAGTGGAGGATGGGGGGCATCGACTTGCAATCAAAATCTGTTTTTTTTGTTTTATAATCACATTTGTTTATCTTTCTGTAGGTGATATAGCAGGAGTGAGCCACTCCAACAGTGATACCACTTCCTCTTCTCTCCTTGCATCGGGTATCGTGTCAAAGGTCACAGGCTCTAGTATTGCTGTAGCGTTTGAAGAGAATGTCGAGGGGATAGCACGGGGTCATGATGATACCTACAAACTTACCAAGCTTGCTAATGATGTCACATATAGGAGACTGAAAAAGTGAGTAATTACCCCGGTGTTCCTTTGCATATTCTGTCGACTACTGAATTCTCTCACCCCCCACCCCCATGGGTGTCCTCTGACAAGGTGTTTGACCCACATTTGCCCCTCTCCACCCAGGTGTATTGAATGGATACCTGGCAATGTTTGGGCACGAAGAGCAGTATTAGTACTGAGAGGCTTTCCTGAGTAAATAAATATCTATTTTTACTTGTTAGTATTATTATTGCTGGTGTTAGTATTATTATTGTTGTCATGATTATTTTGTTATTATTTATTATTATCATTATCATTATTATTACTACTACTACTACTACTACTACTAGTACTACTACTACTACTACTACTACTACTACTACTACTACTAGTACTACTACTACTACTACTACTACAACTAATACTACTACTACTAGAACTACTACTAGAACTACTACTAGAACTACTACTAGTACTATATGAACAAGGAAAATTAGTATCAGTGAATTAGTTATTTTTATGCTTTGATTTTCCTTTTTTGCTTCTTCTCTTTGTAGAGCTCTTCATGAGTTAGAGGAGTACCGCACTGGACCTGCTGTTCGTCTGATTGAAGTCTTGTTTGGAGAGAGTGATCTAGGCTCACCGGTCAGTCTTCCAGCCAACAAGAATCCAGGTAATGTACATGTACCATGCTATAGTATAGTATCCTTTGTCTTGTGATAAGTTTGTGCACTATAATACTGTCTTCACACTGGCAAAATTTGCTTAACCCTGGACTTTAGGTGGAGTTAAAGGGGGGTCTTAGCCCCACCTATAGTACGGGGATAAGCTTATTCCACTTTCTGTTCAGACTCGTATTTACCAAAGTGGGCTAGCCCCACCTATAGTACAGGGTTAGCTGGCCCTGAAAAATAGCAGGGCTAACCCCGCAATTGTGGTGCTCACTCCGCAATCGTAGTGCCAAGAAAATGAATGAGAACAGAAACGAAAAATAGTCCAGTACTATGCGATGGAGTGAACTAATGAATATTCATGCTATAAGCAAAGTACAGGGTCAATCAAAACAAGTGTGAAAAGAGTATAAGAGCCAGAAGGGTGTTAATTTTGTGTAAGAGTATGCATTAACATCCTTATAGCTCTCATCAGGTGAGTTGTAAACTGAGGTCCTAGCAATCACCTTGATGATAGATGAGTTTTGGTTACATACATGTAGAAGGGAAGAATATCTTTCTTGCACCAATAGATTGATTTTTTAAAGGAAGTTAAAGGAACAAAGTGTCAATTGAAAACGAATATTGATAGAACAATTATTAATGGAACAAAATATTGATTGAACAAATTGTTGATGGAACAAAAGTGACAATTTAAAGATGGATGAGAGAGGTAAGCTGTGCAATGAAGATTCATCACAACACATTGAAACTCTATAAATATATCATTCATGTTTCGTAGTAGTCTAGGTTGTAGAGGTTGTTGTCATACTAGAGATGAATGCATAAGGTATGTAAAACAGATGTAATACACCTAAAATGGCATTGTATTTATCTTTTCAATTGTTAAAATATAGGATCTGAGAGTGTAGAATTCTTCAACACTAATCTGAATGAGAGCCAAAGAGATGCTGTGACCTTTGCCCTATGTCAGCGAGAGGTCGCTGTGATTCATGGCCCACCCGGTACAGGAAAGACAACGACGGTGGTTGAAGTTATCCAACAAGCTGTGAAACAAAATATGAAGGTAGGTGATGTCAATTTGAACTGTTTCACGATAGACAGCCACAAGTTTCATGTTGTTAAAGTATTGGGTTAGGGTTGCAACTGGAATTAGGTTAGGTTTAGGGTTAGGGATAGTGTTTTGTTAGGTGAAGTTTTCGGCCAGGATTTAAGTTGGGAATTTGGTTACTCTAGGAAGTTACCGCAGAGCAATTGTGAGCAGGAATAAGCACCATACAACCGTAAATATGTAAGATATCACTAATGAGTTGAATAGTCTCATATCTCTCTCTATCTCTCTCTCTCTCTCTCTCTCGCTCTCTCTCTTCTAGATTCTAGCATGTGCTGCATCCAACGTTGCAGTAGACAACCTTCTAGAGCGTTTGTCTGCCAATGCATCATGTTCTATGGTTCGTCTTGGTCATCCTGCCCGGTTGCTACCCAGTATCCAGAGGTTTGCATTGGATGCTATCCTAGCTTCCAGTGACGGAGCATCTATTGTCAGAGATATCAGAAGAGATCTAGATACTACATTGGTAAGTCTGACCTTTTTGAATTCTTCTTCTTCTTTTCCTACCTGTAATCTTTAAAGGGCTGTTGCAGCACGAAGATCTGTATGTAGATTGGCAGTTGTGAATTGCAGGCACTCCAAACACCGGGTTTACACCCTTCTTTTTCCAAGTGTAGCATATAATGTGCATAGGGTGTGAATCTCCCGCACACATTGTGTGCATGCATTATTTGATGAGTGGGTGAATGATACCTAACAGGTGCAGATTGCTACATGCTACATTTAGTATTCTACACTTTTGCATATCATGATTTTTTCATTCTTTTAGAGCCAAATCCGCAAGACGAAAGACAAAGATGAGAAGCATCGTCTCAAAGATGAGATGAAATACCTTAGAAAGGATTTAAAATCCAGAGAGCAGAAAGCTATACAAGATATCCTCATGGCTGCTGATGTAGTCTTGGCAACCAACACTAGTGCTTCCACAAACGGGCCCCTGAGGGCGCTACAGCAGGGACACTTTGACTTGGTGGTTATTGATGAATGTGCTCAGGTAAGGTCAAATCAATATTTCAATTAAATATGACAAGATCACGTCATCTGTTTCAAGCCAGATAGGTGTTAACTCATCTTACACAGTGTTAATACCTTTTTGGCTTTGAGTGAATGATGCGTGGCTTGAAGACCAAGCTATAGCTTTAAAGTGATCAGAACATCACAAAAGAGCTGTAGCGTCATAATCAAATAGGTCTGTTTTTATTTCGTGATAGCACAAATAAGCGTTGTTATAATAAGTAAAACTGTGTTTTGAATTTAATAGTTGTGTATTAAATTAATCATATCACATCAATGTACTTTTGTATGATAATTAAAAGTATATAAGTGCTCCAACCCTTCTGCCTTATTAAATCACAATTTCGACCACCTTTCTGAAGAAGAAAGAATGATACAGCATCTTGTCTTTTTAAATCTTTGACGCCTCTGCAGTCTCTTGAAGCGGCGTGTTGGATCCCTCTTCTCAATGCACGAAAATGTCTGCTAGCTGGTGATCATCATCAGTTACCAGCTACTATCATGTCTAAGCAGTAAGTTCAACAGTATCTTTAAACAGCACATATCTAAGAAGACCTTATAAAACTGACCTATTTGCTGGAATATTTTTTTTGAAAAACAGAATGAAAAATGTTGACCCTTAAAATGTATACTGTATAGTATTGGCCTAAGTTTTCATTGCAATGAAAACAGTTTAAACAGCTTGTATACAATCACTGTCTTTCTTATATTAAAGAATTCCAATTAGCTATTCAGGCTTTCTGTTAAACCAATTGTGAGACAATTTACATGTGTTGTGAGGTCCTTAAGTTTGTAGTATATACTTTCGATTTGCAAGGCATTTTCCTCAACTCCAGCTGGCATTCCTTTTTTGTTATCATGTGCAGTATTACTGTTGATGGAAACAGTTTGGGAAGACCTCATATTGAGGAGAAATGAAAAGAAACTTGTTTCACCTTATAAACAGGGCAGCTAAAGAAGGCCTAGCAACCTCCATGATGGAACGCATCATCGATCTCTATGGCAACCGAGTAGTACAGATGTTGACGACTCAGTACAGGATGAATGATGAGATAATGAGATGGTCCTCTGATCAGCTTTATGATGGCAAACTACAATCACATCAATCGGTGGCTACTCATCTTCTCAAGTAAGTATTTAAAGCCCCACTGCACTACTTGCGCCCTCTATACAGCAAAAAATGCCTTATTGGTGACCGTTGGTCTTCTATGCTCCCCTTTTTCGTATGTTAATTAAGAGCTGATTTGATGAGATAATAACCTGTCAGTGACCATGCATGGAAGTCTAATCCCTCCTGGCCAAACTAGTGCAGATAGGCTTTAATGATGATGATAACAACAACAACAACAGCAGCAACAATGGTGGCTTCTTAATTATATAGCATTCATGTCCATCATGATATGCCGCACATGCCACTCCAATTACATTACCCTAGTCATAAACAGGTGGCCCAATATGTAGTGCTCTAGCATATTCTTGTACCCATTTACACCTGGGTGGAGAGTGGCTAACATGGATATATGTTTTGCCAAAGGATGTTAGTGCCAGGCTGGGATTCAAACCCTCAACCCTTTGATTGAGAGTCAAGTGACTTAACCACTTTACCATGAAGCCTCCACACATTTATAGATACATAATAATAATAATACTCAGTTTTTATACAGCGATTATTACAATCACTAAGCGCTTCCAAACTTGCAGATCATGACCCCGGCTATAGCTGTGCTGCCATTATGGCGCTCTAGCATTTCAAAGAATTAAATCCTCCCAGGTACCCTTTTACATCACCTGGGTTGAGTGTGGCAAATGTAGATCAGTGTGTTGCCAAGGGACATTAGTGCCGCGACGGGTTTCGAACCGCGGACCTTGTGATCGACAGTCCGGCGACTTAACCACTCACCACGGCACCACATGAGGATTCGTTGCATTTAATGAGATATTAACTACATATTAGTCTAATTCTAACCGTGTTGCTTTTACAGAGATATGCCATGTATTATGGAGAATGAGAATACCACCCTGCCACTGCTTCTGATAGACACAGCTGGGTGTGATGTACTGGAGCTGGAACTTGAAGATGAAGTCTCAAAAGGAAACGAAGGTAATTTAAACTTCAGTTAGGCCGGGGCATGGTAAAAGAAAACTTTATCTGTAATGTCATCTCAAAACTGCTATGTCCAAACATGAGTTATGAGTACGTTTTTTAGATAACTGAACCTAATGGCTCATGTTGTGTTGCATACCGAGACTTTCTGTACCTGTTGAAATGATTTGATTTTGGTTTTACATTATTGTACCAATCAGAAAGTTTATAAAGTGTATTGTACTGTTTTTATTCTACACAATGCACAACTATGCTATACATTTGTCTGCCTCCAAAAGGAGACTGGTGGGGGTAGAGTTATAGCCCATGACTTAGAGTTTGAAATTTGATATTGTAATCCAATTTTAATAGGAAGCCTCATTTCATGTCAATATCTGTATATATTTGTGTTGTAAATTGGATTAAGTATAATCGTGATACTTATGCACTAGTTTCATTTGGATTGGTATTAATTGAAAGTTTTGTTTTCATCTCATCCTGTGCTTTAGGAGAAGCAGACATTGTTAGCCACCATGTCAGCAACCTCATCTCCAGTGGTTTGTCCCCGGCAAAGATTGCTGTCATTGCTCCTTACAATCTGCAAGTAGATCTCCTGCGGCTGAGGTTGTCATCTAAGTATCCTGGTTTAGAGATCAAGTCTGTGGATGGGTTTCAAGGCAGAGAGAAAGAAGCCGTTGTGATCTCATTGGTTCGATCTAATGACAGAGGTCAGTCTAGTTTTATGATATTTTTGTTCTTCAGCCCTTTCATTTGACATTAGAATATGTAGATACAATACAAATTCACTGTGAAGAGCAGACATGGTCTGTTGTTAATTTACATAAAATGTGTGTTTTTTGTTAAATTTTGCAACCCATCAACAATATCATTTGGAGAAGATGGATATACGAACATGTATAGAAAGGCCAGATGGTAGATGGTCTTTGTAGACAGGATTACAAACGTTTCAAGGAAACACAAAAGTACAATCCTAATAAACAGATGGTCTTTAATATTTGATTATCATTTTACAAGAAGTTCTGTGGAAAATTCAATATTTGCATTATTCTTACACTTGTTTTACTTATCAATATCAGTGCATGTTGAATATGAACTGTAAAATTTGTAAAAGTTATTTAGCAACCCTTTTTATAGCTACATGTATTATGTTATTGAAATTGTGAACTTTTTAATATGTTATATATAATGTGTACTTAATTTCTATTTTGACGTTTATTTTCTTATTGTTTATCCTTGACTGAGTGGAGAAGGGACCATTACAGTTACAGTGATGAAATTTGCTCTCTTCTTCCCTGGCAGCTTTCTTTTGCATTCAGAATATTGCTACAAAAATTTGTAATTGTATATGATTTTTGTCATTCTAATTTTGTAATCACCATGATTATATTGTTTTATTGTTAAATTTCTTGAAAGTGCTGATTAAATAATAAATAATAAAACAAATAAAAATTTTAAAAAGCCTTTGTGTAAGCCTTTCCTTTCCTTTCTCTCTTTCTACAGGTGAAGTTGGATTCCTCAAAGAAGATCGTCGTATCAATGTCGCTATCACCCGAGCACGCCGCCATCTTGCAGTCGTCTGTGACTCACAGACCGTAGGAAAACATCCCTTCTTAAAGAGTCTCGTAGACTACTTCAACGATCATGGAGAAGTCCGCACTGCTTTCGAGTACAATGAAGGTACAGTCAAACCTGTCTATAGTGACCACCCAAGGGAAACAAGAAAAGGGGTCTTTATATACAGGTTCCTTTAGTACATGTTTCAATAAGAAACCATTTTCAAGGGAAACATGAAATGTGGTCTTTGTAGACAGGTGGTCTTTCTATACAGGTGGTCACTAAAGCAGGTTTGACTGTTACAGAAAGTCAAAACTATTATTCTAGCCATCTGTCTGTAGTGGTCACTTGATTGTTTAATAACAATAATAATAATATTTAATTTTTATATAGCGCTCAATACAAATGTCTCTAATCGCTTTACAAATATACTACACTGTAAGTGCTTAGTTCATGGAACGGGTTGCCTGTAATTCTAATATAGAATAATATGAATACATTTGTGTTCTTTTTCAAGGGAAAAATTAAAACATACTTGATATAAATGATGTGCGTACAGTGTATACTGAATACAATGCTCAATATGGTAATCTCATTTTCAAAGATCTTTTATTTTGTTTAACAAAATTATATTCTTGTGGTATCATGCAGGTTTATCACACCTGCCTCAATGAGCCTCTCAAATTAAAATGGCATGTAGTGCTGCATTTGCTATTATCTTGGGATCTAAATTCTCTTCTTTATTTCTTATTTTGTTGGGTTTTCCTTGGGTATTTGACACCACTCTTGTGTTAACCCAATAACAGCTGTTTTCAGTCACCATCAATTTCCTTTTTATTTAGATTAAGTTCTTATAATGAGTGGAATTTTGCTTTTATTTGTTTCTTGTAGTTCTGACTTCTTCGCTTGGGGCACCCAGACCAGATCATCTTGTCTTCAAATCAAAGACTTCTTCCAGTCATAAGGGTACCAAGGCAACAGGAGCAGTACCCAAGGGTCAAAGGAAAGGTCAAACTAAGAAGCCAGAGGTTACAGGTCATGGGTCAACCATTGACACTGTTCAAAGGTGACTATATTGATGATAATTTATTGATGTGATATCACTAATGGGATTTTAATTAGGCTTGATGTGTTGCTATGAAAATATAATTGGGGGAGGGGGAGGGGGAGGGGGAGATTGTAATTAAGAAATGGGACATCATTATAAGTTAAAGTTTTCTTTCTTTCTCAGTTAACTGCCCTCTTCCAACTCCAAACTTATCCTAACATGTTAAACTCTAATCAATGGTAGATTTTTATGCCTCCGTTACGAAGTAGCCGGAGGCATTATGTTTTCGGGTTGTCCGTCCGTACGTCCCGTTCTCGTGATCGCGTTATCTGAAGAACCGATTAATGGATTCCTGCCAAACTTTAGTCATGTATGTATCTTGCAGAGCCGATGAACTGATTAGATTTTGGGGTCACGAGGTCAAAGGTCAAAGGTCACAGGGCTCATTATGTATGCAAAAACAGCTCGTGATCGCGTTATCTAAAGAACCGATAGATGGATTCCTGCCAAACTTTAGTCATGTATGTATCTTGCAGAGCCGATGAACTGATTAGATTTTGGGGTCACGAGGTCAAAGGTCAAAGGTCACAGGGCTCATTATGTATGCAAAAACAGCTCGTGATCGCGTTATCTCAAGAACCGATTGATGGATTCCTGCCAAACTTAGGTCATGTATGTTACTTGCAGAGCCAATGAACTGAGTAGATTCTTGGGTCATGAGGTCAAAGGTCAAAGGTCATGGGCTCATTATGTATGCAAAAATAGCTTGTGAACGCATTCTCATTAGAACTGACAGATGGATTACTATTTAACTCAGGACATCTTGCAGAGCCAATGAACTGAGTAGATTTTAGGGTCATGAGGTCAAAGATCAAAGGGTCATATATGTATATAATGGATTACAATTGAAATTGATTTGAAAAATTTCTTCTGTTTTGGTTTGTAAAATTGCTCCATGACGGAGGCATCATTTTCGACTGCGCAGTCGAAGTTCCATCTAGTTAATTTTCAATTTGCTTCTTTCATCATTTTAAGACGGAATCAAAATTTGACAATATTTTGAAAAGTCATGAACCTCTTTGGGTAGTTGTTTTATGCCTCTGTATTTGTTTTTACCGATTCTAGGAGCAAGGAGAACGCCACTTTTCTGAATGAAACCACAAGGAGATTGTTGGAATTCAAGAAGGAACCAGAAGAAAGGAAAGTTGTGTTTCCTTCTTTGTTGAACTCTCATCAGAGATACATTGTACATGAGGTAAAATTGTAATAATATTTTTTTTCTCACAACAACCCTTCTTTTCAAATCATAAATTCCATCTTTTATCATTGAATTCATTCTCAAAATAAATGATGTCATGTTTCAGTTAATGCACTTTGTAATATATCCCCCCTCCCTCCTTTCCTTTGTATTTTTCTTGTAATCAATCTTTTATCAGCATATCATGTTTGTATTTTGTTTTTTGTTTTTTATGGAGAATGAAATGAATAAAATGAAATGTTTTAAAAGATTTTGATGCCCTATATATGCCAAAGTAATATAACCTTTCAACGGTTGAACCCGATTGTAACATTGTTAAAGTGAACCGTCCTAGAGCTTTGTAATCCACAATTGTTATTCATACATACAAGAGATGAGAGACAGAGAGAGAAAGCATGATTTTGTGTTTTGCGATAAATGTTTATAATGAAAAAATTATTATATGATGGAAACGGATCAGTTTCTTTACCATTATTTTGTCATGTATTTTCAGCTTGCGGAAAGCTTTGGACTGAACCACTTGAGTGTAGGTGAGGGGAAGGAGAGACATATTGTAGTCAGAAAGCCAAAGGAAAGGACCGAGCCACCCCCAGTTGAAAGGAAATCAGAGGAGCGAAATACCCCCGTCACCGGCAAGGAAGATTCCAACCTCACTGTGGAGGACTTGGTGGAGGACTTTGAAACAGAGAATAAAATGGAGCTCTTATATGAGGAGGAGGAAAGAGAAGAATCAACAGAAGAAAGCAATGCTGGGGCGTGTAATGTGGAGAAGTCTGAAGTTGAACAGACCAAAGAGAAAGAGAAAGAGGTTAAGAGCAGAGACTCAGAGACTGATGAGATGAATCTATGGAAATGTAAATTTTGTGGGAAGCGTTTACCCCCAGGAAACCATCTCCTGCACGAAATCCACTGCGAAAAGACGCAAGCCGAGAAAAAACGGCAGAGTTCAGCGGGGGTGAATAAAAAGAATCGCAACAAGGCTCAGAAGCAGAAGCAGAAACAGAATCTTGAGGAAGCCGAGGAGGAGGATTTTGATACTCTTGTTGCTATAGCAATGAAGCGTGATAACGAGTGTAACTTTACACGATGCAAAGAGAAGATTACCATTACTGGTTTGATGTGTGAGTTCTGTATGAGACGATACTGCTTTAAGCACCATATACCTGAGATTCATGGATGTGAAGAGATGGCACGGCACCATGTGAGGCACCAGATGCTGAAGTCAAAGGTCGTTACCAATGGCAGTGGGGTCAGAGAAAAGAAGGTTGACCCCGCACACAAAGCCAATCTGCAGAGGAAATTAGGCTCTAAACTTGGTCAGCTCGGCGAGCAGAGGCAGCGTAAACAAAAGCCAAAGTAGACCTTATGGTTTAACTCTCTCATCCTGTATGCTGTAGTCGACTTTATTTGCTAAACTTTAGGTTACATTGTGATTCATTTTGTTCTAGATGACAATAATAACATAATCAGTTTCCTGGAACACAGAATTTATAAAGAACCAAATTTGAATACATAATTATTCAGAATTACAATGGGTTTGTTTATTTTTTGCTGCATGACCCTGGCTTAGAAATACCCCCAAACAATAACCATGGAGACTGCAAGCCAGTGGTTTCTGGGGGGGGGGGGGGGGGGGGGGGGGAGGTGGCATGCTACTTTTTCACTAATTTCACAGACAGGCTGTTTTCGTTATACATTACCTTATTTCTTGAATGATAACTTAACAGAACAAGTACAATTTCTACGAAATCAGGTAAATGCTTTACTTTACTTTAAAGGTAAAGACCAGTATTGGAAACGCCCCAATTTCAAAAAATGAAATGGAAGCTCTCATTACCAATCATGTGAAAGAATATGTTTTGACTAATACATGATGATAAAAACTTTGCCGGGAAACCGCCTACTAATTCATATATTTGGTAAATTTGTTTCTCTCATGGTCTGTGAGAGATATAGGGTAGTCCCATATACATCTTTCTGTGTATAGTGCTTGTAACTTTACGAACAATGGGCCAAATTTCTTATCATTTTGATGATTCCAGAACCTTGCAGATGCTAGATGCTAGATGATCAACCTTTTCTGATCGATTCCACAACGTTTCTTTCACAATGCAATCGCATGACCATAACTGGTCTTTACCTTTAAGCAATTAATTTAAAGTAATAATGTCCCATTCATCATCAAAATGGTTACTCATGATCAACTCAAAGCTGTCCAGAAGAATCATAACATTATGCAATGAATGCAAACTATATTCTGAATATTTACATTCAATAACATTCATCAGGTGAGTGCAATAGTTTGCCAGGAGGCTGTTGTGGAAGAACTGAGAAGTATTTGTAATTTTAATTCATCTAAGAACAGCTCTGAAATGTGTGTACGCTGATCCTAGCATATGCCAAATATACATTGGGATCAGAGAAAATACTCAACTTATGCAATTGATAGGCTAGTGTAATTACGTATGTGAGGTCGACTGTATGAACCATATCTGTGATTTACAAGTTAGGTGTCCATGAATGTAGTGCAATAAAACTGGATTTTGCTGAGTGAAATAATACGACGGCAAAATGTTGATCATGAGAACAGTTCATGAAGCAGGAACAAAGAGTATACCGAAAAAATTGTTTCACACTAAACTTGTGAAGCTGTACTTGGTGATATAACTGTACTGTAGAAAACGAAAGAAAAACAAATTATGTCAGCAAGTGGTATCATTTGTGATCGTAATAATAGATATTTATTCCTTGGATTGTGGTATAGGTGCATAATTACAATAAAAGATAGTTCTAAAGAGAAACACTTGTATGATTATGTTGTTATTATGTTGCATAAGGTTTAGAGCTGTAGACAAGGATTTGTGCGATTATAAAGTGTCCATGCATCAGATTTCTGGAACGACTGGTATTGGTTATATTTCTCTCTTTCACAAAACATGACATACGATGAGGTGAAATATGACATAATCTTGTACTTTTAACTACAAGTTGAATAAATATATCAATATTATGGATTGTTTTAATGCAATATGGAAATCTAACCTTTAAACATTACACATATATCTATGTATTATTTAGAATTTTAGATTAAGTAATACAAAAAAGTTAGAAGAAAGAACGATGGAGAGAAAAGGAAAAAGAGAGAGAGAAGGAGAGAGAGTATGAGGTAGAAAATCTTAAGAAATGAAGCAAACATGCTAAGGCAAAGAACAAACATTTCAAAGAAGTCGCAAATACAGGAAAGAAATACATGTCATGAGACAAATGACATAGAAAAGGTAGAAAGATGAAAGGGCAACAAGCTGTTCAAACTGAAAGAAGAAAGAGAGAATGGAGAAGGAAGGGAATAGGAGTTCGGAGAGAGGGAAGAATAGACAATGTGTGAAACGGTCTGGAGGAAAGCACAATAAAACATGAAGAAAGGAAATATTTTGGGCTCGATGAAATAAATCATACAAGTTATTTGATTACATTCTGACTATATCATTTACATGTATCTAAATTCTATTCTGATAATCTCTATTCACTTCTCTCATGTTCTCGTATCTTTTCTCCTCACAAAATCATTCTCAATAATTCATAATCTGATTGATTTGATTATAATACACTACAGACTTACACACATATAACTGAAATTCAGTTGCAACTTAAAGAAAAGAAAGAAATGGAAGTGAACAAATCAACTGGATATTTACAAAAGTTGTTGTGTCTTTATTGAACATAGCAGTACACTTCATGGTGGTCACATGATCAGACAAATGTGGTACAAACCATATTTTCAGAGCCAGAAGGGCTTTAACTCTGTGTTGAAGTATGTGAGGTAATGCCCTTCTAGCTCCAAACAGATGATACAACAGAACATAACTTTACTACATAAATGATGCAAACCAGGAGAAAACAAAAAATTAACTTATCACCCATCTTTCCATCAAATCGTCGCTGTTTTCACAAAGTGACGGTAGTGAAAAAAATTGCATTCACTTTGCGTTACGATTTTCCTCACTACCGTCACTTCGTGAAAACAAGGACGAAATCTCTCGTATACATTTGAAGAAAACTTATTCAGGCTATTGTTTACTAGACAAATCATCAGTTTCCTTGGAAACTGTACCCATTTTGAACTAATATATGCCCTCAAAACTTTCCTATTTCAAAAAAACAAATCATCAGTTTGGAGCCACAAATGTATTAACTCTGTGTTAAAGTATATTTGTTGACGCCTTTCTGGCTCCAAACAGACAACATATAATTCTAAGTAATACACATTTAAACCATGGCCCTTCATATTAATATATGGAGCTTCTATGCTCATATTGCCTCTCTAGCATACACATAGAATGATAAAATGTTCTATCTGTCATAGAGACAGAGATAAACTGAAACTTGCTTGACTTCCAACCTATCGTATTTTATTAAATATAGTTAAAGACATTACCTGGAGAATAAAAGACAACTATTTGCCATTTCCTAATTTTCACAGTTTCCGCAATATACTGTTTACAACATATCCACCCTATGAAATTCTGATATCATGGCACATTGTACAAATTTGTAAAAAGATGTAGCATTCCCAGGACATGGGAGTACATGAACAAGGGACATATAAATTAACAACACAAGCTAAAATCATTGATACAACAAATTAAGAATAACTAGATGGAACTTCGACTGCGCGCAGTCGAAAATGATGCCTCCGTCATAGAGCAATTTTACAAACCAAAACAGAAGAAATTTTTCAAATTCAAGTTCAATTGTAATCCATTAACAGGTTTTCAGAATATTGTGATTACAAGCTATTTTTGCATACATAATGAGCCCATGACCTTTGACCTTATGAACCAAGAATCTACTCAGTTCATTGGCTCTGCAAGAAACATACATGACCTAAGTTGGCAGGAATCCATCAATCGGTTCTTGAGATAACGCGATCACGAGCTGTTTTTGCATACATAATGTGCCCTGTGATCTTTGAACTTTGACCTTGTGACCCCTACATCTAATCAGTTCATCGGCTCTGCAAGTAACATACATGACCTAAGTTTGGCAGCAATCCATCAATCGGTTCTTCAGATAACGCGATCACAAGCTCGTTTTGCATACATAATGAGCCCTGTGGCCTTTGACCTTTGACCTCGTGACCTCAAAATCTAATCAGTTTTTTGGCTTTGCAAGTAACATACATGACCTAAGTTTGGCAGCAATCCATCAATCGGTTCTTCAGATAATGCGATCACGAGCTCGTTTTGCATACATAATGAGCCCTGTGACCTTTGACCTTTGACCTCGTGACCCCAAAATCTAATCAGTTCATCGGCTCTACAAGATACATACATGACCAAAGTTTGGCAGGAATCCATCAACCAGTTCTTCAGATAACGCGATCACGAGCTCGTTTTGCATACATAATGAGCCCTGTGACCTTTGACCTTTGACCTCGTAACCCCAAAATCTAATCAGTTCATCGGCTCTACAAGATACATACATGACCAAAGTTTGGCAGGAATCCATCAACCAGTTCTTCAGATAACGCGATCACGAGAACGGGACGTACGTACGTACAGACGTACGTACGTACGTACGTACGGACGTACGGACGGACGGACAACCCGAAAACATAATGCCTCCGGCTACTTCGTAACGGAGGCATAAAAATGACAATGCTTCCATAAGAACCTTAGATGGCAGAGATATTGGGCAAGTCCAAAATAATATTCACAGAGATGGAGAATAATCATTCCGATTCAATTAATCCACTGCCTACGAGAACAGGATAGATCCTGTATTAACCCTATAGGAATCAGAGCATTCAGTAGTCCATGGGCGAATGAAGTTTGGTGTCATTTTATGCCAAAGCAGTGAAAGATATGATCTCTGCTTAGGTGTCATGGGATAATGGTTCGTTCGTTTGACCGTCAATTGAAGGGTAAAGGGTTCAAATCCCAGCCCTGCATGAACGTCCTTTGGCAACATTAATCCACGTTTGCCACTCTCCACCCTGGTATAAATGGGTACCCAATATGCTATAGTGATTAATAAATATTTGTCTGCTTGGCTTTGACGGGGGTAATTACATTGGACTTCCGAGAGCATCATATCATGAAGGACGAAGAAGCTACTATTATTAACATTAAAAATACCATTTATGTGGGGGAGAGAAAGGTATGATTTGGACAAAGTTCAAGTGTCCTACAGATAAACTGCACAATATTTTGGACTTGCCTAATGATATGAAAACATTGATGGATAACAGGGCTATATACAGAGGAGTAGCAGATTGTGAGAGGTTGATCATAATGGTCCCATTGGTCTCATCACTGTAAAGAAAGACAAAAAGAAACAAACATGGATAACAAAAAAATGATAATTACAGTATACATTCATATTTTTACTCACTTTTTGATATTGCATACAAGTTGGACTATGTGCAATCTTATGTAACAAAAGATATGTGGTCCAATTTTAAATTTGCTTGAATTGCCCAAAATTTTGACTGGGATAACTTAAAAGATATAAGGAACAAACGCAGTTGATAAAGATGTTTTTCTTCCATTTGACCTCAGAATAATCCTCCCCTCCCACCAAAAAATAAAATAATAATAATAATAAATAAAAAAATAAAAAATAAAAAATAAAAATAAATAAATTGAAGGAAAAAAAGAAAACAATATTATATTAATAAAAATAAAAAATAATAAAAAGATCAGATAAATTACACTCAGAAAATTGCTTGCTAAGCCTTGGGGTACTTACATGGTCTAGGTCCTGGTCCACCCATGATAAAACCAGGTGGTCCTCTTGGATGAGGGGGTCTCATAAGACCAGCACCAGGAGGCATTGGACCACCAGGGAATGGTCCATTAGGATTGTAGCTATTAGGAGGGGGTACACGGACACCTGTACCAGGGGGACCTGGGGGACCACCAGGGCCACCGGGGCCTGGTGGTCCAGTACCAGGAGGGCCACCAGTGGAGAATGGATTGTGAGCGATTTTACCGGCCTGGAATGCAGCAGCTGAAAGATATGAAGAATGAGAACAAAATATGAAGTGAGGGTTACAGAAAGAAAAAAGGAAAGAGAGATAATCAAGATCTAGTCCATTGATGAGTAAAAAAAACCTCAAAAATACACCATAATTACAATTTGCCATGTAATCAACCATTAGTATATTTCACTCAGTCATTCTCGATGGGTATATTTGACTATCTGGGCAAATGAGTTTATTTTTGCGTCATACCATGCAGAAGGCCGGCAAAAAAAAACAACAAGGCATGTGATCAAAATTACCCTTAGTATTATATATTAAAAGGTATTAACTGGAAACGGTTGTAACATACATACTGCTAAGAAGTTAAATTTATCCCCGAGGTCATAAGCACTGCATGCTTTGGGAAAATATAACTCCCCTCTCTGTTCCAAAGAATGTTATACTGCAAACAAATTTCAGTTAATATCTGTATAATATTCAACATGAACTTACTTGTTTTATCAATGAGAGACTGTGCTTGTTCCTCCATCCATTTCTGGTAGTATATCCTTACATTCTCTTTGTGTTTTCTTCCATTGCAGTGCGTTTTTCTTACAGATGGCTACAAAAAAGAGAGCAATGAACAAAATTAAAACAATAACTATATCAGATCCTTACTATAGCAGTTTTTAGCACACTACAATAGCCGCCCTCACCATCAGAGGGCAGCATGCCACTGGGAAGGCCTTGTCGGTGACTAGACGTATAAATGATACAGGAAACAGGATGAATTACCCAACGTAATTCTGGTGATTACGAAGGACAGAGAGGTTATCGAGTAGATACCCAAATCAACTTTACTACTTATCTTTCTTTCTTCTTCTCCTTCTTTCATTTCTCCTTGTTTCAACGACACTTTCGTCCAGAATTTTTTGAACATATAGGAAAAAAAGGTATAAGTAGTCTTGATCTTGGAACATACATAACCCTTCAGGTGTACATAAACCCACTGAATATCTTAAAAGCCATGTTAAGACGTGATGACGTACACTACCTATTTTTTTAAAAAAATTAATAAGGCAATTATAAAAAATAAAATGTGAAGCGTCCCCGCCCGCTTTCTTTTGGGGGGCCGACTGCTTTTTTAAATATTTTTTTATTCCATTTTTTTTTCTTTTTATGAAAAAGCATGAAAATATACTGCTAAAAAAGGGCCTCCTCCTTCCTATTTTTCAAAAAGGCAGGACGCTAAACATTTATTTTTTAATGGCCTGACAAAACACAAAACAGTGGCAGAACAATTAATAACGGTACCATTTTAAAAGAATGGCGATTTCAATTTGCCTTTAAAAAGTGTTAATGATGTAGGACTTACCGAGTCATGCGTGAGATAGGTGTCACAATAGTCACAGTAGTACCTGTATAGGGAAAAGAGAAGAAACAACACATTCTCTCATTTAACCTGAAATTTGGTAGGAGCACCTTTTCAAGAACGTTGTCTTTGCGATATTGCCATTGACTATAACGTGTATTCACTTCCGGGTTTTATTGTGCGAACGGCTATCCATACTTTCATTCACTATACATGCAGATGTTACGCGATGTACCAATGGTTTGGACTGAGCGGAGCTCACGCCTCCCTAATTAGCTGATTCCAAATATTTGGGAAGGGTATTTTCAAACTGTTGGGCCGAATGATCCCTTGGGGCTAGCGAAAAAAAAAGCACCTGGATATTATCCTTACATCTAGCCCTACTTAAGCCGCGGGGGCTCGGCTCAGGAAAGTGAGTCGTCTTGGAGCTAGGATGCAAGCAACATTTCAATCGCTGTTTTGACCAAGATATTTTTAGAATTTTGGGGGTGAGCCCCCTTGGGAAATATGGAGAAAAACCTGCTCTTTCATATGACACCACATTTATTGAGTTTCACCTTCAGGATCACGAGGCCTAAAGGTTTGAATTTCAAATTTTTCATAAAATCATTGACCAATTTTGCATGGTCGTGCAATGCACGTAGACCACAGAGGGATGCGTGCAATCTCTATGGGGAGAATTTTAGCACACAACATCGGGTGCACAATCAGACACCCTACTCATGATGTGAAAGTCTCTCAGTCTCTGTTAGGCACATTCATGGGGCACTAGAGGGCGCTTCGCTCGCGTACGACAATCTGAATGGCCTTGCTGCGGTGGGTCGGCAATAATCAGCCCAAAACTTGGATATGGGAGGTTGGAAGGATATATCTTTTTTATAATGTTATCCGGTCTTACCCTTAACCATCCTATGTTTAATCTATGTAGAAATAACATGCGAGTGTGATAAGAGAAACATCGGGCCCATTACTGAAGTAACTTTTTAAATATTAGCCTAGAAATGACCACCAAACGGAAAAAATTGACATTTTTTCCCGACAAATCTTCATAAAATCTGAGTTATAAACAAGTCACATCTAGGTACACTAATACAAATACGATTTTCTGAAAATTCAGGTATGATTTATTAAGTTTCTTTCAAGTATATTTCTGCGCATTGCAGCGCCAATATTCTACACTGCTTCAAAATCACACTTGAATTTTTTTTTTGCAACGAATTTGATACGAAGTCCGCGAGTGTTCCCTGTTCCTTGCGTGTTGAAAGTTTGGTAATATATAGTTTGCATTGACTCGCGCACGAAAAAATGGTCGAAAACAAAATGTCAAATGAAGAAATAAACAAGCTTTTGTATAGTTATAAGAGTTCTACCGAGGTTTCTTTGTCGATTCAATTGATTATATAGTCTCAATTAGAATTCAGAATTATCTCACTGAAAAGTTAAGAAACCGACGATGTTCTCGATCTTAGTTATTTTCATTTTGCCAGCAGCCGATCTAGCGTTGTTTGGGCAAAAAGCTAGGCCGCTGCCTTCCCACACGAACCCTTCCGAGTCCCGCTAAAATGGCGCTCTGCGGAGCTCCGAAGCTGCGTTGGTATCGCTGCAAACTCTCAGCCGGCTAGCTCCCCACGAAGGACCATTCGCAGTATGGCGGGAGTGTGTGTGTGAAGTATGATTTTGGATTCGAGAACGCACGTAATGCAACCGTGCGCGTCATTTTCAGCTGTCGAATGTATACGACCAATTTTACATGTACGATTTTTAGTACAGATACTTGGTCAGTTTTCTTCTTATATCTTTGGTTTTACAACATTTAAAAATATAATTTCTTCAAATTTGCTCCTGACTCGGTTCAGACTAATTGTCTGATGTGTTTTCAAGTCAATTTTTTTAATATATTTTTTTGCATGAATTTGCCTAGAGTCTATCTCTGTAGAAGTCAATGTAAAAACTAAAATGGGCCGTAAAATGCATCAAGAAAATCATTGCGGAATCCGTGTTTTTCGCATCGCTAATGCGCCGATCAAAAATATGAAACGTCTGCATATTCGCAGACGTTCCTTAATTTTGAGGACAAATCGGTCCGCCTTTACTGAAGACGATCCTCGTTTATGCAGACGATCCTGATTCTCGTACCAGTCAGTGCCCCTACTGAGTTATAGTTTATACCCTTACGCGTCAAAAATGGATACGAAAGTACACTAGCACCATCTAACTGTGTGGAGAGTGTGAGGAAATAAAGAATGGCCATTGAGGATAGACATTCTTGTGAAATAAGCCACTGGAACTGCCACTGCAAAGCTGCACTGCAGCTGCACTGCTCATTCACTTTGTACGTAGCTATAGTAGTAGCGTGTACGTTGCGTGCAATGCCTATGGGAGATTCCACCACCGCATAGTTAGCCACAGACTTTACACGGAAGCGGGTTTGTCAATTACCAGTGGCTTAATCCACGAGAAAGCTTGAGGATCTAAGTTTGTATGAAAAAAATCAGTCGAATACTCACTTGGGCATCTTTAAATCTGCTTCAGTTCAATATAGAAGTAGGCAAACTTAGATAATTTCGAGTATGAAATAGATTGACACAGTGCAGTCTCAGCTCAGGTCACGTTTACGTTTGGCGTGCAATGCAATGCATGCAAACAATACGTCGGCGACGCATCGCGTAATATGGTAAAATAGACAGAGCAAATAGAAATTGAAATCCACTCATATACCCTGTCTTACAAATTAATCGCGACGTTTTACTTGATACTTGATGAGGTAATCCCTGAAGCAGCTTTTCCAAGTTATACTGGGATGGGATGTGTTGTGACAGCAGGTGAAGGTGCAGACAACAAAAGGGTGTACAATTGCTTTATACAGTAAAATAGTGACGTGCAAGTAAAAAAAAATCATGCTGCTATATGGTTTACAGCATTCTGGAACCTAAGGAGGTTCCAACCCTCTGATGACAGGGAGGGCCGTCATCTAGATCTGGAAAGCAGCAACTGTTGGGGCAGTAACCAGGCCCCTGGGAACGATTTTTTCACTGGGGGTGCTCAGGGTCCTGGGAACGATTTTTTCACCGGAGCCGCTGAGATATATAACTCAGCCAGCCGTTGAATAAGGGGGGGGGGGGGGGGGGGGGGGGGGGGGGGGGGGGGGGGGGGGGGGGGGGTAAGCGGACACTTTTTTGGGGGATTCCAAAAAAAAAATCGCAACGACTCAGCCACCCGAAAAGTTGCTCAGTGGGGGGGGGGGGGGGGGATGGGGTAAGCGGACACTTTTTTTTTTTTTTTTTTGGTCTCGATATTTGAAAATTTGACATATTTCTTCGTTGGGGGGGGGGGGGGGGTAAGGTCACCTTTTTTAGGTCAGCTGTGGGCATATTTTTTTTTTTATAATTAAAAAAAAAAAAAAAAAAAACCAAAGGGGAGGGGGGGGGGGTTTAGCTTTTTTTAAGGGGGGTTTACACACATAAAAAATACCAAAGGGGGGGGGGGGGGGTTTGAACCCCTAAACCCCCCCCCCCCCCTGCGTACGCTCCTCATACAGTAAATATATCATACCGAAAAAATTTGCAGGGGGTGCTATGCCCCCCCCCCCCCCCTGGAAAAATTCCGGGGGTGCTGCAGCACCCCCAGCACCCCCGCTTCCCAGGGCCATGGCAGTAACTGCAGTGAATGGTAGTTGATTCCAGATGCGAATGGTGCGGGGGTAAAATGAGTACTTGTAGGAGTTGATTGTTGCCTCAGGAACAGAGAGCTTGAGTGTGTGGTCTCTTCTGCTGATGTAAGTAGCTTTGGTTATGAGGTGAGGAAGACAAATGTTGACTAGCTGGTGGTGTATTTTAAAGAGCATGGTGCTTTGTGCTAGAAGACGACGTGTGTGCAGTTTATCCCATCCCAGCTGGGAAACAAGCCCTGTAGCTGACGTGGATCTTCGGTAGTCGCGGAAGACAAAAAGAGCAGCTGTTTTCTGTACCCTTTCCAGATCGACCTTCGGCAGCACCAGAAGTGTGGGGGTTCCAGGCTTCAGCGCCATACTCTAGCTGCGGTCGAACCAGGTCTGTGTATGCTCTTGACGTCACATCCTTGGTGCATGGTGACAGGGTTCTCCGCAACAACCCAAGGGTTTTGTTGGCCTTGTACAGTAGGAGTTGGCAGTGTGTATTCCAGCGAAGGAATATTGGTTACAGTTACCCCGAGATACTTGTACTTGTCTATCCTGGGTATTATCACGTTGGAAATCCGGTAGTCATGCTGTATTGGTGTTCTTTTCCTCGTGATGGTAAGGGAGGCGCACTTCTTGACATTGAAAGCCATGAACCATTTCGCTGACCAGTCAAACAAGGTTTGAAGGTCTTGCTGAAGGATGGAGGTGTCATTCTTAGTGTGAATTTCTCTGTAGATCACACTATCGTCAGCAAAAAGGCGCATCTTGGACTGGATATTTGCAGATTGATTCATAGAAGAAAGTTAAGAGGCAGAGAAAACCCCAATGAAAAGTAAACGGATGCCAAAAGGGCGCCCTGGAAACGAAATTCGCGCCATTTTAATCCCTAAAAAACCCTCAAAAAGTTAATTGAAATTCACTCCATCTTCCTAAAAAATAGAGCCCCTCATGCAGGCTTAAACGTATGAGATCGGGCAGAATGTAGGAGGTACTCCTGCATTCATATAAAAAAAAAGTCAAGGGGCAGAGAACACCCCGATGAAAAGTAAACGAATGACAAAAGGGCGGCCTTGAAACGCAATTCGTTCCATATTAATCCCTAAAAAACCCTCAAAAAGTTAATTGAGATTCACTCCATCTTCCTAAAAAGAGAGAGCCCCTCACGCAGGCTTAAACGTATGAGATCAGGAAGAAAAATGCCTTAGACTGAAGGGGGTATACCCCAGCAAGCATAGAATAATTTCCAGGGCATGAAGAAACCCCGATGAAAAGTGTAAACAGATGCCAGAGGGGCGGACAGATAACGATTTCACTACATTTTAATGCATGAAAACACCCCATAGAGTTTAATGAGTTTAAACCCATCTCCCTCAGGAATGGAGCCCCTCCCGCAGGCTTAAACGTATGAGATCGGGAAGAAAATGTCCTTAGACTGTAGGGGGTATACCCCAGCAAGCATAGAAGAATTTGCTTAAACTATATAGTATTTACACCCCAATACACGCACACACTCAATAGACCCGGTTCATATATTAAAATTGAATACACCCCATACAGGCACTCACGTTTATGTGAACATTTTCTTGTAATTTTGTTTGAAATGTGAAACTTATTTGCAACTTTGTTTATGAGAGAACGGATCAGAAACCTGAGTTTTTGCCTGTAGTACTCTCAAAAAACGCCATTGCATGAAAGCGACTGGATAGCCGAATGTGAGTGGTTGTGCGCTCAAACCACGTGACGTAAATCTTAATTGCCTATGGAAGGAAACCGCTGAAGGGTATCGCGTGCGAAATTTAAATCTCTACTAGACTCTCTACTTGGAATCCAGTCTCCACACAGTATTTGTTTCCATGTCGGGCAACTCTCAGACAAGCTTTTAGGTTGTCAAGAGCAACTACCTTTGTTTAAACAATTTGCATAAATTTGGAATATTAGTTAGCCGGTCTATATTGTCTCAATTGGATACCAGGTAAACTTTTTTTTTTTTATTGATAGCTACTCTTGATACCATTTAAAATCCAGGCTCATACACCATACCTGTATTTCAGATTCATAGCAAGAATTCTCTCTTCTTGTGTTGTACCCTTGTCTCCATTGCAGCAGGGATGATCTGACTTTAACTGTAATCCACAACCCCCTACATTTCTACTTTTCAATACTATCCTTACATCATTCAAAAGTCTTTATGTTAATTGTTTATTGTAAATTAGATCTTTAGCAAGATCTTTAAATTGCTAAATGATCTGGAATCTTAGTTCTTGCTATCTTACTTCAGGTAAAGTGCTATTTTAGTGGTAGGGCTTAATTAGCAAAGGTTTCTCACTGTGTTACGACACCAAAGAATAGGGACATTTAGATTTGCACGTCGACATAGTGGACTACTACGTGTGACGTCCTTTTAAGTAAGGCGTAACACATAGCAGTCCACTATGTCGACGTACACATCTAAAAGTCCCTAATGTCCAGTTCTGGTCAAGTTATGGCTTGGTAACAGAATGACATAAAACATGTTCTTAACATTTAATTTTGCTTCTCATGAACATGCATTAGATTGCTAATCTTACAAGTTTTATCAGGAATAGATATCATTTAGTTGAAAAAAGTTCCAATTGAAGATACTTTATGACAGTTATTTCAAGGTTTTAAATACTCAAGCAGTACTGTGATGACTTATTTTCTCGTCCCCCTACCTATCTCTCTCTCTCTCTCCCTCTCAAAAGAGCGGTTTACTCACATGTTCAAATGTTATGCATACTTTTTTTTAAACAAAAGTTGTTCTTGACGACCTGAAAATCTGTCCGAGGATTGCCCGACATATCAAGAAGTAATTTGCAGACTGCATTCCGAGTATTGTAGTTCATTCATTGATAACAGGTTACTGGAATAACTCGTCACTATAGGTTCCCAGGAAAGACAACATCCATGAAATTGAATATGTTAGTAAACCGATCTATTACAACAGGGATCTTCCCACTCAATTTATTAAAGCGGGACTGTACTGTATATCTACTCTATATAGCCAACAATCTCTGAGCGGTACCCGTTGGGCCCCCATGACCCCCTTTTATCATGTTAATTGATATCTGATTTGATGAGATAACCACCTGACAGTGACCACGCAGGGAGGTCTAATTCCTCCTGGCCAAACTAGTGCAGATATGCCTCAATATCTACTTCTGTTTTGAGTCAACTGAGCCTTTGCAGTAGAAGAATAAGTCTAAATTCCAGGTCTGGCAACTGTCCATTAAATTCACAGCAGGGTTGATCAATATCAACTATATAGCATTTGTGAATACTATGTACTTCGATGCAAGATCCTTCTCTCCATTGCAGCAGGGATTTTTTCCACAAGCTTTGAGATGTACTGATAACACTTTAGCCAGGCTGCTCCTATTTATCGAGCACAAGCCTAATCTAACATCCATGCTTAAATACCCTTAGAAATGTTCATATTGTTTTATTTTGTTACTCTGTATGCGTTACCCCCCCCCCCCCTCCACCCGAATCATGTTTATTATTTTTTCCTTGAGACTGATTCATTGTGAATATATTAAGTACCGGAAGGACCCCATTAATTAAAAAAAAAACACCAACAAATAATATAATTTCTCATTCTTAATTAGTATTTACTGGATCCACAGCAAGGCCCATCACATTTCTTTTTTCGTCGATATCTCCTTTTCAAAAATTCACCAGGATATGTGAAATATATTATTTTGCCATCCCTGCCATTTGAGTCAGCAAACCATGATCTGCATGTTTGAATACTATATATCAACCTAACAAACCGTAAGTTGTTGTTTGCCTCCTTTGTGTAATTTTATTGTAGAGAATTTTAAAACATAATTGAGCTCAATAAATGAATAAATGAAATTATGGATCACATGAATGTGAATAGATCAATAAATGCCCCAAACAAATAATAAAACGATAGATAAATTAATACAAACATGTTATCATAAATATGAGGTCTGAAATCAGTTGTGAAATCAGTTGTATTGAATTCATAACGCGATCGGTTTATGAATACCTAGTATATGTTCTTACACATCTGTAACCTGTAAATCTGCACTTCATCATCGATATCTCTACTTTTCTTGCTTTTAATTTCTATGTATTATTCTATGTATTATTCTAAGAGGAATAGGGATGCTTGTGCCCTTTCTAGTTCAAATTTAAGATACTTTATAACAGTTATTTCAAGGTTTTAAATACTCAAGCAGTACTGTGATGACTTATTTTCTCGTCCCCTACCTATATATCTCTATCTCTCTCTCTCTCTCTCCCTCTCAAAAGACCGGTTTACTCACATGTTCAAATGTTATGCATATTTTTTTAAACAAAGGTTGTTCTTGACGACCTGAAAACCTGTCCGAGGATTGCCCGACATATCAAGAAGTAATTTGCAGACTGTATTCCGAGTATTGTAGTTCATTCATTGATAACAGGTTACTGGAATAACTCGTCACTATAGGTTCCCAGGAAAGACAACATCCATGAAATTGAATATGTTAGTGCCCTTTACATGTATCTAGCAATATATCCTTTTCTCATGATGAACTGCAATCTCATCTTGGTGTCTCCTCTCTTGAAGAGAGACGCACATCCCTTTCTCTAAGATTTGCAGAATCACTTCTCCAATCTAAGGTTCATCGACATCTCCTGCCTGAGAGCAGAGTTAATGACTGTAGCCGCATTCTGCGAAATGCACTTGATTTGTCCTTGCCTAAGATGAGAACTACGAGGTACCGAACTTCCCCCATCCCATCTTTCACTCGATCCTTGAATAATAATAAATAGAGGCTTAGGTAATTATCAGTATGTTGTATGTCATGTATTTCAGCAATAATATAATTATGTCCAATATTAATTGTCATGATGATTGGCACAGCAGGTTCTTCCATTCATTCATATTTTGATGTTGCATGTACTTTTATCCTTCCTCTCACTCTCTCATCCCTTTTCTCTATCTGAACTTGCCACTTTTCAAATTTCCTTTTCTTCTTCAGTTCTGATCTTTCCTCTCTATTTCTATTTCACTGCCACCCCCTCTCTCTCAGCTCTGTCTCTCTGTCTCTGTCTCTCTCTCTCTCTCTCTCTTTGCTCTCTCTGCCTCTTCCTCTTTATCCCTTTGTCTCTCCTTCCTCCCCTCTCTTTCTCTCTCACACTTTCTGTCCCTCCCTCCTCCTCTCCACCTCTTTTCTCTTATGATGATGTTTTACATTACAACATTCTATAATTATATTTCTATAATTATATGTTATTTTTACTGTGACCAATAACACCTAAGGAATTCCATTTCTTTTTGAAAATAATGATAAATTGAGGCTTAGGTAATTATCAGTATGTTATATGTCATGTATTTCAGCAATATAATTATGTGCAATATTAACTGCCATGATGATTGGCATAGCGGGTTCTTCCATTCATTCGTATTTTGATATTGCATGTACTTTTATCTTCCTCTCACTCCCTCATTCCTTTTTTCTATTCGAACTTGCTTCTTTTCAAATTTCCTTTTCTCTTCTTCAGTTCTGGTCTTTCCTCTTTATTCTTTATTTCACTCCCTTTCCCTCTCTCTCATCTCTCTGTCTGTCTCTCTGTCTGTCTCTCTCTGCCTCTTCCTCTTACTCCCTTCATCTCTTCTTCCTCCTCTCTGTTTCTCTCTCTCACTTTCTGTCTCTCCCTCCTCTTCTCCACCTCATTCTCTTCTGATGATGTTTTACAGTACAACATTCTTTAATTATCTGCTATTCTTACTGTAACCAATAATACCTAAGGAATTCCATTGTTCTCATGTGCAATATGTTTATACATTATACTGTACTCATATCACGCTTGTGATTAGCACACTGCCAAGACTCCAATTGTAATACTTTTTAATACTTTTTAATACTCAATACTCAATACTCAATACTCAATACTTAATTACAATTTTTCCAATGTTACAGTTAATTGAATTCAAGTATCTGTATACATTTTATTTGTTTATATGTCAACATTTATTCATTTTTGCTAGCAATATTTCATATCTAGTATTTGTTTTTTTTAAATCTTTTTTTGTTGTTTTGTTTTCTTGTTACTACTTTAATGTTTAACTTAAAAATGTATTCATTGTTATATATTTGTCCTCATTTGCTATGTTATCTTTATGTTTTTGAATGCTTTTTATATTGATGTAAACTTGCATTTTTAGTCTTCGGACTTGTTGACAAGTAATGAATAAAACCTTATTTGAACTTGAACTTGAACTTGAACTATCCTCTAGAGGGAGCTTCATAGCTAGAGACGCCCAGCCTAGCTGTTGGGCGACCATTCTTACGGTTCCAGGATGCCTGCCAGCCTCGGGGGACATGACACTTTTTGGCCTAGACCCCGGCGAATGGGAAGCCCTGGCGAGAAATATTCACAAATGGCGACATGCTAAGATGGATGTGCAAAGGAGCGAGAGGATAAGAGTGGAAAATGGAAGGAAAAGGGAAATCCCAGAAATGAAATGCTAACGTCAGCACCATCACAGCAAAGCACAGGTGCGAATCTAGGGGAGGTTTCGGTGGTTTAACCTCCTCCCCTCCCCCCCCCCCCCCTGGGCGGCCAAGTGAAAAAAGTGGGGGGGGGGGGGGGGGGGAGGGGAAAAGAAGGGGAAAAGGGGGAAAAAGAAGGGGGAAAAGTACAACAGTGAAACGGCGCGATTTTTGGAATATCCTGGATACGCCACTGGGTCGACTCCCCCCCCCCCCCCCTCCTTGGCAAAAAGCTAGATCTGCCCCCGAAGCATAACATTCACCTGCACCAACTGCCAGAAAGTGCAGCAGGTAAACTACAAAGCAGACGATAGGCACAAACTCCATTGTCTCTTGAGACAGACCACATATTGTGAATCACATATTCAGACCTTAGTGACCTTGTAGAGCATGTCGAGAGATCGCATTTATTTGCACTTTACTTCACACATTTCTGCTTCTATAATTTCTTTTCTCTACTGTCTGTCCTGGATATTTAATTTCTAGCTATATTTTTTTTTACTATGTTTTCTTTGCTTTGCCATTGTTCTTTGTTGTTTGTTTATGTATATTGTATTGTTTTATGTACCAATACTGCTCCCCATGGTAGACCAGCATCATCATAACAAAACAGCTGTGCTGAACATGGGCTATCCAGCCGTTTATTTTATCTTGTAATTCACTATTCTGACCATTCGTTATTGTTTTACTGAATGAATGTTGTCTTTTTATATGTAAAATAACACAAAAAACAAACATACGTTTACCAACAAGATAGATTCATTCCACGAGCTCTACCATTTCTAATATTTCTACCATTTCTACCGTCTTCCACTACCTTTATCGTATACGTACAATCCATATACCATCTTCCACTGCGTCTACCATTTCTACCATCTCCAATTACCTCCACCCTTTCTATACCGTACGTAGTATCATAACTCATAATAGCGTTCGTTCCCGAGCTAACATAACGGAAGAGCTGTATCGCCGTACAATAGGCCACTTTTGTAATGTAACCAAATTGAATGCATAACTATATATTTGTGAAGTGCCTCCATACAAATTATTTCATTCACCTGATAAGAATAATAGCATTTCAATAGACAGAATCCGAACTGCATACATTAATTGATCTCGGTTGAGTGAATTCTCCCGTCGTGTTTGCGAATTGCGCTCTATTCACTCAAATGCGACGGACCGTTTTCCAAATTGGGGGGGGGGGGCACTAACAAAAAAAAAGCAATTTCTGGGAGAAAAAAGGGGGCACCTACAAACCACACAGGGAAACCTCAAAGTGAACATAAACCATTTTAGACATCGGTGTATACCCGTAACCCCGACATCGTCATGATAGTGATGGCACTACCAGGGATGACATCAATATTTGGTCTGTTCTATATAAATTCACATCTTTCATCCTTCATCACTCCCAATAAAAACAAACATCATAATAATGCACTTCAATAATTGGCTGTTTATTTCGTATGAATGTTTGACAAGTTGCTAGTCGTCGTTTTCTTCTGGAATCTGGCCGCACAAGACCCAGGGTTAAAACCAGATGGTAAACTCAACGAGAATAAAGACTCTGGAAAACCTTATGATCCATGTCGTCACATAACATGACACATCGAACTTTCATTGTAAATACAAGTTGTCTTGATGAAAGTCCAAGCTTCAATGGTTGGAGGGGCCTAGTCTGCGCATGAACATGCAAGCCGAGAAGCCTGTTCAACGTACCGAACCGGGCTGGCCAGAAAATACGCACAAAACGGTTAAATGATTTTATGTCGACAGCCTGTCTGGAATCTCCGCAAAATGCGAAAAATTGAACAGCGTCGATTTTTTTTTCCCTCCTTTTTTTTTGTTGCTTCCATTTAAAATTATTGAAAAATATTAAAAAACTTGAATTCGGCGTAAATATTCATAATTGAATGACACACGCCCTTAAAACTAAAACAACAACAACACAACAACATTTCACAGACTTATTGATGATGCCACGCCCTAGTTTCCCTGGCGCCCCGGTAGCTCGCACACCTGTCCGAGCTGCCTATGAAAATTACTTTCCACCGGGACAACGTCCCCGTATAACCCAACATAATTAGGTATGCAATAATTAACGATACAAACAATATCTGCATGCTATACACCCGTTCTGCAGACAAATAATATTTCTCTCTCTACATGGAACAAGATTTTACTTTGCAGTTGGGTGTGATGGTCTGAATATTAATTTTCGAGCGAGCTAGCGAGCAAAAAAAAAAATATTTTTGAGGCCGCAGTGCGAAAAAATTACATTTTATAAAGAGGACAAAAAAAACAAACCCTGATGAATTTTGAGCACAATCTAATGAAGAAAGACTAAACAGTTATTTTATGAGTAACATAATTATAACATCTATAAATGAAAGCGAGCGAGCTCTAGGAAAAACTAAGAAAAGGGGCCCTGAGTCACTTAAACAGTCGATTAAATCGAAAAAAACACTTCGTGGCAGTACATGAGGCATATAACGTTTGAATGCAGTCTGCATCAGTCATGGCTACTTGGGCACTATACAGTATTGTGTTTCATGGCGTCCAAAGTTTGCTGGTTGGTAGGAGAGTCCTGCATTCTTTCGATATTTGTATTATTCTTTATCTTCTTGACTATTATAAATATGTGCCCATTGCATCCTCTACTAGTTCTGGCGAGTTCACAAATTCTAATTTTGAGACACCGATGGGATCGATGATTCCATCATCGTGCAACAAAAGGTTATGGGCGCTCAACATTGCTTCATCGGTCGGGCAATAGTACGATCCGGCGGCAATACTCTTGGTCAGGAAATCTCGCCAAGCCTTTGGACTATACCGACATCTTGCATGATACTCACGAGTGCCATCGTTCCTGTTGACGGGTGTAGATCTTGGTCGAAACAACTCTTTCATTAGTTCCTGGACTTCTTCGTCATTCCAATCAATATCAGTTGCCGTCGGGTGCTGTCCTCTGTAACCTCCTCTTGGACGATAGTCCTTGTTTAGACCTTCTTCAAACTGCAGTCTCCTTCTCTCGACGATGCCATCGTTGGCCAGTTCTCTGACAGGCCGTGAAAGGTGTTGGGGTTCGGAAGGGTCAGATCCATCATGACAGGAAGACACTAGGCAAGGCGCGTGTTGATCATCAGGGTTGACCTGCTTTTTTAATTGATCTGTTAAAAGAATGAATTCGAAAATAAATGTCAGGAAATGAGTGCCCTGAACTCGGATTCAAGCCAATGACTTACTAACGAGATACCCACATAATTACCTGGGTCGAGACGGTCAAATGAAGAATATTATCTTGCTAGAATGCATTTGGTTTCGCGACAAGGCAGACTGGGCTGTGCATTCTAATGAGCGCCAGTCAGTAACTTCCTCCGTTCCCCACCCACAAGACGCCTTTGTAAATGCCTTACAGTAAAAGAGACACAGTTATAGTAAGCACAGGATTGCGAATTTTTGTACTACTTTTATCAGTCTGCGACCAATTCTATTAACTATTAATCAACGATTATCAATTAAGTGTTCTTTATTGCCCTGGGAACATCTTCACTGTGATTTTAGTTTGGATTTTGGTGGGTATGATCTTCTTGCCTGTTTTACTTCTATACGATTTGGAGAATATAATGTAGCCAAGCAACTTTCATCATAGTCCCATGTGCATGGGTGTCGATCCGGGGGGGGGGGGGTATATCCCCCTAATATTTCAGGTGGGGGGGGGGGGGGAGGTGGCCTGTACGATCACCCCCCCCCCCAACAATTTACTATCAAAAAAAAAAAAATAAGAGAAAAATTAATGATGAGAGCCAGATGAGAGTAGTTGATTATTATTACTCGCAAGATGATCACAAGGACGGATCCAAGGGGGCGGGGGGCACAGGGGACACGTGCCCCCGGCCCCAAAAAAGTGTTAAAATCAGCCCCAATTCGCAAAAAATGTACTGAAAAACAGGGACGTGCCCCCGGCCAAAAAAAAAAAATAGTGTGCACTCCAAATCATTCCCATATGGCCCCATATGGGCTTGCTCCCTGGAAAAAAGGGAAAAGGGGAAAAAACGGGCAGAAGAAAAAAGGAAGGGGGAAGAGAAAAGGAAGCAAGACAAGAGAAAAACGGTTTTGTCCAAATGGCAGCATGCATGAAGGAGACGAAGTTTTCAGTTTGTTCCCTGATTCATACTCAGGGGCGTCGCTAGACCTTTTTCAGGGGGGGGGGGGGGGGGGGGGAGGGTGTAGAGGCCAATGATTACCGACAAAACTAGCCATCAATTAACGACAAAATTAAATGTCCCAATATTTACAAATTTAACCCTGAAGGCTGAATCGTTTTTCCTATGGAATATCTACAGTGCGTCCCAGAAAAAATGAAACCGAGAACTATCGATGTTGTATCATAACTTAATCACAATTATAATAAATAAATGACAGATATTTGGAAAGCTTAGATCCTCCTCTTTAATTTGATGCAACTCAAATGACTCATATCTCACGCATAAGTGATTAAAAGCAATTTGAATAGAGGAAACCAAAAAGTTATTTGGCGGGCGGTATCTGAATTTCAAGTAGAAAATCACATTTCTAGAAAGTTCAATTTCTGCTCTTTCATATGACACCTCAATCAGGAAAAATGAGCCAGGAATAACAAAGTTCTGTTGTTTAAAGTTCGTTTTCACTGGCTACCTGCCGTAGCAACAAACAGAGTTGACAAAAGGCTTAACTCCGTTTCGTTGACAATCAGCCATGCACAAAGAAGACGAAAGACGAAAGCTTTGACGTTTCCTTAAAATATTAGAGAAAGAATTGAAGACGACTCGTTGTACCGTTTTCGACTCTTAATAAGCCTGTCTGAATTCAGTTTCCCCCTTTAGCGCGAAGCGCGGAGGCTCTGACGTTTCCTTAAATTATTAGAGAAAGCAGACGATACCGATTTCGACTCTTAATCCTTGTCTGAATTCAGTTTCCCCCTTCCCGCGCGAAGCGCGAAAAGCTTATACGTTTGATTTAATTATTATAGAAAGAAAACGATACGTTGCACCGTTTTCGACTTTATTAAGCCCTAATCATCTGACCTCAGCCCCCCCCCCCTCGCGCGAAGCGCGGAAGCTTTGACGCTTCCTTAAATTATTTGAGAAAGAAGACTATACGTTGTACCGTTTTCGATTCTTAATAAGCCCTATTTGTCTGAATTCAGTTCCCCCCTCTCGCAGAGCGCGGAAGCTTTGACGTTTCCTTAAACTATTAGATAGCAGACGTTTTTTTGTACCGTTCGCGGCTCTTAACCCTAATTTGTCTGAATTCAGTTTCCCTCCTCTGCGCGAAGCCCGGAAGCTTTGGCGTTTCCTTAAATAATGAGAAAAAGCAAACGATTCGTTTTACTGTTCTTGACTCTTAATCCTTATCTGAATTCAGTTTTTCCCCCTCCCGCGCGAATCGCGGAAGCTAAGACGTTTCCTTAAATTATGAGAAAAAGCAGACGATTCGGTGTACTGTTTTCGACTCTTAATAAGCCTGCCTGAATTCAGTTTCCCCCTTGAGCGCGAAGCGCGGAAGCTTTGACGTTTCCTTAAATTATTAGAGCAGACGATTCGTTGTACCGATTTCGACTCTTAATCCTTGTCTGAATTCAGTTTCCCCCTTCCCGCGCGAAAAGCTTAGACGTTTGATTTAATTATTATAGAAGGAAAACGATACGTTGCACCGTTGATACGTGCTATAGACAATGGCAAAATTATTGGTGCTCTTTTTGTTGATTTAACACGAGCATTCGATACAGTTGATTCATCTATTATGTTAGCTAAACTGCACACAAACAAGTTATCTAATAGTTCGTTATCTTGGTTTAAATCATACCTTATGAATAAAGCAACAAGACAGTACAATGGTGTCAATTAGACAAACTTTGTCAAAATAACGTTCCCTATCTAGGAGTTTCATAAGGTTCGAAACTGGGCCCCTTCTATTTTTGATTTATATTGACGATATGGTCCATGTCTTTAGGGAAGAAAATGTCATAATGTATGCGGATGACACCACTTTCTACGTCACCGGAACTTCTATCCGTGAATTGGAGAATAAATTGCAACACGAAATTAATGCAATAGGTACATGGATAAGTGACAATAGGTTGCATTTAGATACACGGAAAACATAGTTTATTGTTGTAAGGAGTAAACAAAAACTTAGTACCTGCACTAATAACAGCAAATTGCATCACCTACGATGGAGTTTAATCAATCATTGTGTAGGTATTAAATGTCTCGGGATACTAATAGATAAACATTCATTATGGCATGAACAAGTTGATTCTGTATGCAAAAAAAAATATTTGCTGGTCTTGCGATGTTAAATAGAATTCGTCCTTTTGTAGAAAATGATATTCATGTAGATCGAATTACTAAACTTCAAAAGAGGGCAGCCCGTCTGATCCTTAGGTGTAATATTTACAGCCCATCAAAGGAAATGTTCTAAAGTCTGAACAGGATAATAATATTTAATAATAATAATAATAATAATAATAATAATAATAATAATAATAATTATAATATTCAATTTTTATATAGCGCTTAATACAAATGTCTTTAAGCCTTTCAGATATCGAATACATTTTAAAGATACCAAAAAGGGCATTAACTCCCGTATGATAACCGGCAAATTATTCCACAAATTTGGACATAGGTAATACAAAGAGTGTTTGCAGAACTCAGTGTGGCATTTGAGAACGACGAGATCGTGTCTGGCAGATTGCCTCGTATTTTTATCACGTGTTTTACTTAACTCTTGGAAATAATTTGAGTAGTAATCAGGAGAGAGGCCTTGACAGCATTTATAAACAAATGTATATCTCAAGTCATTGGACGTATAATGGATTCTTCGGCACACATACTCACCCGTAGTCTGTTTCATATTTTGTTTAATCCTTATAATTTCTTGTTACTTGTTTTTGTACTTTAACATATTTGATTATTCTATATTCGCAAACATTCACCTTGATATATATCGTTGTTTTACACATGCTCTTTTTAACTATTTACTTGGCATTATTGTTTGCTTTCATTCTTACATTACCCGTATCAGACATCTGAGCAGTAGTTTTACAAAATCATACAATTTACAAGGCACACTGTTTACAGTGTATCGAAACATTTTGTAAAGCACTGGATGCACGTTGCTGGTTTAACAAAGCTTTTTCAGTTCTATGAGATTGTCATGGTTGATTTATGTATTTGCTCTAGTGATTTGGATAACAATAACAATATTGACTGGCTTAACTTTCGGGAGATACCACATATATTGCCCTCACAAGACCCATATTGCCGTCGTCTTTGACTCGGGGCAATATGAGTCTAGTTTGGGAAATATATGTGGTATCCCCCTCAAGGCCAGTCCATAATTATTTTGTGTATGTTTTTAGAGGGGCCCTATGGGAGACCAACTAATGTTGAATGGGCTACCCCGTATCAATAAACAATAATAAAATACAACAAATAACAATAAATAATAATAGGATTTAACACCTACATGATATGTCGTATGCTTATCTAAATGAAATTTATTTAAATGCCACTTTATATAACAAAGGAAGGGAGAACTTCTAAAAGTCATAATGAAATCTTCAATCATCTCTACACATCTCTCAAACGGAACGTCTATTTATCTGTCTGTCTTGTTTACTTTTTGTATGTGTTTCCGTCCTGTTGCTCGTAGTATTTTACTACTTCTCTTGTTTATAATCATTATTTAGTAGTCAGTAGATTTTGTGATATTTATTTATGTTTATATGTATTATTCTTATCTGACGAGTTTGTTCATTTAGGACATACTCATAAGCTACTCATGAGGGACCTTGATTCCACAAGCCTTGCTTTCAACCAAGGTTATCTCATTTAGCTATTGTAACGCCATATTCTGTTAACTTGTTATATTCATGTCATATTTGTAATGTGTGTTATGAAAGAAAGATAAATAAAACTTGAACTTGAACTTGAACATATTATATTTAAGAAGAAAAAAACGTAAAAGCATTTACCCCATCTGGTCCTTGCCTTTCTCAAGACATCAAATCTTCTAATTTTTGAGAGAAGATCAAAAAGAACATTGATGTTGTTCTCATCCAGTGCATCTCTCTCCAGAAGAACTTCTAAGAGATCCAGCGATGAGCCTTGTGATTTAATCCTTTCCTTTACAGGTTTCGATTTGATGATGTCGGATGTAAGAAAGAGGATTTTATTGAGGTCTTCACTGTTGAGGCCTTCTGCGACAGAGTACAACAAAGACCGAAGATTGTTCCTAACGCTATGCTGAGGCCTGAGTAGAACAGAAGAAGAATGAGCCAAAGTGCCATTTCCAGACTGAGACGAGACTATCATTGTGATCACTGTAGCATTCGACGTACGTCAAAATGATCATAATAACTCTCAAAATATCCGCAAAGGGTATACGTCCCGTCAAAATTTCATCCACCCTTATATACACTTCAGCTCACAATAATAAGTTTTCAACCTTTATACAACAGTGGTTCTGATGTATAAGCATAACAGTTTACCTGATGGTGTACCTCAATAATGTAAATGGCGAAAACATGTTCCGTCGTATGAATAATAAGCACCATCGATTGTGTCACATTTAGCATTCAACGAACGAAACATGATACAGAACTCTTAAAATCTATCCTTTCTGTACACCGATGAAAAGATTTTTAGTTGACGTCCGTTATTTGACAACCAGTTTGCAAACTTCGAATACATATATATATATATATATTTCCATAACCGCTGTACGTAGCAGTACCAACCGGCCAACGTAGTGTACGCTCTGTCTTCGTATTTTTCGATGTTAAGTTCCTTGTACAACAATGTCATTCTTTTTGTCTTTGAGTTTTCATTATGTACTTTTGAATGGGGGAATATTAACGTCTGTCGCTGTTAGTCGGTGCATAACATAATTTTCATTCAGTCTAGCTTTTTTCTTTATTGTTCTTTTATGTTTTATGTATTGGTGATAAAACCAATATATTATAATGTACATGATCGGAGCACGGATTTTTTTTTTTTTTTTTTTGTATTCGTAGAATGGCAATTGAAGGTCAACGGATGTCGAGCTAGCTATACAACGATTGTACGAACACCTCATAATCATTCATGTTCTTACCAATGGTGATCAGCAACATAATAGTGTTAGTAGTACTAATACAAATATAATTAGTCACTCCCAGCGTCCAGATACCTGGATGAAAAAATGGAGTGTTATATCAATCATATTCATGTGTATTTATTTTTCCCGAATTTAATATCGAAGGCATAAAATCCTTATGGTCAACTTATTTCTATCTTTAAATATCTTTTTTTAAGATAAAGACACTTATACGTTTCATAGAATACCCACTTCAAATAAGTTTTAGATGAGCCCCTCACAATCTATCTATGAAAATCGGGATATAGAATGAAAGGCAATTTCCTTATTATTTTAAAGGTTTCTTTGTTATGACTACCTACCTTAAAGCCCAAGTCCACTCCCAAAATAACTTACTTTCAATAGAAGCAGAAAATCTGACTAACCAATCTAAGAAAGTCTGAGCAAAATCGGATAACTAATAGGAAAGTTATGAATTTTTAATGAAATTAAAAACTTTGAAAATCACTAGACAAATTGGCAACTCACTCATGAGTCCGTGACGTCATGTCCTCACTATCCACTAATTATTTTCTATATATTGATTATATAAATTTCCTATTTTCTCCTTAAGAATCTAATTTATTCACACCAGCATTCAAGATAGATTAATAGTAATATGTTTTTGTGGGGATGCACTAATAAAGAGTAATTTTGTCCAGTTAAATCATGAAAAATGTGAATTTTGATAAACTAATTATATAAAAATCAATAAATATGAATAGGTCTATACAATATTCAGAAAATAGTATATATTCTTGAAAGTTCATAAAAGATTTTGTGAAATTCATGCACGCAATATGATACAAATCATATAACCTGGGCAATTAAGGCATGGTGAAATCAAGTTTTGGAGAATAAAAAGGGAAAATTAATGGGATTAAACCATATTATAGAGCAATTGATAAATAGTGAGGACATGACGTCACAAACTAATAACCATCATGGCAATTTGTGTTGTGATTCTCATTGTTCCATAGTTTTACATACTTTTTCAAAAAATCATAACTTTCTTATTAGTTATCCGATTTTGCTCAAACTTTTTATGATTGGTTTGTCTGATTTTTCTGCTTTTATTGAAAGTAAGTTATTTTTCTAGTGGACTGGTGCTTTAATGTTATTATTGTGCATCCAATATTTTGACGAACCTGAAGCTTGAGGAAAACATTCCAAAATGTCCCAAAATGTTTGAAAATACCGTCCATTTCACTTTTCAATACTAAGCCCTTTTACCCATTACTGACAAAACTAGCCACCAATTACCGACAAATATATTAATGCCAATGTCCAAATGTCTACAAATTTAACCCTATAAACCTCGGCCAGGAGCTAAATCATTTTCAATTTCCCGCCTCCCGCGCAAAGCGCGGAAGCTTTGACATTTCATTGAATTATTAGAGAAAGAAGAGGATTCGTTGTACCGTTCTCGACCCAGTTTTCCCCCTTCCGCGCGAAGCGTGGAAGCTTTGACGTTTCATTTAATCATTAGAGAAAGAAGAGGATTCGTTGTACCGTTCTCGACCCAGTTTTCCCCCTTCCGCGCGAAGCGTGGAAGCTTTGACGTTTCATTTAGTTATTAGAAAAAGAAGACAATTCGTTGAACCGTTGTCGACTCTTAATTCTTGTTTCAGCCCTCCCGCGCGAAGAGCAAAAGCTATGACGTTTCATTTAATTATTAGAGAAAGAAGAGGAATCGTTGTACAGTTCTCGACCCAGTTTTCCCCCTTCCGCGCGAAGCGCGGAAGCTTTGACGATTCATTAAATTATTAGAGAAAGAAGAGGATTCGTTGTACCGTTCTCCACTCTTAATCCTTGTCTGAATTCAGTTTCCCACTTCCGCGCGAAGCACGGAAGCTTTGAAGCTTCATTAAATTATTCGAGAAAATTGACGATCAGTTGTTTGGACTCTTAAACCCTGTCTGAATATCAGTTTCCCTTCGCGCGGGAAGCTATGACGTTTCATTTAATTATAAGAGAAAGAAGACGATTGTTGTACCGACTCTCAATCATTATCTGAATTTCAAAAAATATTTCTTTGTCCGATAAAAAGTCAAAGTTCGGAGGGGAAACAAAATTGCCGGCCGAACAGTATAATACATCTTACCGACTTCAACCTTATGCATTGATATAGTACACGAGGATCAAGCAAGAATACCAACACAGCGCACCCGACAAAGCAACATTATTATATTTGCGTATCTTTCTCGCTCCCTCGACGTGGCCATTCGACCCAACATCCCCATCTCTCTCTTACTTCCACCATCTTCTCTCAGGCTCTCGTCCCCTCTTTCTCTTCTCTCTTTCACCCCCGTCACTTTTGTTACCTTTTCCTCCTTTTTTCTTCTTTTTTCCTTTTATCCTTTTCTTTGTTGTGTGCCTTGTGTTTGCTTAAGCGCTGTATAGTTACTCAGGGGCAACGGAGCGTCTTCCAAAGAGTGTGTGTGGGGAGGGGTGGGGGCACCAATACAAAATGCACTTACTGGACAAAAAAGGAACATACACCATTTTTAGACATCGGTGTATACCCGTACAACGTCATGACAGTGATGACACTACCAGGGATGAAATCAATATTTGGTCTGTTATATATAAACTCACGTCTTACTATTTTCATCTTTCATCCTTCATGACTCCCAATAAAAACAAATATCATAATAATGCACTTCAATAATCGGCCGTTTATTTTGTATGAATGTTTAACAAACATGTTCTCGTTTCCTTCGGGAAGTGGCCGCACACGACACAGGATTAAAAACCAGAGGGAAAACTCAACGAGAATTAAAACTCTGGAAAACCTTATGATCAATGTCGTAACATAACATGACACATTGCACTGTCATTGTAAATAAAAGTTGTCTTGTTGAAAGCGCAACCTAGAATGATTCAATTAAAGATAAAGGTGAGTTTTGTTCATCCGATTGCATTGTGAAAGAAAAGGTGTGGAATGGATCAGAAAAAGTTGATCATGTAGCATGTAAGTATTGGTGTGTACTGCAAGGTTCTGGAGTCATCAAAATCATAATGAATTTGGCCCAGTCTTGGTATAGTAACAAACACTGTACACAGAAAGATGTATATGGGACTACGAAAATGGTGTCAGGGCAACTAACCTTGATTTCCTAAATTTCTATGCCCATTACTGAGCCAGTATACATTTTCTACCAAAATTGTTTGGCAAATGACATTTATTTTTAATCTTGAACATTCAGTGTAAGTTTCGTTTGATTCTGTAATTTATTTATTTATTTATTTATTAAAAAAAAAAAGAACTCACCTTTATCTTTAATTGATGCCACGCCCTAGTCTCTGTGGCGGAGCTCGCACACCTGTACGAGCTGACTATGGACAACGGCCCCGTACTCAACACAAGTATAAGTATGCATTCATTCAACGATACAAACAATATTTGCATGCTATATATACGACCGTACCGCAGACAAATAATATTTCTCTCTTTACGTGGAACAAGATTTTACTTTTTTTTAAATTCATGTGTGGAACAAGATTTTACTTTGCACTTGGGTGTGATGGTCTGAATATTAATTTTCGAGCGAGCGAGCAAAAAAAAAAAAAAAAAAAAAAAAAAAATTGAGGTAGCAGTGCGAAAAAAATTCATTTTATAAAGAGGACAAAAAACAAACCCTGATGAGTTTTAAGCACAATCTAATGAAGAAAGACTAAACAGTTATTTTATAAGTAACATAATTATAACATCTAAACATGCAAACGAACGAGCTCTAGAGAAAACTAAAGAAAAGGGGCCATTAAGTCGCTTAAACAGCTGATTAAATCGAAAAAGCACCTCATGACAGCATATGGGGCATAACGTTTGAATCCAGTCTACATCAGTCACTACTTGGGCACTATATTGTGTTCCATATGGCGTCCAAAGTTTTGCTGGTTGGTAAGAGAGTCTTGAATTCTTACGTATATACATTATTATTTACCTTCTGGTTCTGGTGAGTTCCCAAATTCTAATGTTGAGACACCAATGTGATCGATGATTCCATCATCGTGCAACAAGAGGTTGTCATGGGCGCTCAACATTGCTTCATCGGTCGGGCAATAGTACGATCCGGCGTCAGTACTCTGGGTTAGAAAATCTCGCCAAGCCTTGTGACGATTACGAACACCTTGTATACTCACGAGCGCCATGGTTCTTGTTCCTGGTGTGCAGATATTGGGTCGAAACGACTCTTCCTTCAGTTCCTGGACTTCCTCGTCATTCCGACAATCCG